AAACATGAATAGATACATTTGGGGTACTATGGCTCAAATTAATTATTTTGGGGGGTGGTGGTGGTGTATATGTGTTAAACTATTCAGGAAAATATTCAAATTATTTTAGTTCCTGCTTGAAGGAATAAAAAGTCTTCCTAATTTGTTAGTATATATCTACTGTTCAGGTTTTTCACTAGGCCAGTATGAGAGCAAAGCTGGAAAGAAAGAGAATGATGTTTATACTCTTAGTTTTTTAAAAGGCATGCAGCTGCTGGGTGAGATGTATGTAAATGTTTGCAGAAATAACTGGACTACTAGTATCTGAATCAGACATTAAATCTTGATTCTTCATAGATGATGAAATTTGCATCAAATTATGCTTTTCTGTAGAGAGGTAATAGGAAGAAGTCCCATTCCCTGTTTGTATGTATGGGATTAGATACTGGTATCAAAAAGGAAAATGTTTTACCTCATTTTTTTAAAATTCAGGCTGGAAAGCTGAAGAAGAACAGTGGAGGAAAGGATCTGGACTCCAAAAAGTCAGGGGACTAAAATATGTTGGTTAGAGAAACCTATCTTTGTTTTGAAAAGGTAGTTAGATACACTGGATGTTGAAGAACAGCAGGAGGGAGATCTGAAATCAAATGATCGAAAGAAACAGAAATGAGAAACCTTGTTCTTGGATGAGAGCACTCCTAAATTAATTATGTTGTTTCCATTTTAAATGCCTGATCCTTTTGAAGCTTTCAAACATATATTCAGAATATAATAAATGAACTCATGTTCTTCCAGCTGTGCTTACTTGTACCTGGTATTATTTGCTTATTAAGGAGGAGTAGTGATGCAAAGTAACTGCCATTATGTTTGCTTGCTTGGCTGGTGCAACTCCATCATATTCCATATTTGTGTGTGTATTTACGTATCTTCCTAGGTTTTTTTTTCCTTCTTTAACCTTTTTCACAATGGCAACTGACCCACTGTGGGGAGAAAGGAATGAATACAGCACACACATGTATATGCACATGCATGCACACTTACGGTTCCTTAGTAGGCACAGTAGTGTGTTTTTAGACAAATTTAGCTGGATTTTACATTTTCCCATTGCGTTAGGAGCTAAATGATGTTCCTTCACCTACCTTTGAATTTTCATAGTAAAAAGTACTGTGAGTTCAAATGTTTAGTTTCCTGTGCCCCACTCTCTGAAAGGTTTCAGATGATCTCCAGGGTGGAGACTGTGGTGGTTGACTGTGGTCTGCAAGTGTAGGGGTATTTTTTTTATTGTATTTGCAAGTTTGCAGTACAGTTTGTGAGAATCGGAGATTATGTGGGAAGCTGGCACGTATGGTAACACAAACTTCCACAAAGCAATTTTAATCCCAGTCATCTTCAAATGAGTGAGAGGTAGGTGGTTTTGACTTCTCTAAAATGCATATAGCAGCACATACAGCTTGGATAAAAAACAATCTCGGCCCTGAAATACAGCTCATGTAAGGAGAGAATGAACAAAGCTGCTGGTGGTAGATGCTAATCTTACCACTTAATGCATGTAGGAAAGGTGCTTAAAAACTCAAGCAATAAGGGGAGAGGCCAATTAAAAGTCATACGGTTAATGCTAGTCTGTTTTTCTGCAAGTGTCTTTCTTGTTATTGACTCCCTGGATTTGCCCCAACTTTCTTGTATGAAGAGGGAACTTAGAGATTTGTTAACTAAATAAACTCTAAGGAAGAAATTCTATTTTGGAGGTAGGGCTCTTGGAACGCTTTTGTTGTTTGTTTGGCATTGGAAGAGGACAAAACATACAATGAAACTGAGAGTGTTTTCAGTCATTCAGAGGGGTCATTCTAAACTGCTGGGTTAATTTTTGTCTAGGCCCTGAAAAGGCAATCAAGTGTCAGTTTACATACACAAAGGCATATGTTTGCCCATCTAAATCATCGTGTGTTTATAATAAACTGGCTTAGCATTCAAGCCAGAGAGAATGTCTTTAACCTCTCCCCCAAAAACTGCAACTGACTGTTGAACACAAAAGATCTCCAATGAGAGACACCTGTGCTTTTGGTGTGAGAGAGATTGTGTTTACTACCTGGTTAGAAATTCATTAGTACATACCTCCAGCAATTGGATAGTATGTGGGTAGTTACATTCCAGCTTCGGAGTGTAACATTCATCTTTAATGACTGCTGCTTTGTTCCGATTGTATTGTTCGTTGTATCAGCCAAAAAGCCAGAAATTACCATTTTGATCAGGTGAAATGGAAAGACTGCTTCAGATAGACGGAGGTCTTATTTCTGTATGGATTCTAATTTTTATATCAAAGTATTTTAAATGAAAAGTTTTCAGAAATACTGCCTGTGCAGTATTTTTCCACTTTATTGAAGTCATGTATTGTAGAATTATAAATGTGACCAGGAAGCATAACAGGTGTGAGAACTGCCCTTCTCCCACAGAGTTCTGCTGGAGTGAGAGTGATGCAGTCTGAGAAACTGGAATAGGGCAAAGATGATAGAATATGCTGTTAAATTTATTCTATTGGGTTTACAGAAAAAAAAGTTATGAGATGCTTTGTTTGAAAGTTTTGCAAAGAAGTATTACATGTAGCAAACAGGCAAGTTGGGCAGGTGCTATTCATATTAACTCCTCAGAATCTTTTTTTTCTGAAGAATATTTACCGTGTTATCTGGGTACTTCTGGTATTTTGGAATATAATTTTGCATACGTGACTCATGAAATAGTGATTAAATATGAGAGATCACAAAACAAGACTTTTAGAATCAGTTTTTATTCTGTTTATGCAGAAGAAATCTGGCATTTGCACTCACAGTTACCTAATCAGTGTGCATCAGCAGCGTGGGTAGTTCCTGACGCTTCCTAAAATATGTGTGTCTTCAGATTATTTTGTGTAACATCTACACATTTATCTATATTTTGGAATATAATTTTGCATATGTGACTCATGAAATAGTAAGTGATTAAATATGGGAGATCACAAAACAAGACTTTTAGAATCAGTGTATTTTGGAATATAATTTTGCATACGTGACTCATGAAATAGTGATTAAATATGAGAGATCACAAAACAAGACTTTTAGAATCAGTTTTTATTCTGTTTATGCAGAAGAAATCTGGCATTTGCACTCACAGTTACCTAATCAGTGTGCATCAGCAGCGTGGGTAATTCCTGACGCTTCCTAAAATATGTGTGTTGAGGTCTTCAGATTATTTTGTGTAACATCTACACGTTCCTGACGCTTCCTAAAATATGTGTGTCTTCAGATTATTTTGTGTAACATCTACACATTTATCTGGGAAGTGTTTGTCAAAAACTAAATTACAGTTATTTCAGTAACTTGTCAATTGGTGATGAGGGTTATGTTCTTTCTGTGGAATGAAATGTCAAATAAGAATATCTTAGAAAAGTTTGTTGTATGCTGAAGGCTTTGGTATGCCTTGTATGTTGACTTTTTTCCACAAAGATTTATAGTAACTAGCAAATCATTGATAAAAATGATGCTATGCAGAATGTGCCTGTAAGGTAATGTGATTGACTGGTATTATTTATATTGCTGAAATCCTGATGTACTAGGTTAAGAAGTCCAGCATGGGCAGCATGTGGCTACTTGTTATAGCTGTTACTAAGTTTTGGCTGAAATCATATGATTTACTTGATATTTGCTCAAATATTACAAATAAACACTACCCAGTAAATATTTCTCTCTAAAATTGAATTACAAACAGATGAGTACTTTTATTTTCGAAGTTAAAAAATAATTTTATCATCGTGGACCTCTTTCCTGCAAGTCCTCTGGGTAATAAGTGTCTCCTATTTCTCAGTTCTAAATTTCCTTTCATTTTCTGCTTGTGCCGGATGGGTGGCGATATGTTTTCTTTGGAGCTTGTTAACAAGCTGAGTTGAGCCTCCATCAAATTGAAGTACCCGAGTATTCCAATTTTCTTTTTGATATTTGCCTTTGTAGTTCCTGTGGAAGGTACATGGTGACTCAGTTTTTCTTTACTGGTTTATTGATCACTTGCCATTCTCTTTTCTTAGGGCAGTAGGTTTTCACAGTTCGCTTTGCTGGAAAACATGGCTGATGTTCATTGTGGTGGAATATGAGGGCCAGTGACATGTTTCTATCTTGCATTAATTATTAACCTTATTTAAAGTGTCTGCTTGCATGAAGACATGAGTCTCTTGAAATAGTCACTGCAGTTATTTTCAGGTGTTCCCTTGGAGAGCCTTTTTTAGCAAGATCAACAGAAGTGAAATTGTAGCTCTTTCAGTAATGTCTATGTGAAGGCAAATAACACTAATCTTGTATAAAGTCATAATAAATTCCTAAGAAAATTTCCAATCTCTGCTCCTGGCCCCAGGAAAACTAAGCCAGGCTAAACTTTTTCCCAGTGTCCAGCACTTACACATAGTCCTGCGAGAGAGGGTCAGGTATGTTGTACAACCATAATTTTCATTCTCAGCACTGAGTTGTGGATGGCAGGCATTTGTGGACCTCTGGAGATAAAGGTGTCCAAAATTAGTCAATGTTTGACTCCTGTTTTTACTTCAAGAAAAAAGAGTGGATGTTCTTTCTTGGGCAACTTTATCTTGCATTTGGTAATACTTCATGAGAAAACCGCTAGGGTTCATTCATGAATGCTCAGAAGTCTTTTTATTGTGTAAAAATAGAGTCCTGCTTTTGCTAAGCTGTGATAATGATCTTGCCTAAACTCTAATGGCAGAATAGTCAGAGCAAAGACAGAAACAAATTAATTCCAGATTTTAATAAATTTTGACTTCAGAACTTTGACTATAATTTTAGTTGCGTGGGAGCAGGCAGTGGAAAATCCTAGCTGTAGCCTGTCCTGTCCTTAGCCTGCCCCTTGCACATACTATGGAATTTTAAGAGTATTTTAGAAATCATCAACATTATGGTTAAAATAAGAAGGGTCAGAGATTTTTTCAAGTTTCTCTGTTGTAGTACACTGAAAAAAATGAGAGTTCTGACCATGTTTTTGTGTTTCAGGACTTAAAATGGCAGAAGATTCCTATATTATGGGAGTGTCTGATCCCCAAGTAAGTGGATTTATGTATTTTCAATAAACCTGTGTTCTCTCCTATCTCTGTGTTCTGGCTTCCTCTCATAGCGTCCTATCATTTCCTAGACTTAAAAACATAGAGATATAAAAGCATTCTAGCAGAATTTCTATGCTGTTGGCAGAAATCAGGTTTGGGGAAATCTGGGGCATTCTTTTTTCTCTAAGGTGTTTTTTGTGTGATCTGTGAAGTGCCTTGCCACTGGTGAAATGGCTAAAATGAAAAGGAAAGCTAGGCCTGCTGGAAGAAGCAACTGAAAAAATACTCATATTTATGCCCTTTCTGCCTGTAATGCTTGCTCTGAAACTCCTTTTGTGATGGACATTTGACTTTATCTGAAAATAAAGCCCCTGATGCCCTAGAAGGCCTCTCTATATCTCTTTTCTTTGGTGAAATTTGCATAGACATTGATGACTAAAATGCTCCTTTACTCACACAGGTCAGTGGGTGTAGGTCTTCAGAAGCTATTCGTGATCTCTTTAGGTCATTGGGTGATTCATTTGAATTGGGAGAATGGTGCTTGAGTGAAAAGCTTGAGTGAAGGACAGGTCATTTCGACTCCCCTTAATTTCCAAAAAGGAACTATTTTCTCTTTTATGCTTGCTTCACTTTGGAAGGAGATAGATTGATACCTGAAAATTACAGTGAGTTAAGACATGTCAGTGTTCAAAAAAAAAAAAAAAATCGAACTTTAACCTGAGTATACTGTTTTCTTGCATTAGTGCTTGTAAATATATTTACATAAGGACTGTAGTCTGCTAGGGTTTAATCACAGAAGTGAAAATGAAAACTCGCAGATTCTCAGCAAGGCCTTGGGTAAGACATCTAGGGTCAGATTTTCACAATTTACAGTAAAAGCTCTTTTGAAAAATCTAGTTGCTAGTGTAGTTGTTAGTGCATGTAAGCAACTTGGAAACTGTGCTGAGCTCAGAGTGTTCTCATGATACTGGTGAAACTTGGTCAGTATGATCAGCTTTGCTTGCACTGCTGTTGCCAGCAAAAATAAAATAGATACAGAATGTTTATGTACTGCACTAGGTGTTTGCAGGCTCAATATTTGCAGAGGACTTTGAAGTTCTTTGCTGATAGATGCTTTATGAAATTATATATGTCTGTAGTAACGAAGAGTATGTTTTCTTTCAATATAGATGTTTGCAATGGAGCAGTTCATGGGAATGAATGCATTATTTAACAATACAAATTACATCACTTCAGACTTACCACTACGAACAGGTAGGAACTATTAATTGCTATTTGATTATGCTATTGTCCTGCTTTTTCTTCCAGTTAATTTTTTTATTAAGTTCTTTTCAGGGGCTTTTTTGTTTACACTCTTGTATTTCATAATACGAGATCCCAAAGTTGTCAACTGGACTTTTTATTACACCCTTATGCATCTCTTTCTTACCCTCCTGAAACTTTCAACAGTGAGGCAAATCTGATTTTCTTTTGGCTGCAACAGAAACTGAAAGTTTCAATCGGTTACATGGTTTGAGTGACCTGTTTTTATAAATGAGTTTGTATTCTTTTTAAAATTTGTATCTTCAGTGACCTACGTGTTTGTATTACCTGTTTGCAGAGTTCAACATGTACTTTTTTTTTTTCATTTGAACGGTTTCATTTATTGTAATAATTCTTAAGGTGCTTGTTTTTCACTAATAAAGTGTAGAGTATATTCAACTTCCTGTATCATTTGAATCTGTTTTTCCTTCTCGGTGACTTTGCTGTTTCCTGTAAAGTGGCAGTCTGGTATTAAAAGTACCTGACAATTTCCTGAATAATAACACTAGTTTGACAGTTCAGAGTCAAATTTTGCAACCAATTGCTGAAAATAAGCAAATAGTATTCTGCAAAGGTCTGACATGTAGTTCATCCCATATGGTTCCAGAACGGGAATGTCAAATAGAAATGTGTTATATCTCAGCCAGTATTAGCTGCTTGATCAATATCGGTCTGGTTTTGCTTATTAAATTTCTTTATGAGTGTTACTTCTGGCTTGAATTTAGAAAGCTCTTTCTCCTGCTTAGTTTATTAGAATAGCTGATACGAAAGGAGGAAGGAAATAAAAATTTATTTAAGCTTATGAGGTTTCTCTCAATATATATTTCCAATATAGCTATTAATGTCTTTTAACGTGACAACTTTCTATTGTCTGTCTGACTGTTGTATCAGGTCTTAGCTGGTATCTTTTGTATTGCAGATTGCTTTCGTTTGTTGAAAATGCAAATCACTTTTGTTTGCAATCTTTGACATGCTTGACAGCAGTGAAGGTGTGAAGGGTAAAATGAAATAAGCAGTTCATTTTTTACTTCACTTTACTAGGGGTGTAAAAATCCACCCTAAAGTAACAATAAATGCTGATTTAAAAATAAAAATTGAGGCATGCTTACTGTTTCAGTGTTTCCTGGTTTAAATCATGCTTCAGTTTTCTTGATTGAATAGTAGTGAGGAGGGATCAAGAAACAAATGGTACAGATAATTTTGTTTCAAGATAAAATGTTCTGATGAACAAAGCTCTTGACAAATATGGACAAGCATCCAACAAATTAATGTTGCAATGATTTGTTTGCAGTGTGTTTTTATTAAGACAGATAAAATTGTTCACTAAAATTAATCCGTGTAGGATTAAAGGGCTTGTGCGTTGTATTCCAAGGTTTTTTTCCACTGTTCTCTCAGAGTGGCTGTGGAACAAATAAGGTTATTGGAATTTTGATTTCCCCATAATGATCTCTTTTACACGTACCTTTTAAGCTTACTCTGTACTCCTCATGCCAGACTCATTCCATACAAATTATTCAGATATATAAAACTGATTTTCAGATATCTGTGTCCTGTCTAAACTAGAAAACAGCTGTTTCTAAAAATGTGTGTGGGAGTCAAGAATTTACTGAGCTCTGCAGCCACAGAAAACTCTTACTGGACTAAGTCTAGTTATGTCCTTAATTTGCAAAATTGCTTAGAAAATGCCTTCTTTTTTTTAGTGGCAGTGGTCTTTTCTACTGCTGCACTATAGTTAGCAAGTTCCCTGTGTATGAAGTGGGATTTAATAAAGGACCGTGGATTTCAGGTTATCACAAACAAAAAATTAATTCTAAGTTTTAGGAAAGGCTGATAATTCAATAGCATCTGATGGTGCCATAATGATTTGGTTTCTTGAGTAGTAGCACTATAATGCTTACTTCCTGCCCTGCTTGAAACAATGTTGTGTCATTACTATGGACTAGCTTTTCAATTATAAGGTAATATAGTAATTTATATACTACACTTCAGTTGTTTACAAGCAGGATCTAATGATTTCTTTCTACACAGCAAGGCCAGTTAAAAATTCATGTGGGATTTTCCAAAAAAGTACTTCCAGCTGAGATATGGAGAGGGTGAAATAAGTGTTCTACAAAGGATTTTTCTCTAGGACGGTTGGATGATTTAAACGGAAAGAACTGAAGACACTAATTGTTCTTTGTGATTTGGTGTGGTGCCTACATCTTTCAATCTGCGCATTCATGAACTCACAATGTCAGACTTATTGCACTGGCAGGCAGGTTTAATATGTAACTGTGAATTGCCGTATCATGCCAGCGTAGCTGAATCAACAAATAGCTGGGGAATTTGGGGACTTTCTGATGGTAGGTGTTCTGTTGTTAGGTTAATATTTACAGTAATAGTAGAAAACCTTTGAGACGTCAGGACACAGATTTTCTCGGTGAGGTTGTCAGCGCTCAAGTGTCTGCTCACTTCTCTTACTATCTCATGTACGTTAAAGCTGAAGTAAAAATTCGACTTGGTTATTTTGGCTCTAAAACTGTAGGAGATAGTTACATGATTCAAGTTCTACATTTATATCTAAATCTAGAAAGAGAAGCAGTCTCTGTGTGCCGTGGGTGACAAAAAGATATACCTATAACAACTGCCATAAACAGTTCAAACTGCAAGACTGAGCTGTGTGTTTAAAACACCACTAGCAGCAAAGGCAGTATGTCAGGGTCAGCCTCTTCTTTGGCTCCTTGGGAAGTATCCTGCCTTTGAGAGTTAGGTACTAATCCTCAGTGGCATTGGGGATGGAGGGAGCATTATCCCTGGCATGTATTTAGGCAGTGTAAAAGCAGATATGCATCAGTGTGATGTCCACTGTGTAGCTGCGGGACAAAGCGATTGCTTCAATTGGAGAGAAAATGGGCAGAGCTCTGAGCAAAGCATTCCAGAATTTGGGGTTAGAGATGTTTTTTGGAACTAGTTAGTCATTTTGGTTTTTAGGGACTCTGGTCTACTGGGTGTTGACGTTAAGGTGTTGTGTTTTTAAGCCTGTGAAGTGGATTCAGGGCTATCAGTAGCTGAACAGTATTGCCTGGAGGCTGCTAAAATTACAGTTTTCTCATATTTCTTTAACATCCTCTGCGGAGCCCTCTGTGATGCTTGCTGTTGAAAAAGGAGAAGGGCATAGAGGGAAAAAGAAGGCACTTAGAAAAAACCTTATTTCATGTTTTTTCAGAGAGAGTTAATGTTAGAGATTCAAGAAGTCTGACCATCACCAAAAATTAGATGAGTGTTTGTTTTCCCTGTCCTGTGGGGACAAGCAGATTTGTGTACTGTTTCTGGTGTTTATTCCTGATCCCCTGTGCTTGTATTTCGAAGAGTGATTTAAACATCATGCTTTGAACACTGCAGAGCTGAGATGCGAGGGAGCGTTCCTGTGGGGGTGAGTCCCTTAGGGGGAGGAGGACATGCAAATGCTACGGTAGGCCTTTCTGGAAGGATGAGACACCAGATTTAGAGTCTGAGCTTTTAGCAGCAAGGTACTACCACTGCCAGAATGGACATAAGGGGGTTGGTGTTGGATTTAACAATCAAAACTTAAGAGGGTATGAGTGTTTTCATCGACGTCCACGGAGCAGAACAGCACACGGTTACAAGGGCGAGGTGCCTGCTCCAGGGAACCCACTAACAGACAGGAGGTGAGGGGGGGGCTTCACCACAGCTAGTTGCAGGTTAAATTGAATGGCTTCAGGTACCAGGTAAGCTGTTAGATGAAGGACTGCACAAGTCCTAGGGAGCTGCCTGGCTTGCAAGGAAACCCCACCAACCTCCCAGACCCCTTTTTTCTTGACTGAAGCTATGATGGGAAGGGAACCAAGAGGAAACCAAAGACGGGTGCTCCTTTGGGAAGCGTGTGTGCAGGGTGAGGCCTGTCAAGAGGAAGAAAGAATGTAAGTGGTGGGAGTGTCAAGATGCAGGAGGGCCTCTGACTCAGGCAGGAAGGAAAATGAAGAAATGTAGCAGTTGAAGAAGCCGTGGGGAAGTGGGATTGTGACTCAGGCTGGAGGGGAGGCAGTGGGATGCAAATCGGTCTGTGGCAACCAAGGCGAGAAGACAGAAAAGGAAGCACTGAAGCATACCCAGGATGTGGCGGTCTGCACCAAACCCCCTCCCGGCTGGAGGACTGCAGGTTTTAATTGCAGTTCTGACTGCAATGAACTGACTGCAGCAGCACCAGGCAAATCATGAGGAGTGCTTATGTCAAAACTTGGCTCTTGTCAACCATGAGAGTCATCCCTGTGCAGAGGCCGGCTCCATGACTGTATGCCGCTTCAGCCTCTGTAGGGCAAAAATAGAATTTAAGCTACGTATTAAGTAGCACTACTGCTTGTGGTTGTTTAACACTTAAACAAGAACTTGAAGCAAGCAACTTTCCATCCTAGAGCGGAGGTGCAAAAGATCGTCACAAATCTCGTCATTATTAGTGCCTCTTACAAGGTGTCTTCCTGCTATCTGTTTAAACCAGATATATCTACTACTAGAAGTAAAATATTAAAAACTTCCCTGTGCAAAGCACTAAAAATCATTTATTTTCCCCAAGGGAAAGGATGAGAGAGAGGAAGGAGGAACCACACGTAGCCAATAGGCTGTCTGTCTAATGTACTTCTGGAAAGTATTCAGAGTTTAGTGAAGACAGCTGTATAAGACCTTCCACTAGGCAAAATCCTTTTTATAGTCAAACATGCCATTTATGCTTGGAAGTTAGCTTGACTATTGCTGCTTTATTTTTAAATAGCATTTCAGATATATTCAAGTGCCTTGCGTTAGAATGCCTTCTCTATGCTGTTACTTGGATCTGGTTCAGATGCTATACCAGAGAGTTACTTAGTCATTGTATAAAAGGAAATGCTTAGTCACAAAACACAAAGGTTGAAATGAGACCACACAAAACTTTGTTTTATATACATTAGTATATGATTTATATAATCTGGATTAATCATAACAGACATCTAATTTGCCTTTGTACATTTATACTGCACCTTTTGTGCACTTTCCTAGTATTAATATGTAAGATATTTTAATTCTTTTTCTATCAGTATATCTGTATGCTTTTTATAAGTTTTTTTTCCAAGGAGACATAAGAACACCTGTTCTAAGTTTTCCATTTTCCTGAGTTTTCACAAGTGCCGTGCAAGCTAAAGTGGTTTTAAAACTAAAGTGGTATGAAGAATTCCCCTTGAGCTTTCCAATATGCCAATGTGGTATATAGCCCTCTCTTGGGAGTTTGAATTCCTTATAATGAGGAAAAGTTGGAACCTGGGTCTGCTGCATCCTGGGGGACTGCAGTGGCCATTTAACTGTTGGGTAAAAGAGTGCTTGCTTTTCTGGCTAATGTTTAAGAGAAAACAGTAGTATTTTGTGCTGATACTGACCCAATGTATATGCCTTGAAAATGAACTCCTAAGGGGGTAACAGCCAAAGAACAATTACTTGGCAGATCCTGCCCTGAAGGCTTGGTTGAAAGTTGAACTACATAGTTATATTTTAGGTGCGTTATTTCTGCCAGTGCCTAGAAGATACAAGGCCTCTGCATTGTTAAAGTATAAAATTTTAGATGCCTAAAGCATGAGGAGGGTTAGATGTCTGTGAACAGAGGTCTTAAATTTAAGTGCCGATGTAATGCTTAAGCCCAACTCAACTCATCTTGACTCCATGTTACAGACAAAAACTGAAACATAAAACCACACCAAAGCCCTGTATAGGTTTTCTACATCTTTTATAGTTTCTGAAGTCCAAGCTGGTTTTCATGCTTTCTAATGTAAGGTGATGTGTATATTGTCTTGAGGCAATTGTTTGCATGACTCCAAGATTTTAATTGTAGCACTGTTTACTGTTTTACAGGAAGAGTGTTGGACTTGGGAAATAGTTAATTTTTTGTATGTGAAATTGTGCATTTGCAATATAACTTTGGCATGAAGCTAATTCAGTTGCTGAGTCAGCTAACTTCAACAGCAAAATACTAATTCCGTCTGTTAGTATATTTATAAAAACTTTCATTTTGAGAGAAGCCTGGTCAGTTAAGACCTGTGCTGACTAAAGGCATGAAGGTCTGGTTTATTGAGGTGAAGTTGTATTGAGGAGCTGAGAAGGATGCGTGTAGTCATGCTACAAACTATAAATTAATGAATCCTCTGCCATTTTTAATTATCAGTGAACATTAGGCTTATTGGCAAGTTAAAGTTGATGCAAGTATGCAGTTCTGTGCTGAAGCCAGGTACTACCTAGGTAAGGTAGCTGGATGGTGTGGTACTTGCAGATGGTGCAAGAGACAGATTGCACCTGGCTGTTGGCGGGGCATGGTATGCTTTATATGCTTGCAGGCTCTGTCACATAGCTGTGGCTCCTCTGCTTTGGAGGTTTCGTGTGTTCCTGTGAGCTTGCTTGATTCCTTGGCATTAATACCTTTTAATAGAGTATAAGTAGTGATACATAATTCCAACCGGAATATAGCTGGCAAAATATTGTGTAGGTATTCACAGTGAAGCTGTCCTTTGGGATCCGCTTTGATAACAATTGTAATTTACCGTTGAAATCGGAATCTTCTTTTCTGCTTAGCAAGAGGCAGGGAAGAAATCATACCTCTCAGAGCTGTTGTTTTCAGACTCAGGAGTGACACATTTTAAGAGGTATTTCATAGCCATTCGCCTAGAGAGCTTCCCTTCTCTATGCAAATAATCTAAACGATCAGAGTTGGAGGTAAGCTTTGATCAGGTGATGAATTCTTAACTCTGGTGGCACAGAGTTCTCATTGGATTTAGGGCCTGCTCAAAGGCTTTTTAAACTGAATTTTGAATGAGATTTATGGTATGAAGTTAGCCACTGTTCAGGGAGTGGTGCCAGACTGAAAGTTGTTTAAGGAAGCCTTCTTTGAAAGACACAATTAGAGTTTTAGTAAAACATAATCCTATGTATTGGCATTGTACTCAAAGATGGATCTCATTATAGAGTCTGCATCTGTAGTCAGAGTGTGTTCAGTGTTTTTAGAGGCACAGCAGAACTGTAAATTTAAAAGTATATCTGAAATTATTAAAAGAATGTAAATTGTTTAGTCTCCTCAAGTCCAGGGTTTTTTTTAAAGCCGTTCTGACTGTTAGGACATGTTAAGACAGCTTAAATTCCTCCTGTATTCCCATACCTCAGAGCTTCCCATTGGCTGTCGCTAGACTTTCAAAAGCACCCATTCAGTAGGAAGCCCTAAGGCCAAAAGCTTGTGAGCATAGTCTTTAGAGCCCAAGGGGCTTAAATACAAAAGTTAACCTTAGCTCAGGAAGGCCAGGCTGCTTGTCAGTGGCAAGGGGAGGATCCTGTTCTTAACTCCCCCTTTTGAGACTTAACCGAGTAATAAGAGTTACCCATTTAGGCCCTCTGAGCTAAAATTAAAAATTTTGAGTTAATCCTTCCCTTCTTACTCCACCGGTCTTAGGGAATGATGGAAATGACAGACTGCCGAGTGATTAAATTATTTATTAAAATTTAAGTTCTGAAGATGCTTAGGTGCTTTCAAAAACTTTAACTGTGGCTATTCAAGGACATCACTTTTACCCCTGCAAATTACGTCATGCTAATAGAAATATAATTTCTATCATGACTTTTCTTTCTTTTATGTTAGCAGATGGACCGTATCTTCAAATCATAGAACAGCCAAAACAGGTAAGAACAACACTGCATTTTGAAAAATCTTTATGATAGCTATGTCACTATATTCATCTTTTTTAAAAAAAAGATGATTTAAGATGAGAAAAAAAGTGTGTTGAAGGTGTTGAACTCTCGTGACAAATGTGGTACTTAAGCATGAGGAGTTTTTCCTGTCACTTTTGTAGTTACATTGTTTCCTGTTTTGTTCTGTTTTCATCTTTGTGTCTCTCTGGAAGTGTCAGAAGACAAAAAAAACCCTGAGGGTGTTAAAAAAATGTTTTGCTAAGTATTATAGACTCTTTGTCTTAGAAGTGACTCTTACAGTACCCCAGTATTTTGGAACGTAAATTATTAGACCAAACATGGAAGATTATTAGAATTTGTTTCACATTTCTTGAAATACATGAAAGAAAAAATAAAAACATCTCATTCTGTTCCCAGGTTACAGGAACTTTTGACTTGTGCTTTGTCATCATTAAGAAATTTTGTTGTCTCTTGAGATTCCTTTTGTCACAGTTGGCTTTTTGAATAACCTGAGAAAAACGAAGAATGTAAAGTTACTTGAATGTAACTCTTGTTACTTGAAAGTTACTTGAATGTAACTCTTTTGTGACTGTATAGCAAACACTCATTTATGCTTCTCTGGTAGTATGAAAGTTGTCCCAGTGCACTGGGTAGTTTTCAAGCAAATGATGTACAAATAATTACTGGATCAAGATTGCCCTGAAGTATGCCAGGGTGGTGTTCCCCTTTGGCTGGTGGCATCAGCAATTACAAGTATTCCTCCTGAAGCTATTACAGCTTACGGAGACCCCTTTCCTGCCTCTCCCAATCAGTTGCATAAAATCCTACCTTATAGAGCTGTTAAGTAGACAGGGAAAGAGGGTGACTAAAAGCTGTCCCATCCTCCTCTTGGTCTTCTGCAGAAGCATGCCACAATCCAGCCTTCCAGTAGGAGGTGGGAGACATTTGTTTCAGCCACACACCAAAGATTTTTTTTTTTTTCCAGCATCCCTCCAGGAATAGGGGCATTTCATGATTATATGTGAAACAGCAGTGTACTGTGAACTTTTGGAAGAAAGCGCTGCCTCTTCCTTGTTGTTCTAGTTCATCCCAAATCAGGCCATGTCTTTGCATGGTGGAGCCTACAGTGTGCAGTACCTAAGGAGAAATCATTGTTTCCATGCATGACTTCTCAGCCAGCAGCTCCTGTAGTGGAGTACCCATGTGACAAGCTGGGCAATGGTTTTTAACAGGGTGATGAGGGTGGTCCATCAGCAGAGTGCTGTGCTTGTGATCATTTTTGGAGCAAAGAGACAGCCTGGGGGGAGTTAAACTATACTAGTAAAATCATAGCTAGGATAGCAAGGGCAATATAGACTGGGGAATACCACAGAGATGACAGCGGGAGCTGTTGGATTGAAGGCATAGAGGTGAAGAGAGACTGGATTGTCTCATGTGTCATGACTGCAGAGGTTGCTTTGCCTTTTGGGCATCTTGAGTTCAAGCTTGTCATAGCCAGGCACTTCACTTGCAATACATTTGATTACTCACTTCACAGTTGGAAGGTAAATATGTGCTTAAGGATGAGTTACATTGGCTGGTCAGTATCTGAATAAACATCAGATCTTTAAATTTGTCTGGGAAACAAGTTCTTTAGTGAGATAGGTAGTGAAGCTAATGATTACAGAGTCATTTTGAACTGTGTTGTTCACTGTCAGCTAATACAAACTTTGAATTCAGTGTTGTCTATTAGAAAGAAACTGAATGAGGGATACAACACTAACTGGTGCTGTTTGGACAGACACTGGAAGCCCTATATGAGACATCTCCTATATGAGATTTTGCCAGAAATGGCAGGACTGGGGAGTGGATCTGAAAGTATGCAAAAGTGGGGCCATGTGAAATAACGTAGTTAAGTAGAATTAGAGTTACCAAGTACATTTGCTTAAGAGTTGCATCTTTTGTGCTTTATAGATTACCCTCTAAAGCAAAGGGGATGCTACTTCCTATAAATAAAAACAGAATAAATGGACAGCTGTACTTTAGAGTGGTTGCTAATATCCTGCAGTTCCCTAAAGTCTATTCAAACATCTATTTATGTAGCCAAGATGGAAACCCAGTCAAAGTCTCCTGAAGCTTTTGTGGACTCCACTTGGAGATACAGCTTTCACATGCTCTTCCCAGAAGGAAGAAGCATTTCTGTTTCATCTCTGTTCTTTTCTTTATGAAGCTGTGGACTTCCTTTATTATTATTGGCTTCCATTCTCTCTACCTAGCAGCAATCATGGGAGAGAGTATCTGCTCTTATGTTCTTTATCTTTTAATTTTTATTTTGTTCTGAGAGTATAAATAGATCTCTGCTTCTAAGTATCTTCACTTACTGAAAGAAAATTTTCAGGTTGCTGCTGTGGGTAAGAGTAAGAATAGAACAGTTTCTCCAGGGCTACAGTTATGAACTTCGTATGCTTTGTTTAACCAGCACTCAGATAGCATTTCAGGGATGAACAGTTGTAACTTTTCTGTTTGTGGGCTGTTTGGGCAAGTCTTGTTTGTATGTGTGTGTGCTTGCTTTTTTAGTTCTGTTTCTAAGCAGCTTTCAAGTTTCTTTTCCTTTATTTCCACAGAGGGGTTTTCGTTTCCGATACGTTTGTGAAGGGCCTTCGCATGGTGGGCTGCCTGGTGCTTCTAGTGAAAAGAACAAAAAATCATACCCTCAGGTGAAAGTAAGTACATAAATCATTAATTTTGCAACCTGAATGTAATTGTCGTATGTATGTGTATATGATCTTACTGCATAGCAACAAAAATTTGTATGAAATTACTCGAGACTGACTGCATTTCAATCCCAACTTTTAAAATGTGATTGAGTTTGAAAAGAAACGCGTCTTCAGATTTGTGGGGTTATTTTGGCACCATATTTGTCTGCCAGCAGTTGAGCAGTAAGTTTGCCTGCACTTACCATCTCCCTGCCCTCGTGCAGACTGATGGAGTTCTTCCTTAGAATGCAGTTTTGGCATCGAGCAAGGCCTGAGCTGATCAACTGCTCCACTTCTGCCATACTGCAAAGCATGAGTCTGGTCAGTTATTCCACTTCCCTCTAAGATCCTATTTACCAAGTTTTCCTTCTTTTTTTGTTCGTATTACTCCTTATTTAATATCTCTTGGGTACTCAGTTCTTAAGGACATTCTTAAAGTCGTTTTAAGGACGTTCTTAAAGTCAAAGGAAAATTTCCTATTTTAATAGGAGCAGCATTATGTTAGAGCAGGTTTTCGCTGAATGTTTTTTGGGACTTTTTTTTCCTGGAAAAAATTCAAGGATGTTAATTAAAGAAATGTTCTGTGCTATGAAGATTATGACACTGGTGATTAGTCATTCTAGGATTAGAGAAGAACTGTCTTTGCCCATGGTTTGTGTGGAAAAGATACTCTGTGTCTTTTTGGAATTTTTTTCATGAAAGTGTTAGTCTTGGTATTGCAGTAGAGATTGCCTTAAGAGGAGCAGGGTTAATGTATTTTAATTCTGGTGTTCTCTCTTACTCTCTGCTTCAGGGGGAGAGAAGGGAAGAGTGGCAAGCAGTCAGCCTCTGTCTTGGTGTGTGCCACTCCTCAGCTTTCTCCCCAGTACGCGTGTAGTTCTTCCACAGTTCTTGAGAAAGGCCGGAATTTGGAACAGTTGCATCTCCATAATGAATCAGGATGAGCATGACTCAATGGAAAGTAATCAGCATTGGCTGAGATAGCCTAGGGTGTTAGTCTTGCAAATTGAGAAGAGGCTGGGAAAGCTAATTTCATATGGCCTTGCAAAACTCCTCTGAAAATTTACTAGCCCAGGCAAAGGATCTACTTGCTTTTCCCTTTCCTGCTGCGATGGTAATGATGAACCAAAGAATGAAATTTCACTGGTATGTTCCAGATAGAAAATAATTTACCTCAATTGAGCCAGATCTTTGGATTCCAATCCAGTCTGTATTGATAATAACACAATGTTTTATTTATTTTTTTATTTATTTAATACTTTATAACGGTGTGATGAGTCGCACAATAGCTTGACAAGAAGTGAGGAGTTACATAGAAAATGGAATTTCTCCATGAGTAAACTAGAAAGCAAAATGTTCTTTGGCTTTCCATCAAACCTGTTTTCATTGATCATCAGATTTTAATTTAATCTAAAGCTTCCCCCCACCTCCAACCACACACGTGTGTCCCTTCCCCTCCCTCCCTCTCGTCCTGCTGTGTGCATCTGGGTTTTTTTCTAGTACAAATCCCCACATGGCAACACCTGCTGGGAGAGGCTGGCAAAGGAACACAACAAGTAAATTCCTCAAGGCCATTGCTTGTTAGTGCCTGTTCTTGATTCAAGTGGTGCCAGTAAAGACAGAAGTGTTTCTTTCACACCTTTTCCTGTAAGTCTCTTCTGTGTTTTGTCAAAGGGTGCTCACCTTGTCATAACTGAGGTGAGTACAATTGAAGATTGCTGGGTTTTGTTGCATTGGGTTTTTTTCTTTTTTGCTTTGTTTTGGGTTTTTTGATTTGGTTTTGGGTTTTGGTTGGGTTTTTTTTAGTATTGTGCCAAGGCTTTCACCATAAGACCTCCATTAGTTGATCACAGCGCTGTGAAAGGACAGTAGCATGGCTGTACTGTAAAAGGAGGTCTGATCTTTAAACCTTGGCCATGGTGTGGTTGGTGCAGCTCACATTGGGATCTCTCTTCTGCTTGGCCAACTCTGCACAGAAAGCTGATATAATTTCCCAGCAGCTGCCATGGGATGTCCTGAAAGTACACATCTTGAGTACACAAAAAAGCATTGCAGTCTCTCTAGTCCCTTTTTTGTAGGCCAAAAGAAAACACGTTTATCTGATATGACCTCTTATCCAATGTGAACTGTTTAATTTCACCCGTTTTCCCTCACCCAGTCCCTAACTTGTGGCTGAGCTGGAACACGTCAAGATGTATCTTTCATTTAAAGGCTGAAGTGTTGAAGACTTTGCTATGTCTCTAAGCAAGATGCTTTGGTAGATAATTACATATTTCCCCACCTCCTGTATAGTATATTAGGAGATAGTGTAGGTCAGGAGTTAGCGTAGCAGTTGTGCAATGCCTGTCTTTGTGCTTAAGACAGATCTGCACTGGGCAGCAAGGTGGACTTAATTTAAAACCTCTTCTTTTAACAGTACAGTCATGGCAAATGAAGTCTAGATAACAGTAGTATTTTTCTGTAGTATCAAAAATGGGACTAATTAATCTTTATGGTTTATGGAATTATATTCCTTTGTTTAACCCTGTTTTTGCTCACAGTAATCTTAATATCATGTACAAAACATCTTACGTTTTCAGAGAATTTTTTATAACTTTGCATGTACTTAATGGAGCGCAGAGAAGTTGTAAATACTGAATATACTATAATGAAGTTACATTTCATGACAAGTTTCATGATTATAGTAGAAAGTGACCTAAAATTCTTCATTTAAATTTCATTTTTGCCTGCTTAGTGTAAGTAATACAGCACTGGAAATTTTTACTGTCTAGAACAGTTGAAATCAAAGCTCCTGAGCTGCTTATTCACCATTAGCTTTTTGTCCAGGGGAAGAAACAATTAATAGTATAAGAAGAAAGAATAAAACTGAATTATATAATATTATCACTGACTTAACTAGCTTAAATTTTTTATTCACAATTTCTTTATTTTTATGTATTTGAAGACTTGTGAGAAAACTTGCACAAAAAACTTCTACTGGCCTTCTTACGTGTTTACCATGTTTGTCTTGATCTTGTGTACTGATGTTAGTGTAGGCATATTCATGTTTTACACTGCAGTACTTGATCCAGTTTTGGGTGTGAAAAGAATTTGCTGAAAATAGTGGTGTGAAGGAAATGTCCTGAGTTTTCATCTCCTTGGGGGCAAATCTACGTGGGTGGCTGCAAACTCAAGTTGCCTATTCTTTGTGAGCTGGATGTAAATCAGCTCCAGCCCAGAGGCTGGGTAACCAATGTCTCAGAGGTGTGATTGCTCAGAGGTGTGCCGGAGCTAACGAGCACCATCTCTCTGCCCATGAGTCTGGACGTTGTGCAGTTCAGTGTGCGAATGGAAGTTGCATACCAGTTAGGCAGCCCTGAACCCCAGGCACCTGAACAGGAGGGCTGCCCATCCAGGTATGTCCTGGGGCTATCCTAAATTATACCTCCATTTGAAGATAAGCGTTCTTATTGAAATTGGGGATTTCAGCACATACTTCCAAGTTCAGGAGGGGAATTTATGGAAAATTAGTCAAGTTACTTTGTTGATGAGCCTTTTTGGTGAAGAAAGGAGCAGCGTATTTGTTTTTTTCTCCCCATAGGAATTAATCACTGATCACTGATTACAAGTTAAAAATTCTTTCAGATGCTGAATTAAGGAATAGACACGAGACACTTTACCCCTCTTAAAAACTTATGCTGAACCAGATTCAGCCAAAGCTAAATTCAGTGAGATCTGTGCTTTTTTTACTGTTACCATTAATTTGGCTGAATATGGGGCACCGAGTTCCTTGAATTGGGCTCCTAAAGCCAAGCATTTAACTCATATTTTTAACATGGGAGTGACCTCACATTCAGAGGATCAGAAGATCTTCGGCTCCCATTGGTGTAAGTTACTTTATATTGATTCTTCTTAGACCCCTAAGTATTCAGTTGCCTAAATGATTTGTACCGCATCTGAAATATGTTGTCTTAAACTAGCAACTGGAAAAAAAAAAAAAAGATGCTGCTGTTCTGTGAAAACATACTGTTTATAAAGAACAAGATGCCTTTGTAAAGATGCCTCATCCACAGAACACCTTTTATACATGCTTATTGGGGAGAGCAGTAGTCACAGTTGGAAGGTTAGGCAGGATTGGGGCTATAGTTGCTATAACAAAGTCATTAGAAAGAGAAATAGTTACTTTTGTCATTGCTGGCTTTGTAGGTTTGACATGGTCTTTTCCATCTTTTGCTTTCTGTCATTTACCAGTTGGTTTCACTTCTTGCTTTTAAGAGTAACTGGAAAAAACAAGTTTGAAGTAGGAAAATGTTCTTATAAAGTTTTTGTAAAGTTTCAGAAACTATAAAAATTGGCAGGGTCTGGATTGCAGGAGGATGTGAAATAACTGAAAAAACTTTCAACTCTTGTTTTGAAATTGACTCAATTTCAAGTTCACAGGGTCCTTTTAATCTCTCAGACAAATCTCTCTCAAACAGAAACGGCAGATAAATGTGAGCCTGCAGCATTTTAACTTTATCAGATTAGATAAATTGAATGCTGCTTCAGTACAGGATGTAATCAAGTATTACAGCTATGCTCTTCCCAGGAACTCCTTATTTCTTTTTGCTTTCCTATCTTTAGTTTGAAGTTCAGTTGCTATTTTTTTCAGACCACAGCTCTGATTTTGAGCAGTGCAGAACACACATGATCTCCCCCTCATGTTGACTATATATATTTTTGTGTCAACACCATAATCCTCAGTTATCTGTAGATATTCACCATTGTAAAATACCCTCTATCTTTTCATGCTTTTGACGGTGTTTTTCAAGTTCTTATGTAAAAGATTATAGTTATTTGTGTATCTTAGTGCCAGAATAAATTTTAAGGTATTCTGAAATCGTGGTGTCAGTGATTCAAAAACACTGAAAAGTTATTTCAGAGTTAATTTATTGTGCAAAAGGATATTTAGTCACTGAGGCTATTTTGCTGGGCACCGACATAACCTGGATGTCTAAAAATCGAGTAGGAAAGTTTGTCTCTAAGAAATACAGGTAGGAAACAATTCAGGGACATTCTGTAGCTTTTGCAGCATGGGACTTCAGACTGAATGACAAAAATAGTCCTTTCTTGCCTTATGACCTACATAAGGTATTACGTTTTAAGAATTCTTTTGTTTTTCCCCTGAGAGGAGAGACTACAAAGATCATGCTGAGCTGAGTAAGAGGGGGAGATTGCAATCTGGTTATGGCTGTATTTGTATGTTCTGCTTTCAGAGGCTGGAAAGTCCTTGACGTGCAGCAGTCCTACCTACAGTTTCACTGTGGTTTCTACAGCTGATGAAGGATTGTCTTGAACTTTTCTGGTGTGATACTGGAACATGCGTGTTACTCATAATGAATGTAACACTATAGTTGTGCTGGGAACTTTATAGCAGGGAAAGGCTAGTTTAGTGAGGGATAAAATGAAAATAGTTTTTTTTGAAGCCATCCTCTTGAGAAGTTAATTGTCATAGTGGTGGTGACATGTAGCACCAAACACAATCATTTTTATTTTCAGATTACTTTGTGAAAGTTACATAGGGATCTCTTCCTTTTGTCATTGCTGGGAAATGGTAGAAATGGTGAAGCAGTGATTATTCTGCATCTCTGTTGTTGTTTCAGTCCAGGAGGGGTTCCAATTTGGAAACAGGAGGGAAGCACGAGTACCCCATGTTTTGTATGTTAGAAAGTGCCACTTGTATAATGCACATTGTACAGTTAACTGGCAGGCAGTGAGTAATGAGAGAACTTTTGCACACCTGTTCCTCCTGGAACAGCTTTTTCATAGTTGGGATTTTTTTTGCTTTTAGCAGTGAATGGGAAGATGGGGAGGGCACGAGTTGTATGTATGCAGAGTGTTTCAGCTGTGATGGAATGGGTTCAAGAGAGGGGTTAACTGGAGTGAAGGAAGGTAGCAGGACTTAGTAATGTGGTAAAATTGTGGCAATCCCCGGTTATCAGCATTTTATCAACAATATAACCTTAAGTATTCAGTTCATCACTGTTTCATCACTTTAATGTTTATCGTGATCCTTTAATACCATGGTTGATTAGATCTATAAGGTGCTGTAATACAAAGAACTTTGCCCAGGGCAAATTAGAAGAAAAATTAGAGGAGGAGGGAAAAAACCCAACATTGATAAAAGGGTTAATTAAGTGAATTGGAAGGGAAGGTAATGTTTGCTTTTTAAAAAGCATAATATTCAGCATAATTTGAAAGTGGTACGTAAGCGATAACTGACTTGAAGAGTATTATTTGTGAGAAAAGAAAATAAAGTTCTAAGTAATATACGTAAAGCAAATAACTTACCAATACAGTATGTTATTAGTAATTTTAGGTTTGGTTTTGAGGCATTAATTGACATCACAATTCTAAAAGCTATTAAACAATGTATGGTGATTAGAAACTATAAATGGGTGGGGAGAAAGCTTTGTAGTCCTCCAGAGTTGGCCGTACTAAGGCACCCAGTTTATCATAGTTCCAGTCCTGCAAAATCTTAGGTGGGGATTTATCATATATCCTCATGTACACTGAAGGGAAATATTTACTGGACTGGGTAATATGTGTTGGTGTAGTATATTGAACTAAGAAAATATCTACAAATATATAATTAATTCACTTCAAAATCTCTACTTCAGGAGTTATTGTAATGAGGCCAAAATATTTAAAAACAATCATAATATTTAACAATATTTTTAAAAGTTGTTTTCAAATTGAGCAAAATAATGCAGGGGATTTTGTTAAATATGTACATTTTCTTTATGCTTCTTAACATTTAACAATGTTTATTGTGAATTCAATGTACTAATTGAAATTTAAGGAGAGCAATGTGGAGTATCTGGCCGGAATGTAAAACTGAGATTGATAATTTGGGAAACAGCACGGTGCTGTCCTTCAGCTTTGTTTTATTTTTCAACTTTTTTGATCACTTCTGCCACTTGTATGTCAAGGTTAATTTAAAAAAAACAAAGTGTTGGCTGTTCTTTGTGATGATCTGGTACAGTTAGTTTGTCATTTGTATTTCATGAGGAAATGCCTACACATTTCTCCTATGTAGGTTTGATTGTACTTAACTGACAGAGAAGACTCAACTGGAATCATTACTTGTTCCATTTTAAAAAAACAAACAAACAATGTGCATTTTTTTGATATTTATTTACAGATCTGCAATTATGTTGGACCTGCAAAAGTAATTGTCCAGTTAGTTACTAATGGGAAATACGTCCACTTACATGCTCACAGTTTGGTGGGTAAATTTTGTGAAGATGGAGTATGCACAGTTAATGCGGGACCGAAAGACATGGTTGTAGGGTAAGTCTGTCGACTCATTTGTAAAGCTGGGCTACGGGAGAAAGAATCAAGTATAAACACCGTACAGACCAATACAGAAATACTCCTAAGAGGCAGTGAAGTGGAGCACTAGTCTTCACGCTCTGATCTGTGTTTTGTTTGTATCTTAAAAAGAAAAAATAAATGGGGTTTCTGTTTACCTTTGTAGAATTCGCCCTAAGCAAGTTAAATAGGTTTAAGCAAATAATTTTCATTTAGATTTCATGGAGTTTCAATCTCCTGGTGTACAATCCAAATTTGTATTGTAAGTTTATTATTTAAAATTTAAGTAGTTTTGATCAAAGAGAAGGGACTGTAAAATTACTGAAGAAAAGCTTTTGTTACCATTTTGATCAATATTTTGCTTTTGCTGAAATCTGCCAATAGGTATAAAGTGAAGAGCATTAAGAAAATGCTCTTTTCTAGGGTTCGTAAATTTGAAATTAATGCAAGACACGTATAAACATGAAAATACTAAATGAGTCAAACTTTTTAAGTTTAAAGCAGGTTGTAGTGAAATTGTAGTTGGTCTGTTCTTGTTTAATTTAAAAGAATAATTGTTTGTATCAGTAAATGGAGCTGAGGCTCCTGTCTACGTTTTCAGGCTTAGATCAGGTTTCATGCTGGCTGTGAGTTTTAGTTCTGTGATCTCAAGAATGTCTTTGTTGGTGAAGAAGATGAAGTTTAAAAAGCTGAGAAGGTTGGGAGAGAGAGATTCTTTTAAACTGTAACTTTTGATGTCCAAGCCCAGTGCAGTAACTTTACCAAGCACAACAATTTAAATAGCTTTATTTGAAATGCTCCTTTTCATCTTGAAAAGTTTGGCTCGTTTCCTAACCTGTCTTGTTTTTCATCAGATGTTTAGAAACAGCTTTCCTATCCTCAATTGACCCACATGAAAATTGAGTTATTGTCTTGTTTTCATACTTCCAGATCTAATTGATTTTTAAATGTGCCAGGAGATTTTTACAAAAGCAGATCTTATGGAAGTTTTCATTGAAATAGATACCTGAAGTGTCTTACTGAACGTCCAGAGCCTTGCTTAAGACATTGCCTTTGGAAAATGTTGCACTGTTTTTACCTTCTACAGATTACTACTTACACCATGGGCACCCATGCAATTGCTGCCCTGTAATGGTGCATGTTTTACATTTTTTGTAAGCTTGGCTGAATTTTTCTAGCTGGAACATTTGCCCTCAGGAATGAATAGTGCCTAAGTAAGGCTATAGAGTTCTTGCACTGCCTTCAGTTGTGTAGCTGCCTCTGCTAAGAGAGAGACAGTGCCTGCTGCAGGTTTGGCATAAAGCATTAAGAAAATATTTCCCTCAATCAAAACTCAACAGGTTTGCAAATCTTGGAATACTTCATGTCACAAAGAAGAAGGTGTTTGAAACTTTGGAAACACGCATGATAGATGCTTGCAAAAAGGGATACAACCCGGGACTCCTGGTGCATCCTGAACTTGGCTATCTGCAGGCAGAAGGATGTGGAGACAGACAACTAACTGGTATGTAGAAATGATGGCCTGGTTTTAATAGGTCTTATACTAAAAGCAGGTTTAGCTTCTGAAAACACAGATTCTTAGCCAAAAAATGACCTTGGGTAGGAAAACAGCCTATGGCTATGTGCTTTAAGAGGTGGCGTGTTGTTGCCGTGTTTTAGGGAACCTGAAAGAAAGCGTCTCTGCTGTCAACATACACATGAGAATGGAGCAACTTCCTCCATAGCTGCCCGTACCCACCTCTGCTCTTCTCCTGTTTAATAAGCTGATAAATAGAGTAATTTTGCATTATTGCTGCAAGTAATTATATCCTCAAGTAACTTAGAGACCTTCTTTTGAGACTGCTATTTCGTTCAGCTGCATTTCACCCATATCCCTCTAAAACCTGTGGTCTACATTGCTTTCAGGCACTGTATAGAAGGGCCAACTTCTCTTTGTCACTCTGATACCAGGCATTCAAATGTCCTTAGTGGTGCCCTTTGTCCTTTTCTTAACCTTTATAAATTGAAAGCAGAAAACAGTTATTTTCTGTATATCTCTTAATTATATACCTTATCTTAAATAACATCTGATGCACAAACTGCAAGATGAATGCAGTGTATTGTGAATAGCTTCTTCTCTCTGCTTAAAAAGAGAGAAGCCGATGGACACTAAATGAAAAGGAAAACATTTCCTCACTATTGGTGCCTTTTGATAATAATGGAATGATAGTTTGGAAAATGCTCTCTCTGTTTTGTTTTGGGTCCCTTACCCTTTGTGTTAATTCTCCTGTCTATTTATCGGTTCCAGAACGAGAAAGAGAAATTATTCGTCAGGCAGCAGCACAGCAGACTAAAGAAATGGATCTCAGTGTGGTGCGTCTCATGTTTACAGCTTTTCTCCCTGACAGTAATGGTAGTTTCACAAGGAAACTTGATCCAGTTATCTCAGATGCAATATATGACAGCAGTAAGTACATTTGGCTTTAGTTACTTTTTTAATAGTGGGCAAGCTTTTGTATGTACAAAAATGATATGTAGATATTGCTATATGTAGACTCATGTCACGTAGCCCTGCTGCTCTCCCGTTATTTGATCAATAACAAGTAAGTAGCCCATGTATAATTGGCCCCATGTCTGTCCAAGTACACATGGTATCATTCTGTTTTTTAATAGATGGTGATGTAAGCCGTACAGGAAGATTTTGTTTTGCTGTTAACATGTTTAATCCTGCCACTTTTATTACGAGGATTTTGTAAATTCTTGTTACATTCGTAAGAAGGGCTTGAACTTTGCAGAGTTTCCAGTTGCTTTTTATAACAAAGCCTTTACCACACAAGATGTGAAGGGAAAAAACTACTTTGCTTCAATCCTGTTGAGAATTTGACACCTTTCAGTTTTACTGGCCATTTGCTTGTCCTTGTTCTGGGAGACTAACACAACCAGAGTTCTCAATCCATTTCCTTTAGACCTGTCAGTATTTTTTTATACTTATTACATCCCGCAATTTGTCTTTCTTCTACATGATTCTTTTCACTTCATATTTTCCCTTGTGCTTTTTGACTTGACTTACTCATCTTACCTTAACCCTTTCTGCTGCCTGAGTTTTCCTCCCTGTATTGGTGGTTTACCATGTTCCCTGATACTTTTTCTGAGTCATTACAGAATGACTAACATTTTTTTTCTTTGGGCAAGTCATGCCTATATCATCACTTTTTAAGGACAAAGTCTAGATGAAAAGGTATTAAATGCAACCGTTCTAATACAGTCTGTTGTTTGCTGTTAATTGGGGGATGTAGTGATGTGGCACAGCCATTTTGCCATTTTACATATATTCACTGAGTGAAAAAATATGATGTCTGCTGTTCTTATGGCACACATGACCTGCATTTTCTGGATGAGAAAACACAATCTTCTCATCTGGTGGCTGAGGTGATTTACTAAGCAGTGTCTTTAAGGGATCCTGATTTTCATTAGAAACAATTACAGATTCCATTTGTTTTCATTACTCTATCTTACACCTGCATAATGATGGAGAGTATTTGTAAACCGAGGAGGAGGAGGAGGACAAAGCATCAACAGAAGTAGAGCATGTATCAAGCCATACATATAAAAGCAATTGAAAGTTATCCTATCCTTCTGAATCTGACCATCAAAATTTGTCTCCAACTATGGATTTTTCTCGGGTTTTTGTTTTTTCTAATACTCTCCATTGGAACCATTCAAACCCTTCCACAGAGCAGACACAACTTGTGGTAGCAGAACCATCTATCACAGCTACTTATCAGATGATAATTCTGTCTTGAGGACCAATAGATATCTGTTGATGACTCCACTAAGATCCCTGGAGGTGGGCTTTTTGGTCATAGTCCCGTATGTTGGCCAAGGACTGACAGAGCTTTCAAGTAAGCCACAGTGTAAAGTAAAGCATTGCATATTGCATTCAAATAGTGAGACACGGAGAGCAGCTCTCAAGAGTGTCATGCTGAGGAGGAAAAAATGACATTCTTTTATAATGCCCTCTTGTCATAAATTTAGAACTGGTGTAGAGTGCTGGATGCAATGCACCGCTGTGCTGCTTTACTGGGGCAGTAATTGTGGTGGAACGGCCAGGGCCTTATTTTATAGTTCACATTCAGTCAAAACAAGATTATGCCTTTCAGATGAAAAACTGTTGATTTATTCATGTTTAAAAAAACATAGACAAATTTATGTAGGCTGTATTGGAGGCTTTTCTTTCTGCTGCATTTCTGTGTGTTATGGTTGGGTTTTTTTGAAATCTAAAACTACTATGAAGGTGGTTTTTTTTATCTTTCCTTTCAATAGAAGCTCCCAATGCCTCCAACTTAAAAATCGTAAGGATGGACAGAACAGCAGGGTGCGTAACAGGAGGGGAAGAGATTTACCTTCTCTGTGACAAGGTTCAGAAAGGTAAGAGTCCTGAGTATGGTGAGGCACACCAGGGTGTTCGTCTGGAGCACATGTGAAGTCTGCTGTGCTGCCTTAGCATTCTCCTGCCCTGATAGTGCAGCAGGGTTTGTAAGCATTCAGCCTTTCTGGAAGTCAGGCCAGCAGTCCAGAAAATTAACAAATGAAAATAGCCTGTTGCAAAGCAAATTCAGCTTGTGTTGCCTCCATAGAGGACAATGTGATCATCTTTGTTCTTCTCAAATTTCTGCCCTTACCCATGTTCTGGGATTTTTGCGGGTGGCAACTCTATTAACTTAACATCTGCTCTGAATTATTCTAAAGTTTCTGATTTATTATTAAGTTCCTGGTTATAAAGAGTAGGTATGAGCATTCCCTGTTAGCCATCAATGGGAGCTGGATGTGTTCAGCACTGCTGCTAGTAGCTTCATTTTAACGTGTATGTTAATGGTAGAGGTGACTTGGTGCAAACATACTTCTCACAGGCTCATTTTGGTAATTTCTGTTCATGGCTACGAGTGTGTCAGGATTGGGCGCTGTGGATTTGGATGCTTTGGTTTTGGACAGGAAAGTCATGGTTAGTGTGGTTTGTTGTACTATTTGGGCTGAACTAAAAAGGGAAAAAACAGGAGTGAGGGAATCCTTTGCACTCTTCAGCTATTGGTGGTATCTGGGCTCCCAGGTGTAGATTGCACAGTGGAGCGGGTGCCCTGTTCTCACCTGCTTGGAATCAGCCCTGCACATGTTATTAAATGCCATTGGCATTTCCTGTTCCTACAGGTGGTCTTTTCCAGCTCTCTTTCTTGCAAATGTTCTTCTACCACTTAGGAAAGAGAGAAGGGACTTTGGGGGCTTTTAGGGGCTTTGAAAAAAATGTTTTTCTTCAGTAGTGTATATAGGCTCTGCTATCAGAAGGGCTGAGATGAAACATAACTCTTGTGCACAAAATAAATAAATAAATGTCTGACTCAGTGGAAGCCCTGAGGTGGGGTTTCCCCTCAGCCAGAACGGGGTTTCCCCTGACCTCATTGCTCTCAGAAACCTCCTGCCTGAAGGAACTTGAGCACGCAGGACAGCAGGACTGGAAGTGGTGGTTCACTGTCTTGAGACTAGCAGGTGGTGATCGGAGGAAGCAGTCTGTCTGCTCCAAAAGCCTGTCCTCCATCAGTCACCCTAAGAGACAATAGGCTTTTTCGAGTTTTTTCCTCACAGGAGTGCTGGGGAAGGAATATGCTAGTGTGATATTTCCCCAGCTTCTCCTTAAAATATAAATAAATAAGTACAAAGGGAATGAAAGAAAATTTGTTTAGAGGAGCAGAAGCCAAATCACAGGTTTCTGGCCCGTGCTGTGTTTGGGGGGTGAGGGATCACCGCTAACAGGCCGCTCGCTCGCACCCTCTCTGCCTCCCTGGGCTGCAGCTCCAGGGTGGCGCTCTGCCAGCAGCAAGCGGAACTTGAACTGTGGCACTTCAGGTTTTGCTGCAGTTTTTTTGAACTGAAACTGTTGGAGGAGAGAGGGTGGTTTCTACGTTTCACGCTTCAAGTTCTCCCCTCCCTAAATGTTTGTTCCAAATAAAGCTCCGCTGGAATGTTTTATACCCCTAGAATAGGAAGAGGTAGTGAATCTAGTTCTGCTTTTACTGCTCAGTAAATAGGGAGCAACGTCAGTGAAGTCGTTGCTGATTTAAAATTGATGTCAAAAATGGATTATTTATGATGTTTTCATAAAAGATAAAGATAATTCATGTATAAATCATGTATTATTATCATCCAGCCAAAAAATAACCATGTTGATTTTATCTGAAGTAAACTTAGCCAAGGGTTAAACAAATGCAAGCAGCCCAAAAGTGGTTTTTTTCACTCTTTGCAGATGATATTCAAATACGTTTCTATGAAGAAGATGAAAATGGTGGTATGTGGGAAGGCTTTGGAGACTTTTCTCCTACAGATGTACATAGACAGGTAAGTAACAGCATTTGTCATCTGTTAATGATCTTCTCATCTCTGTAAACTGGGATTCTATTAAGATTAGTACGTTAGGTGAAAGCATCTGTGTCCCATACTAACCTCTTCTTTTGTTAGTTAATTCCTAATAATACAATCTTAACTGTTCTTTAAAGACCCGGTAACAGAGTATTTGTCATCTGTTAATGATCTTCTCATCTCTGTAAACTGGGATTCTATTATGATTAGTATGTTAGGTGAAAGCATCTGTATCCCATACTAACCTCTTCTTTTGTTAGTTAATTCCTAATAATACAATCTTAACTGTTCTTTAAAGACCCACATTAGGTAACTAGGCAGGTTAGGAAGATAGTGCAAGGAAATTGGGAAATAGACCCATTGCTTTAAAATGCACCAGTGTAAACTGGGATCAAATACATAAAAAGCTGTCGCTGACAAAGCCACAGCATTGATGTTAAATGATGAGGGGACAAACCATGCAGTACTAACATGGGTGATGGTTCTTTGCATGGCAGTTCTGTCTTTCCCAAAAGGCTCTAGGACTCAAAAGTGCAACTGAAAACTAAAATGGAAATTTATTGTTGTAGCAGCCTTTTGCTAAGAATTTTTGCCTCCCAAGCTGCGAACCAACTCCTACAAAATAAAACGAATGTAAAAGCAAAGTTGTCAAAGCCCATGCTCCGCAATAGATGTGCTTATCATTGTTTCCTTCACAGTTTGCTATTGTGTTCAAAACACCCAAGTATCGAGATGTCAATATCACAAAGCCAGCATCTGTGTTTGTACAACTGCGTCGGAAATCTGATCTAGAAACAAGCGAACCAAAGCCTTTTCTCTACTATCCGGAAATCAAAGGTAATTCATTAGACCTGTTTTATAGATTGGAAACAGAAACTGCAGGGTCCCTAGGAATGTTTATAAGATAGGATTTGCTGGATGAGGGATTGTTTTAGTAGTTGTTATTTTTAGAAAATAGGATATTTGCCTCCTTGTTTTGAGCAGCGCTAATATGAAAAGTGGTAGCTCTGTAATGGGTTTGTAGGTTTTTTTGTTGGACTGGTAGGCAGTAAATCTATGACAATGTTCCCAGTGAGGCTTAGTCCCTGCAGGTTTCCTATATGCACACGTCTGTCCACACAGTAGATGGCACTCTCTTCCTCTGAGTTTCTGCAAAATAGTATCTCAAGACATTTTACTGTCAGTACTTTCAGATGAAACCATAAACCAAAGACTGGTTGGTATCTGGTGGAAAAAGTACTTATTTTGCAGTTCTTCCCTTTTTTCCATCTCGCCTCACAATTTTACTGATGTTTTTGGATTTTCCAATTGCCTGTACTAGTTAAGAAAGCCCAAAGCACATCTTGTGAGAGCAGGGAGAGTGCTGTTTCAATCTCTTGTGTTGAAGTGGTAGTGGTTTAGCAGAAGTATAATAGTTGTCATCACACCTGCTTCCTAAGTTGTTAGTGAAAAGAAGTTTAACTAACAGATCTGTGGCCTTTAAAGCCTGTATTTGAAATGTTTGACATGAATGGCAGCAGCACTCATGGGTTCAAATATCAATAATGCTAATGATATGGAAATGCCTTTAGGCCCAAGTCAGAATTGGTGTTTCATTGTACTAAGACAGTCTTTCTGCTTAACACTGTACCTGCCTGCAGGTTACATACGCTATTTTGTGCTGATCTTGCACGTTTTCAGTGACTAATATAGAAGTGTGTTGAAATCAATACTCTGTCAAAATCTCTAAAATATGCTTGTGTGAGTGACAATGGACCAAGGACAGGTGAGGAGAGAGTGCTGGCGGTTGATGTCCAAGTGAATCTAGTGTACATCTATTATAATAAAATAGCAGAAAGCATGCAGTCACAAAACACTCCGAAGTTGCTCACGGATTTTTTATTGGTAATGATTTCAGTAATCTGTTGCACAAGTTGTATGGAGTTGCCAGATTTGAGGCAGAATTCTTTTATGCGCCTCTTAATGGACTAAAATGAATTCAGTGTTGTTATGTGCATTTTCGGATCCTTTACACAGTCTAATCATGAAATTACCATTTAGGGAGTGTTTTTTTCCCGTTGCTGCAAGCGTTCACACAAACTTAGACACGTGTATATGGATTTTTTTTGTTTGTTTCTCTGACTAGATTGCTCTCTAGAGTTTTCTCTCCTGGTCAGTGTGAGTATGCCTGGTGCGTGCATGTATACATACTTACAGATCATGTATGCCTGGAAGTAATGCACTTGTACTTTTCAGTGTACTGTTGCGTGTATTCAGCTACCTCATTTGATGCGGTGACTGATGTGCCTGTGCATGAAATTTCTTTTTGTCATATGGCCGTTGAAAACTGCTAGATTGTTTAATGAACTAAGGATATTTTGTTCTTTCCTGAACAGTTCTACTGGATTTTAACCCCTGTATCCCTATTTTTGTAGCTCTTGTCATGACATTTTCACTTTCCCCAGTCACTGGGATATTTCTTTTAAGTCTTTGTGTATTGCTTTCCAGGGGGGCTAAGTATTATTTTGTACTTACACTATAAAATATTTAGGCTTTTTTTTCTACTGCTGCTCAGCATGGTTTGACAGTGTTATGTCCTGCCTGAAAATAAACCATCTTTATTCTGATGGGTTTTCTGATATTTTAAGTAAATCATGTCAAGCAAATGTTGTTTTCACCATTTCTTGCCATCCTTACCCTTAAACAAAAGTCTGAAGGGCACTGCAAGTGCTCTGCACTGTTGGAAATCAAAGTGCCTTGTGATTTGCTGACCCTTTGATAAAGATCCATTTCAGAAGTGGGTTTGCTTAGTGGAAGAGCCTGTGCTTATATTCCCCAAAGTAAATTTTCTTGAACAAGTTTGTGGTTTGAGGCACTTGTGCTGGTTTATGACTTGACTAAAGCATAGAAGAATTCGGGGACCATTGATTTCTAGGGTTCAAAGTATATGAGACACTTTTGAAGGAAATTCTGAGCCCCTTAAAACATCTCTGCATGTTTCTCACCCTGAGTGCAAGGCACCTGACATAACTGACAGAGACCATGCGGGCCTGAGTGATGCTGATGGTCTGACTGGGGACTTGGCACTAGCTTGTTTCTCACAGGAATTCTCACTGTTCCTACGTACAAAGTTGTTCTGTTATTTGGAAGTTGACTTGAAGAGAGTTGACTCTTCCACAGCACTCTGCATTTTCCTTTATAAACTAGTAAACTTTAGTAATGCTTTCTGTATGTTCATCCTGTTCTGTGCATGGCCACCAGTAAGAGTGACTCTTTATCCCCATCTATTCCTTCTCACCCAGATAAAGAAGAAGTGCAAAGGAAGCGACAGAAGCTCATGCCAAACTTCTCTGATGGCTATGGTGGAGGCAGTGGCGCAGGAGGTGGTGGCATGTATGGAGGGGGAGGTGGCGGTGCTGGCTCTGGTAAGGCAGCAGTTTTGGGTGAAGAGGGGAACGGGTTCTACTTTGAGAGCAGGACAGATTTTTATTCTGGTTTTTAAAATATGATGAGGATTTCATTGTCTTCTAAGTAGATAAGTCCTGACTCTCCTGTCTTTGTACCAGCGTTACTCATTTCAGTCAAGCATCTCCTTGTTTTTTAAATATTTCGTCAGCTCCTTTGCCTTCCTACTTGCATATAAGGCTTGTGGTGATCTTTTTTTTTTTTCCTCTTCCTCAAGGTTTTAAATCACAGATAATGCCATTCTAGTTGAGGGAGTCTGAGACAGGAATCCATCATACCTTGGCTTTGTTGCTTCCTAGGGCCTCGAAGACACTGAAATTCATGAGACAGCTCAGCTAAGTACCATCTTGGGTGCTCAGAATTACACAGGTTCTTAATTATTTCTGGGACCAGCAGAGGAATTTGGCAAATTAACCGTGTTAGTGCAAAGAACTATTAAAAATTTGAGACAGTGTTTAGTAACTTTTCTACTGTTCTATATGTGTTGAAGCCAGAGCATATCTGAGATGCAGGATCATAGAAGCATTGCTTTGATTCTTGCAGCAGAGCATTAAAAACCTGTAGTTGACCAAGTGTCATCTGAACCACAATGCCTTTGCAACCCTTTTTTTAGAGCAGTGGTTTTCAAACTACTACATGCGTTTTTAGCAGCACATCTGTAATGTAACACCAGAACACAAATCTGTTGTAATCGGAAAGATTCAAAAGCGTAGAGATAGCTTGTAAAGCCTCAGCTGAGTTTTAGATGAAGCATATTAGTGATACTACATGTGTGTGGTCTTGCAGATGTTGAGATACAGAGTGTCACCAGCCAGCCATCTGGAATTTCTTTGGATTTTTGAAGGGGTGGTGGGACAGTTCACCTTCAGTCTGGGATATTTATTTTATTCAGATGGAATAAAGCAGAAAGCATGTAGAAAACAATATTTCAGTTCTTTAGGTTCAGTGTTCTTCCAGGTAGTGCTTCCATTGCTTTAGGGTGTAATTCTATTAATTCTTAATCTTTTCCCTTTCTTTAGGGTTCAGTTACCCTTCATATGGATACTCTGCTTTTGGAGGGATGCATTTCCACCCTGGCACAACAAAGTCCAATGCTGGAATGAAACATGGTAACAGTAAAAATGTTGTTCTTGCAACAGTTGAATTGAGTTTGACCATCTGTCAGGGGTATCAGCTGAAGTATCATGCAGGTCTAGCTATGCATGCTGAGGGCTATTTTTTTCCCTAAAATCAGTCTCTTTTCTAGATCCTCTAGCAGCAGAGGGATTTGTGTAGATTATGATGCCCAGCTTTTCTTTAATTCTCTCCAAGTCTACCTTAAAAACTACATACATGTTCCCTTTTACTGCTAATTCCTGAGAAGCAGTCACCAAAACCCTTCCTTCAGTGTATGTGTTGAGCAACAGCCCTTTGCTTCCTTGAACATGCTGATTACAGATGACACAAGGACTAGACCAGATAAAAGGTATCTTCCTGTGTTGCCACAGTCTGGTACTACACAGTAGCCCAGAGAAATAAGTTAAAAGTCAATGGAAAAGGGTGAGTTAGTAAGAGAATTCTTGGCTTCCTAAAAGAGAGAAGTAATTTGAAATGTACGTGTTGAACACTCTATAGTTATTTCCAAAGTCCTGTAGTTAAACTTGCTGTCTTTCCTGGGAATACTTCAGACTTTCATTCTTGTAGTATAAAAAGGGAGGTATATCTATTGTTATATATAAAAGTTTATCTTTAAAGCAGAGGCTGTCAAAAAAACATCATCACTTTAGAGCAAGTTACGTTACTACGACTGTCCATGTGCGTTGGCATCTGGAGTATTATGATTCATGAGTGTTTAATGATAACACCTATGTCAAAGTAAATTTTTGTATTGAGTTCTTTAAGATTTGGATTTGGCTAGTAGAGCTTTATCAGTTGCATAAAAAAAACCAGCATTGGACACTAATGATACTAATTTTTGTTTGAAGGACTATCGAATAGCACAGCTGAACAAGATGGGAAGAGCTCTGATAAACAAAGTGACAAATGGGACATGAAACATGATGTGAAAGCGGTAACTATGGAGAGGAACAAGTGCAGAACCTCTGGAGATAATGAGGAGAAGGAGGAGGATGCTTCTTCCTGTAAAACTGAAGTAAATGAAGCAGACTACAGGTGGCAGGGTAAGTGAACAAGTAATGTATTTAGGGTAGATCAAGCTGCAGTATGGGCAAAGCTGCTATTAAAGGCCTGGAAACTCCATAAATGCCTGCTTGCTGTTTTCAAAACCCTATAATGCCTCCTGGAGGAAAGAGAAGGGATTCCATTCCCCCAAATCTAAGGTGCCACCCCATACATGGTTCTGTAGATAATCTTCCACCTTTGTACTGCCACTGGGCAACTGAGCTGCTGCTTGTCATGCAAGGAGAAGAGGTAGCTTAGCCTGCTGGGCACGTTTAACACTGCTTCACGATAAACCTGTATGAGGAGCATTGTAGGCAGTGAAGGTACATGGTATACAGTTCAGCAGTTGACGTGGCTTTTCATATTTCATAGGCTTTAATGGATGAGTAAGTTGATGTTGGTGTGATTGTTGCAGTGGTTCTTCCCTGCAATTCTAGTGTTCCCACATGACAAATACACAGTAAAATAACACTCTTACAAAGTCTTACACATCAAACTGGTGAAGAAAAGGGAAGGAAGGTAAGAGTAGTCAATAGAAATGTTTTAGCAGTAGAATTGTAAAATATAGGAAGACTACAAGTCACCCTTTCCCAGGCAGTTAGACTTCCTTTTCCTGGATTGTTTTTTAAAAGATTTGATGGTCACCCTTTTAAGGAATTTGAGTAATTGTGCTTCTCATAAAAATAAAAAACAGCAGTGTGACTAGAGAGACATGGTAGTGGTAGGAATTGAGCAGGATGGAATTTTTTCTCTTGGCTTTTACCAAGTGCAGTGTGATCCAGGCCACTTTTGTTGTTCCCTCCTTGGTCAGGGAGAGGGCACGTTATCTGGTGTGTGTCAGCATGGTGTGATACTTGCAATTAACAGCACTAGAAACTGCAGCTTGGGAAACCAAGTCATGCAGTAGCTTGGTTGTAGTTGTATAAAGCTCCAAGGTGTACCACCTTGTGATCTGAGAAACTGATGATGCTCCTGAGAAAAGCTGAAGAACTTGCTGCTTGTAGTTCTGGTTGTGATCAATCCCATGACTGATTTAGAGAGCAAAGTCTGTTGCTGATATGTGAAGAAATAATTATGTCCATTTAGCAGCCACTAAGGAGGGGCCTGAATTGTAGAACTGGTTTCTGAGTAAGGATCGTTGTAGGCAGAAAGTTGAATGTTTCTTTTCATTATCTATTATAATGGCACGAAAAGAGGCAATTTCAAGCTCCAGATTATATTAGGAATAGATGCAGAAGAACAGGCTCTATGAGCACTCTTTACCCTGATATATATCCTGAACATAATGTCCATTTAACGCTGTTATTTAGTGTTAAGAGATAAATAGCAAATATAGATGTATCAGCCTGAGCATATAGGATAGGAACTGCAGTGATGTATTGGCTCGAACATGAAGCTTCGTGAATAGCTGGGTAAATCTTAGCCTTACAGAAGGGATATATTCATGTTCATCAGGGATATACTTCTAACCCAGTCTAAATTCCTAGGTTTATGTAACTGGAAATCCTGGGTGTTCTCTCCCTATGTATGCTTTAAATGACAAAGTCTGTTATACTTGTTTGCTGTTAGTAATTTCTAACCTTACAAAGTTTTGTAGAAACATGAAACTGTTCAAAGTACAGGCTGGTTTCAGATGATAATGCTTCCCAGAATGACAGCTGTGGTTTGAAAGTTCATCTGTTTCATTTTCGCTAGTTTCTTGCTGATAGAGAACCACAAAGATATTGACAGAGCAGCTAGAGTGACTTTCTTCCACAAATGAGTTTCTTTCCTCCCCTTTCTCCCTTTCCCCCCTCCACCATGACAAATTCTGCTTTTTGAAATCTCAGTGGTTGTATGTTTTATAAATCTCAAATCAGGATACTACAAATATTAAGTATTGTCAACACTGGAATGTGTTAAACAGGTGAACAGGCTCTCTGTGCTGCTGCTGTAAAGCAGGAGAGACTGCATGGTTCGGGTCAGAGAGGGGGCACAAAGCCTTGCATTTATTCCATAGCCTTTCTGTGAGTGCAGTGTTTCATAGGTCACTTAGGGTTCTTGTCCCTCAGTTTCCTTAAGTCTAACCTACTCAGAACAGCATGGCAGGTTCTTTTAACTGCTCTATGGACAAAAGGCCTTAGATGCCACTTGTATCTAAGCAAATCCAAGGTCCCGCTCCTTTTTCCTCATTACACACAAGTACATTTCAATGCAATTGATTTGGTGCCATGCAAACTAAAGGTAGCTTCCAGAGTTTGACTGTTCTCAGGGTTCCTGCTGCCTGGATGTTCAGCATGCACCTAGTTTTTCTTCTAAGAGACTCGTTATCCCTATCCTTACCTCTCAGGAGTAATTAGCAACCAGTCTCAGTGAATCAGTACATAATACTTAGTGGTCTGCACTTCGTATTTCTTTGGCAGCACAAATGCCTGCCAAGAGAAGGTGTTGTTGCAAGGAGGACAACCAAACTGACGAAGACAAAACTTTGTTGCAGATGGTCCGTTCCTGGAGAAGGCCATGCAGCTTGCCAAGCGTCACTGCAATGCTCTCTTTGATTATGCTGTAACTGGAGATGTGAAGATGCTGTTGGCTGTTCAGCGCCATCTCACTGCTGTCCAGGATGACAATGGAGACAAGTAAGTTGGCCTCTTGTCATGTTTTTGATGGCAGAATGGTGTAGTCAGTTTGTTCTGTCCCCTGTGGGTCCCAATCATGCATTGCAGCACTGCTCTTGTCAAACAAATAGTGTTCTTCTTTGTGCTGTTTGGGATAGGTACAGCTGCAGCTTAGACATTTTTGTTGCATTTGCAGAAAGGTCACTCACACCACAAAATCCATTGATCCTAGTACCTGTCAGACAGTAATCTGGTCATTGAGGGCATGTTGAGCTTCTTGTGAGTTCGTTTGCCTTTTTTTACTTAAAATCTTGACGGAACATGAGGTGCGATGTTTGCATCATGGCACACGGTTGTTGGGGATCCTCAGCTTGTGCTGGTGGACAGTGCCCTGCTTTTTATTCCATGCAAGCCCTGAAGTCTTTCATAGGAAGCTTTAAGTTGCAGATGCACTGGGAGACGGAGAAACAGTTCTCCCACTGTCACCAAGTTCTTCCCAGAGGACAACATTTTGCTCTTGCTGACATCTCTACTGTGCTGTTGTCTTCCAAGAGGTCGTACAGGTGTTTGTGGCAGACTTGGCTGCCAGCACTTGCTGATCAGTCCTTCAGTAATATGAGCAGGAGCAGTTTTGTTCCTCTACAGCAATGCAGGCTCGGTGGGACTTGGAGAGTAAAATACAGTGAGGAACTAATGATTACTAGTTATTTAAAAGCAAATTCAGTGGAAGTGGCTTTGAATGCATGCAAAGATAATGTCTCTTGAGTAAGCAAGTGACATTATCACATCCTCACTTTTTAGCTGGCCCTGCGCAAACATTTACATTTCCTTAAATTGCAGTATTTTGTACAATAGAAGCCACAGAAGCCTTAAGGTGTCCAGCTAGATGGAAAATTACAAGTGACTGAGACGTGTTGTCCTGCCATTTGATTACTCTGTGAGAGGCTACTGCTTTCACTCCACTTTCAGTGAAAATAGGTCTCAGATGACTGATAAACAGCATACGCTAAAGACCGCAAAATCAGAGATAGCTACTTTACTGCTTTGCTTTCCAGTTGGCAGCCTAATGTCTGCTTGGAGGAAGCAGCAATATGTACGAGGCAGGAGCTAGCAACAAAATCTGCTCGCACTTTGGACAATACAGCTTCTGTGTTTTAAATAAAAAAAAAAAGCATGGTGTAGAGGAGTATTGAGCACATGGGACCTGCATTTAAATATCAATACGGTGTCCCTCAGATTTGGACTCTCAGGGCATTTCAACAAAGTCAAAATGCTTTTCAGAATGATGGTAAGTAGTTGTTTTCTTCCTGGATCAAGAAGTACCTGCGAATATGTGAGACTTAAGCTCATACTGCCTTTCTCCTGGAATGGATTTAGTCTGTGAGCACGTAATACATCCAAACTGCTCTGCAGATTTTTTTTAAAAAACAAAATTTTGGTGACTCTCTTTCAGCTCTCTTGCAGAAGCTGTTTAAATAAAAAGTAAAAAAATTCAAAATTCATAAATCAATTTCTCTAATTTTCAATTTAATCATTCAAATCATATGGCAAAAAACTATAAAATTTTTTGCTTCAGCCTTTAAAGAAACGTTACTGTCAACAATTTTGCTCATTTTTCATCAAATTAGTATGTAGGGAATGATAATACCTTTAATGGGATCCTGTGTTGTGTTTTATGCCTTTAAGACAAAATATGTTAATCTGTGATTAGTGTATATTTGCAGTGGGCCCTCAGTAACAGCAGCTGTTACTGTGTTTATACCAGGACCAGCGCTCTCCAGAAGCCTGATGGTGTTACAGCAGTTTGCATTCACAGCGGTGTGGAAATGCATTTTTTGGATGTAGGGCTGTTTAAGAAATGGAATTGCCTGCCCTTTCACAGTTTAGCCAGCATCTCTTTCCAGCATCACATGTAGGGACAGGGTAAAATTAAAATACTTGCTACAGGAAAGAGAACTAAAGGCAGAAGAAGAGCAAATTTGTTTCTGAAGTGAGATTTGGAAATAAAATGTCAGCATGATAGAGCATAATAAGCAGCATCTACCAGAAGGCAGAGGAACAGTAGAGGAGTATTGAGCACGTGGGACCTGCATTTAAATATCAATCCGGTGTCCCTCAGATTTGGACTCACAGGGCATTTCAACAAAGTCAAAATACTTTTCAGAATGATGGTAAGTAGTTGTTTTCTTCCTGGATCAAGAAGTACCTGCGAATATGTGAGACTTAAGCTCATACTGCCTTTCTCCTGGAATGGATTTAGTCTGTGAGCACGTAATACATCCAAACTGCTCTGCAGATTTTTTTTAAAAAACAAAATTTTGGTGACTCTCTTTCAGCTCTCTTGCAGAAGCTGTTTAAATAAAAAGTAAAAAAATTCAAAATTCATAAATCAATTTCTCTAATTTTCAATTTAATCATTCAAATCATATGGCAAAAAACTATAAAATTTTTTGCTTCAGCCTTTAAAGAAACGTTATTGTCAAAAATTTTGCTCATTTTTCATCAAAGTAGTATGTAGGGAATGATAATATCTTTAATGGGATCCTGTGTTGTGTTTTATGGCTTTGAGACAAAATATGTTAATCTGTGATTAGTGTATATTTGCAGTGGGCACTCAGTAACAGCAGCTGTTACTGTGTTTATACCAGGACCAGCGCTCTCCAGAAGCCTGATGGTGTTATAGCAGTTTGCATTCACAGCGGTGTGGAAATGCATTTTTTGGATGTAGGGCTGTTTAAGAAATGGAATTGCCTGCCCTTTCACAGTTTAGCCAGCATCTCTTTCCAGCATCACATGTAGCGACAGGGTAAAATTAAAATACTTGCTACAGGAAAGAGAACTAAAGGCAGAAGAAGAGCAAATTTGTTTCTGAAGTGAGATTTGGAAATAAAATGTCAGCATGATAGAGCATAATAAGCAGCATCTACCAGAAGGCAGAGGAACAGGTATTTTACAGTAGTGGTGGGACTGTTAGAACAGCACAGGGATGTTGAAGGAGGGAAACATGGCCATGGTACTGCCCGTGGCAGTGTCCTGAACCAGTAACGCCTTTAGAGGGTGAGTTTGGGTTTTTTTTCCCTTTTTAAAATATCTTCTGGTTTTGAATGCTCTCAGTCTCAATTTCAAGAGGACTGACTGTAAGCCCCCAATGGCAAGGAACTTCTTTTTATTTTCCTGATGGAAGTGTAGATTTGAGTGTATTCAGGTATTTCTGGAGCAGCGTAACAAACACACCACATGTCCTATGTTGATATTGTGTGTCGGCTGCAATATGCTTAAATTTGAGTCTAGAAGTGGGGCAGCATCTGTTAAGGGAGAGCTTGGCAAGGTTTGTTTCAAAACAAAAGGGCATGGCTCAGAAATGAAGTCTCAAGGGAACGAGACAACTCCAGCTCCATCGGAAAAGGGTGATGGGATTCACCACCTGTTTTTTTCCCTGTATCGTTTTGCAAGTACAGCTGCTCTGGCTGGTGGTGAAGGACCTGGCTCTGGAGAAGAGCACGGGAAAGGCCATTGCATTAACCTAGTCAAAGTGATGAAATGTCAACAGGTTTTTGCTTTGGCATGATGTCTCTGGCCACTGCTGCAAATCCTGTGGCTCTTAGTCACCAGGCCAAAGTCCTTAGTCATCTTTCTGTTTGAAAATGAAGAAAAGAAAAACCCACAGATATGGGGAAACCCCCAAGGGAAAATCTGCTTTGGTGGCAGAGAGGCTGGTGGAAATTCTGCAGGAAGGTTTGACAGTAAGAGGTGTTCCTCTGCTGCATAATTCAAAACATGAAAAGAAACATAGTGGCAAAGAATCTGGGGATTTCAAACAAGTTCTGAAACAATAATTTTGTGCTACAAAGTTTGTGTTATTAGGCTAGTAGTAAAGTTATGCTTGAGACCAGCAAAAGCCATCCTGAGTCTGCTTTTGTGATTGAAGGGCTACACACAGTTACCTTCTGACTACCTTTTTTTAATGTTGGGATTCATTTTAGGTGCTGATATTCAGTGCTGAAATCATGACCTCTAATAGTCAAGTGTTTAATCAGTTAGAATTCAATCAGATGTACAGCAAAACCTGAACAAATTTAAAATATATTTGAACATATTTGTTAATCTGTTTTTTATTTGTTTCAGTGTCCTTCATTTAGCAATCATCCACCTTCATGCTGAGCTGGTGAAAAACCTCTTGGAAGTGATACCTGATTTGAATTATAATGACATCATTAACATGAGAAACGACCTTTATCAGGTAGGCTGTTGTGGTGGGATAAGTGTTGTTGATTGTTCAGCCAGCAGAAGAGAAATTACAGAATTTACCACCCTCTTATTTTTCTTCTGTTGGTTGGAATGAGCCCAGATCAGACTGTAACGAACCCAAACAGGTTGAGAACCACAATGAGGTGTTGTAAGAACGGTTGAGGAGCAAAAGTCTGTTTTCACTGGTTTTTAGTTCATGACTCTCTTTGATGTTGATGTCTCCATGGGTTAATTGTAGAACAGGTCATAAATAGGAAATCCTTCAGCTTATGTCTTCATTATTTGGTTTCTCTGTTACTAAAGCTTCAGTGTGGATTACAGTGTGCCAACTCTGGACTCTTCTGACCTTTCTAACATAGGATACCTTGGGATCATGAGTCAGTAGCAGCGTCAGCAGTTATCTGAAGCTGTAACAACCTATGCCCTTCCTGTAGCCCAAATGGCATTTGTGCCCATCACATGAGCACCAAAATCCCCCTTTCATTTCAAGATTCACATTATAGCAAAAGAAAAAAAGCCCATCTTTTACCTAGTAGGAAAAGAACTCTCAGGCACAATTCTATCTCCTCAGCTTCACCCGTGACAGACTCTGAGGTTTTTGTATTGTAACTCAGAGAGGCTTTAAAAAGAGCTGTGGAAACCTGCCTGGAAAAGAACCTCTTTTCAACTGTGTGCACCATTTGGTTGTCCCAAAGGTAACCAGCTGGATGTTACACGGCAGAACTCTGACATTTGTGTCATTTCTTCTGCTGTGAACAGTAAAGGCAGGATTTTATTCTACACAGGTAATCCCAGAGGGTTTATTTTGACTTTTTTGTTCTTTCACATTTCATTTTTATGCTTATGTAAAGCAAGTTTGAAATGTGGAGGTTGATGAAAGCAAGCAGAAGATTCTGAATTGAATTTTCTGTGCCCTCTGCTTAACGGGACCAGGAAGCAAAGCTGTGCTCCACACAAGAAATAAATCTCTTACCTACCAGGACCTCTACAGCTCCTCCTAATTTTGCCTGAAACCTTAAGCCAGTGGTGGGAGGGAGTGTAGGCTTGGGCTAGAATTTTCCATCTGTACAGGTATTCTGCAAGCTGAACTGGATGTTTACCCTATAGATTCAGTAATCAATTGCAAATATGTTGATGAATATATCGACAAACACAATCGTATTGTACAGAGCTGGAATTAGTCTTTTTTTATAGTCTTCTGTTAATATAAGGATAATGATATGGAGGTGGAATCTTACGCAATTTTTAGATTCTTTTAGTGTTGGAAATATGATTTCCCAAACCTTACTAGAATGCTTACTGTTTAAATACATACATTTTTGAGCACGTTCTACATGATACTGTTCCCTGGCAAGACTGTCAAGAATGCAGCGTGCAACTGAGCTTTGGAAATACCGAAAAGCTCTGGGCCTGAGAGCCTCTCGGTGCTGCAGGTGTCTTTGCCTAGAAATGGAGATGGTGCAAATAGAATCAGGCAGTTGGACGCACGCTGTGTAAATGCACAGTTGTTCTGCACTCTGACAAATGCACAGAACAGCCAGATTTTCATCTTTTCTGCGCAGAGTCATTTTGGGGGATAAGGAAATCCTAAGTCCATGGCTGCAAACCCCCTATTCAGGAGGAAAATTAGAGCACAGTTCAGTGCCAAGAGCAGGTTTGAGCAGGCCCTGGGAAGTGCAGGCTCCCCCTGTGGCATGAACTTGGTTGTGGGGCAGCTGGAAGCAGGGTGACAGTGTCTGGGGGGCACAGGGATTACCCCATTTCCTGCATCCCTTGCACCACAACGTTCAAATAGCCAGGTCAGTGCCCTGGCTTATAGAGTAGGCAACATCTTTGTTCCTCCCAAAGTCCAACTGCTGACACTGCCCTGCAGGCAGCTTTTATTTCCAGCAAGTAGAAACCCCATTTGCAGTATACAGTAGAAAAAAAAAGTACACAGTACAGTAGAAAAAAAAAATAAGCAAGCTTTTGATTTCTCTTAGCTTTGAAGTGGAGTAACATCTTCTCGCACCGGGAGCTTGTCTGGGTTTAAGAGATTTCTGTAGAAGTGATGTAGCTGTTGCTTTTCTTCTCACGGCTTATTTCTGTCCCTTCTAGACCCCCTTGCACCTGGCAGTAATCACAAAGCAGGCAGAGGTGGTAGAAGACCTGCTGAAGGCTGGAGCAGATGTCAGCCTTCTGGATCGCCATGGTAATTCTGTCTTACATTTAGCTGCTACTGAAGGAGACGACAAGATTTTGAGTCTACTCCTCAAGCATAAGAAGATTTCTCCCATGGTTGACCTTTCCAATGGTGAAGGTATGGAAAGATACTGGCTGTATTTTACACTTTTACACCAGACAAGCACACCTCAATTCCTACCAAGACAGTGTTTTTGCACAGGTAGATACAGACCTTGGAAATAGCATCTTTCCCCATTTTGCACATGCTGTCCTTGGCTTTTATGTGCCTGCAGTCACAGGTACATGCAGGTTCTCTGGTTACACAGACAAGATTGGTAATGCCTCATGACACAGTATGGATTTGAATTATTGTTACTGTATATTCTTTTTAATCTCACAAACCTTCCAGCAGTGTGTTCCTCCTGAGATACCTCATGCAAACACTGTTTTTAAAAAAAAATCCCCCCAGAAGAAAATGTTTCCTCCTCTCTAGTGAATGAAATCCCCTCAAAAATAGTTCCTGGGCCAGTGTCAAGCTTTATATCTGGTACTTTGTAACAGTACAGAAGTAAAGCCTATAAAATAACCACAAAGACACGATTCTCCCATTTTTCAGTGGCATAGGTCATTCAAACTTAGTACTCCTGCTCTGGTAGATTGTAAAATGTCTGACCTAACAATGTCATTATGGGAATCAAAAAAAGCTCCTCAGAGAGAGGGGTTGGTTTGCTCTTTTATTAATTCTCTTTTGTTAGCTGGTGCCGGTCATCTTGAGGTGACAGGGCAGTGTGACCTTACAGGAGGTGATACTAAAATATACTAATTATTCCCCAGACTGTTTCTAGAAGAGATGTTCAGTAGCAGATGGGGGCAGTGCAGGGAACCTACTTGTTTAGGACCAAGATGCAGATCTTCTTAAGGTTGCTCTCTTTTGAGGCAGAGATGCTGTAGGTGAGCTCTTTAGTTCCTGCAGTCTGTGTCACCTTGTAATCTCCTGAGTATTTTTTTATGCATGGCTTTGTCTCACACAAGAACACAACCAGTTCCAATTTATGCACAAAGAACATTTTTTTTTTAACACCATATTTTAATGTACAAGCAGGCAGAATAAGTCCCTTCTGCTCAGACAACTACAGTAACTCTCACTCATTTTACAATTCTCACAGATATGGCCACTTCATAACTCAATTATTCTGACATTTCTGTATTTTTCAAATATTAATGCACGCGGTGGATGGGTTTTGTTTTGTGTAGGTCTCAGTGCAATTCACATGGTGGTGATGGCAAATAGCATGTCCTGCCTCAAACAGCTCATTGCTGCTGGAGTTAATGTCAACGCTCAGGAACAAAAATCTGGACGAACTGCACTGCATTTAGCTGTAGAACAAGAGAACATCCCTTTGGCAGGCTGCCTCTTGCTTGAGGTAAGGGCACAATGTCTTTCTCCCAGGTCTTTTCACTTACGTATTTAAAAACTCTTGAAAATCCTCAAGTGCTTCAGAGGAAATGAAGAAAGGGGGTTTTCTTGTTTATTGACTTGATTACTTATATTGGTATAATGGCAAAATTATCGCTAATGTGACTCATTATTACTTGTTCAGCACTGCTGGTGACCCTTTTGCCCAGGCTGAGGAATTTACAGTTTGTGACCCTGACCTGAGTGCATATGCCGTGTTTAATTGGCACCAAGTAATCCCAGCAGCCAATGAACCTGCTGGTGAACAAGTTAATCACTTCATCTGTGCGAAGTGGAATGTGCGTAGAGACACAGTTGTGTATATCTACAAACATCTGTCTCATCTCTTTAACACTTTGATCCTAGTGTTCTTAATCCTACGGGTGCACAGCTGGCCGTGGTAGCTTTCCTTGGTTTATGCAGATATGAGTCTCTGCAGCTGTATTGTATAGACAAGTAGCACTTTTCCTTTTGTCCTTTTTCCTTAGGGTGATGCAGATGTGGACAGCACTACATACGACGGGACAACGCCTCTTCACATAGCAGCTGGAAGGGGCTCTACTAAACTGGCAGCAGTTCTCAAAGCAGCAGGTATGAAAATAGATATTTGCTGGAGAATTTTCTTTCACGGTGACGTTTCAGGTTAGAAGGCTGCAAGCAGAAAGGAATGTGCCAGTGAACTTGTTTAATGAGCAGAAGAAATCAGATGTTAAAAGCATGGAGGTTTGTTTTTCCTCAGGGAAGTCCCACTTTCAGTGCTGTTCTACTCTTTAGCACCATCTAATGGCTAAAAACGCAAATTCTGTTAGGCAAGAAAATCCCAAGTGCTCTTGGAAGTGTTTTGAGTATTTCTTTTGTAGTTTTTTATAGCTGAAGGAGGAGAGAAGAGACCTGGTTACATAGCTGGGATAAGTGCTGGACTGCTTTAAAAACAAAAAAAAAAATAGGTCACTGAAGCATGAACTTGTTAGTGACTCCTTTTTCACATCAGTGTGGAAGAGCTAGTTTTAAATATTTATTGGAACATTTTTCCAATTGTATTTAGACCTGATATTTCTCCTTTGAAACAGAAATCCAGGCCTCCCAGTGCTCTGGCTGTGTGCTTGGTCTTTCAGTAACAGCCCCAGTTTCTCTGACGCTATGAAAAGCAGCAGAGCAGCAGCTGACACAGTCATAGCTCTTTCTGTGGCCCCTAACACTCCGCTGGTCATTTTTTCCCTCTTTATAACAGAGCATAGCATTATACAGAGATGTGACAGCATTTAACTTCAGTTGATAAAAAAAGATTTCCTGACTTGGTATAAAATGTAATTTCGCTCAAGTAGCTAAATTAGCAGATTTTCCATTCAGAGCTCAGAATACATATTTTAAATACTGTTGAAAAGCAACTTGAAGCCTTTTTTTAGGAGTTTTTTTGCACACTAATTTTCCAGGTGCAAATCCTCATGTTGAAAACTTTGAGCCGTTGTTTGATGTAGACGATGTGAAAGATGATGAAGATGAAGGGATTGTGCCTGGAACGACACCACTGGATATGGCAGCCAACTCTGAGGTACGTGGTCTGGTTTTTTCTTTTGTTTTTTTAATAATAAGTGGTAGTTCAGCTCTCTCTGCCAGCTCTTTTCACTGCATCCAGTCATTCCAATGGTGACAACCTACTAATTTGCCATCAAAAATTAAATGCCATGAAATAGCATTGGAAGAAAGCTCCACTTAACAGACTACTTCTGCTGAGAGGAATTACCAGGCACTTCTTGAAATAGTTGCACTGCAGTCTGCACAGGTGGGAAAGTATTTAGCTGTTCGGGCAGCTGGTGTTTGAAGGCCCATGTTCAGAAACACCCTTTAGTGGGTTTCTTTGCTCCACGTTCTTCAAAATTGCAGGCTTTGTGTACAGGGAAAATACACTCTTCTGTCCTACCCAAACCGTGACTAGGCTGCATGGTCCAGGTTCTAGTAGCTGATGGTGTGCAGTTGGTTTGGTGTGAGCGTAGGGTACAAGCACTCAGCATCTCTAACCCTGTGGAGCTGGGGAGTGGTGAAAATCTAGCCTTAGGTGAAAATCTAACCCAGGCTTTGTTTGAAATGACTAGCTGCAGACAGGCAGTAACTCCTCACTGAGCCACTGCTACTGCAAAGGCTGTCTCCATATTTTGAAAACAGTTGCCAGATGACACAGCAAAAGGGCAAGGGAGATTAATTTCTCCAGATTTCTCCCTTAAGCTTTGCACAGGTCTTCTACAGTATCTTTAGTCAGAAAAAAATACAGCTGGAATTTAGGGCTTTACACAGTGCTACTGAGACTTGTCAAAATAACACACACTAACGAGGTTTCTGCTAAATACTGACTTTAATATATTCTCTTAGGTCTACGACATATTAAATGGCAAACCCTACGAGTCAGCAGTGGTTTCGGAGGATGTACTGACACAAGGTAACATCTACAAAAAAGACTTGACAAGATCCCTTCAGTAATTGAGTACGAAAGTGTACTTGCACAAGACACTGCCCTGAAATAGCTTGTAACTGAAATGGGGAGGGAAAAAAGTACTCTCCCACCCACTCACTCATCAAATTTGCATGGTTCTGTCAGGAGGTGGGTGACAAGGACACAAAGGAGTACATGTTCATTGTTATAGCCATACATTAGTGCACACTGGGATTGATGGACACTAAAATACTCTTTAATTTGGTTCTGTTTCTGCTTAGAAATGAACTGGTGCACGATTTGTATAAATAATAAAACTAACATATTTCTCTATTCCCCAGGACATCTGAGACAGCTGAATGAGAGTTCCAAGACACAGCTTTACAAACTATTGGAACTGCCCGATCCAAGCAAAAATTGGTCCACTCTAGCACAAAAACTGGGTCTTGGCATACTTAATAATGCCTTCAGGTTGAGCCCTTCCCCATCAAAAACTCTGCTAGATAACTACGAGGTAATGTGGCTGTAACAAGTTAAAAAGAACACTCAGACATGTAGAGAACCTCGTCCTCCTGCACGGTGGACAGTGCAGCCCTTCAGTTTTAGGCAACCTGGATGACAGTAAGCATCTGGTGTCTTCTCTCTTAGGTTTCTGGTGGTACAGTTCAAGAGTTGATTGCTGCTTTGAGAGAGATGGGTCACACAGAAGCCATTGAAATCATTCAGAAAGCACTGTCCGTCTCACCAAGCCCGTCTCACCTGGAGGACAAGACAGCAAAAGCTCTTCCGTCATCATTACAGCCCACTTTTGCAACTGGAGAGACAGGTAAAATTGACAGCAAAACATCTAGAGCTGCATTTAAGAAGTTTTTTCTATTCTCTCACCCCCACCCTCTCCACCTTAGACTGCTGATAGGTTGGATGGTTTCTTACACACAATGCCCAGGCTGCTCACCTGTTTCAGGAATATTTCACTGCAGCACAACTTTCTTCTTGTAGACTTTTGCTGTGCCTAGAAGAGAGGGAAAATGGACCATTAGAATCAGTAGCCCTGCATTGCAGTATTGATTATACGGCCTCCATTTCTGAAACCAGGCATCTGCCACTTATGCATGTCATTCCTTGGATGTACTGGGGATAAGTTTCAAAAGATAAACTGGGCCATGATCTCCCAGGCCTGTACAAGTGCCATTATCTTTTGAGGGCCTTTTTTTTTTGCAACCCCCAACCCTCCCATTTCTGGATAAACAAAAATGGTTTGGGTTCATAAACTTCTCAGTAATATTTTGGTATTATATTTTTCGTTCCGTAGCATGTGGCACTCCAAATGGCCCAGTGTTCTCTAGGCAGAGAAATCAGGGATAGCTTAAGTTACAAGGGACCTCCGGCAGTTGAGTTTTGAGCACCTTCAATGATGGAGGGGCTTAAGTTACAAGGGACCTCTGGCAGTTGATGCTGTCCAGCTGCTGCCTCAGAGCAGGGCAAGTCTAACATTGCATGAGGTTGCCCATGTCATGTTCAGTTGAGTTTTGAGCACCTTCAATGATGGAGGTCCCATGGCATTTTTGGGCAAGGGACTCCAGCAACGGAAAACCAGCGGTTGTGAGAAGGCAGTAAGTCATCAGGGATGTTTAGTCGCTGCCTGGCCGTGTCAAGTAACAAAACCCTTTGTTTTTTCCTGATGCCCTGTTCAAACACCAGTACTGCTGCCAACACCCTGATGTGGAAGCTTACACCCTATGTGAAAATACTGTAGCTATTTCTGAAAAGAAAAAAGAAACCCCACAGTAACTCCATCCTGGTCTGACCTTGCCAGTTTACTCTCTATACAAAAAGTGTTTGTTCAACTGTAGCTACTTCTGAAAAGAAAAAAGAAACCCCACAGTAACTCCATCCTGGTCTGACCTTGCCAGTTTACTCTCTATACAAAAAGTGTTTGTTCAGTCATGGCACATTCACACCTATCTGAAAATGGGCTTATACACATATTGCCTCTTCAGATTAATCTTGAAGGGTAGGAAGGGTTCTGCTGCTTTGCAACATAAATGGACTGTATCACAAATTTATGTTATGATGCTTTTTTTAGAAAAACAATACTGAACTCCACTATGCTGACCACACCATACCTTCAACTCAGATACTGTTCTCTTGCAGCCAGGCACTCCTTTTGTGGATCTTGCATAGATGACAGCTGACTCCTTCATATTTCAGCCTTCTTACTAGATGAAAATTATTCAAGTATTTGTCTCAAAAATAAATCTGTAAGTGAAATAACATGAGAAAGTCTTAGGAGCCTCATCCTGGAGCTGTGTACTTGTGCACAATCTAGGAATCTGAGAGCCTTTTACCCAGCTACTACCACGCTCGGGCAGAGTCCTGACTAGAGCAGTGACAGCAGAGCACCAGGCTTCTCATCCCATCCAAGCTCCAAGCTGATCTCTGCCAGCAGCACATCAGATCACGTGCTTTGGTCAACTGAAAACATCCAGCACAGCTTTTTGTATTATAATAACTATAGATATTTTCTCACAGAAGAGCTTTAACCTATCGGTTTGCATTCCTTAGACTTTTCTGAAAGCAACATTACTGCAGCAACACAAACGATAATGTATTTCCCTTTTCTCTCTTCCTCAGGCGAGCTTTATAACAGCAAATTTGCAGACAACGAAAGCATGTGCGACAGCGGCGTGGAGACCTCCTTCCGCAAGCTGAGCTTCACTTACTCAGACTCTCTGAACAGCAAGTCCTCAGTAACACTCGCCAAAATGACCCTGGGCTGCGGACACGAGAGTTCAGCGCAAAGCAGTTCCGTAGCCAACTAGCCATGGCCCATTAGCAACACGCAACAAACCTGACATTTCAAATCACATCGGAGTCATCCTGGCCAGAGGGAAGTGAATTCACAACCGAAAGCATCTGCTGGAGGAACCACACACAACCTGAACAAACAGCAACTTCAGCACGCGACTCCTAACCATCGCTTCCTTCAAGTAGGTTTAATTGTATTCATTTACAAGCCATACATAATCAGCGGGGTCTGCTGCTGCAGTAATACACAGCGCTGGACACCGCGAAGGACTGACGGAGCCTTTCTGGTTTGCAAGGACTTTCTGTGACAGATGACAAGTCGTCACTCGTTACGTCACTCGTTAATGCATGATACCAACTAACTCAATACATTTTCTGTGACAGATGACAAGTCGTCACTCCTTGTTAATGCATGATACCAACTAACTCAATACAAAGAGGTAAGGCACGCAGAGCAATCAAAAGAGACTGTGTCTAGCTGCTCTCTTCATACTTTTTGCAGCACAGTTGCAGGAAAAAAACTCATAAACTATCTGGCCAAGAAAAATCATTAATCACAAAAACAATTCAGAGAGAAAAGAGAATCGTAAAAAAAAAAATCTTGTATATTTCAAATAATGTATTTAAACTTAACTTTGGTGCCTCTTATTCAAAAAACAACTAACTCAATACAAAGAGGTAAGGCACGCAGAGCAATCAAAGGAGACTGTGTCTAGCTGCTCTCTTCATAATTTTTGCAGCACAGTTGCATGAAAAAAACTCATAAAGTAGCTGGCAAAGAAAAATCATTAATCACAATGACAATTCAGAGAGAAAAGAGAATCGTAAAAAAAAAAATCTTGTATATTTCAAATAATGTATTTAAACTTAACTTTGGTGCCTCTTATTCAAAAAAAAAATTCAAGTTTGGTATTCTTCTATTTGTAAATATTTTTTTTATATCTGTTCCTTTTAAAAAATGTGCTTTTTAAATGCCTATTTTTATTTTACTTTACTTTTATAATAAAAACCCAAAATGAAATCTCGTCTTCACTTGTACTTTCTACATATCTTTCAAGTAGAGTTATTAAAGATTAAGGTATTGATACAAAGTGCTTTCCAAGCACTAAAATAAATAAAAGGGTTGCAAGTCACCCGTCTTAAGATGAAGTATCTTTTATGGTGGGAGACCAGGAACATCAGCTACTGCTGAGCAGCTGTGCCTTGTCTGTGCTTCAGAACCAAAGACTGATTCATGGTCTCTTTTAGTTCTGTTCTCATAATTAAGGCAGCAGAGAATCATTTACACTGAAACCAACTATTTCGTGTCTCAGCAAAACTCTGAAGAGACAATTCTTCTTTGGGCTCTCTAGAAAGTCCTCAAATAACTGTGTTCCTGAGCAGCATTTCTTCTTTTGCATGTTAATTCTGAGATGGTGAGTGTAAATGTTGCAGATGTTGGCACTAGCAAGAATAGATACCAGATTTCATGATAAAAAAGCAAGGAGCAGCACTGTACCTTTATCACTCACTTGTAGCTGATTTTCTTGACACGAAAATAGATAAAAATTGACGGTGCTGTTCTTGGCTCAGCTCAGTCTTCAGGAACCTGGGTGTCACGCCTGAGAAAATGAATCAAGGTAAACCTTGAGAAAGGTCACATTTAGAGCCAGTATTTGCTGTAATGAATTAAACAATGAGTAATGAAAAAAAACTTTGTGAAATAATTTTATATCCAGCTGAATTACTGAGTAGGTTAATTACTTCCAGAAAAACAAGATGCATAATAGTAAAAATGCCATTCTTTCTCTCTGTTATTGTATGTATAACCTACCCCTGCAGTGCCAAAGGCATATGGATGTTTTGTTCCATTAATGTACGTGTCCAGTGTTCTCTGCATTTCAATGTAACAGGCTCTCATACTCTGGGGAAGGAAGGGCCTTTTGGAGCCTTGGCAGAGCTGCTGGCTGAGTCAAAGGCACCACCTGCTGCCACAGAATTTCCACCACAGCTCAGGGGACTGTCCCCATCCCTGGAGGGGTTCAAGGCCAGGCTGGATGGGGCTTTGAGCAACCTGGGCTGGTGGGAGGTGTCCCTGCCCAGGGCAGGGGGGTTGGAACTCGATGATCTGTAAGCTCCCTTCAAACCTGAACCATTCTATGATTCTACAATCCTGCAGGTCACCAGGGCATCCTGGGTGTCCATTTTAGCCTTTTAGCCTTATTTCTGACCAGCTCTGCTTTTAAACCACCAGCAGACACCTGGGGCTGTATTTCCTGTAGCCAAATGCTGCACACTAGCTGTTCCTTAGGCTGGCGATCATGCAATGAACAGTGGGACACCTCCCCTAGGCCCTCTGTATTCAAGTGCTTTCAATGGCAGCCTGGCAGCTTCTTTTCTTGCAGCATCTCAGTTTCTGTCTATTTAACAAAAGAGGCTTTGATCCTTTTTTTTTTTTTTTCCTTTTTACCCCTTTGTTTAGAAAACAGGAAAATAGTAATTTTAAAGTATTCTCACTAATTCAAACAGGAACAGTAGATTTTTAGTTGAGTCATGTAATAGAACAACTCTTCCCATCTGTCTTAACACTCGTGTTGTCTTGTGTGGTTCCTATTACCTCAAGCAGTTCAGTCAAAGTAAGATGCTAAAACACAGCTTTACTCTTTCTGCTTACCTTTTTCCGTATTAGTAGGTGGTCATCCTGTACAGAGCTTGCTGATTCTTGTACTGATGGCACCTGGGAGGTAGTCAGGCTCCTTGCAGGTGTGAGGATAAAGGCAGCACGCAGAGGAACCAGGCCTAGCAAGAGAAAGTGTAAGCGATACAGGCAAATCTTAACAGACTTAACATGTCCTTAAACATTCAAACCACAAGTTCCTGGATGACTCAACTTACCCCTCGGAGGGCAAGAAAGAAAACTGCAATCCCGACAATGGAAAGGCTGGCTTGGAAGCTACAAAACCAAACTGTCCTTCGCTGAGAAGAAGAAACTCACTGGCCTGTTCCTCTGCACGTGACACTGCTACCACTCAAGTGGTGTCTGCTACACATCTCCAGAATCCAAAGGGGACTAATAGAACTAAAAGTACTGAAGATGTGCCTCTAAGGCAGAAAAATTGCCCAGGCCCCAAGGTGTGCAAGCAGCAGGTAACAAAGACTGAGAAAGCTTCACAGCTGCAAACACTTAGAGAGGAACTTTAGATACATTTATACACGCTTCTGTCCTGGAACAGATGTAGAAGAACTTGGAAAAGCTTCCAAGGACATGTTCCAGTAAACTGGAGCAAAATAACTCTTCCTTGTGTGGCAGAAAGTACCAATAAAGAGGTGCCCTCTAAAGCACAAAATGTCTCTACAGGTCTTGAATGGGTTCAGAGTCAAATCTCTGCCAGAGACCAGTCTTGGGACAATGAATGAGCCAGTGCCATACAGCTTTCTTCCAAAACCTGCTCTCAAGTCCTGTGCTTGGCTCCTGCTGAGGGGAACTCTGCTGCTTTGGCCATCGGTGGAGAACAGCCCAGAGGGAGCCCCAAAGCAAACAAAGGCCATCAGCACAAGCAAACTCTGTGATCCCTTGACCAAAACATTGCAGGAATACTGATGAGGCCGCTCCGCTCTACTGCTGCCACCAATAACTTAATGACACTGAGGACAAGCACCGTGACACTTACCAAATGCTCTTTCTAGTGCTCCTGCTGCTGGTCCCCAGCCCATCAGATCCACCTGGTGATAGAGGTGCTGCCGAGTAGCTGCCAGGGCGCTCACGTGGCTGCAGATGGATGGATGTGTCCGTAGGAGTTTTTGAAGATCTCTCTGGTGCTGCTTTCCTGTCTGTGCCCTGATCTGAGACAAAGGGAGAACAATGTCACCAAGTACAGCACAGTATGCAAAAGTACCGAGGGGAAACGCTTAACCAAGGTACATGTTACAGCCACCGCTAAGGGGAAACAAGCCTTAACCAAGGTACATGTTACAGCCACCGCTGCACGGGGAAAGAGAAGAAAACAGCATCTATAAATACATACCTGCTACAACACCAGGAAACCAAAAGAACATATTAAGGATATTAAGACAATAATGGAAGTGAACCTCCCCCATAAAATTCTGCTTCGAGCGCAAGCATTTGGCTTCAGCCATTCCTAATCTCTCATAACAGCACTCAGGACTGAATTAAAGCTTTCCAGTCAGAAAGAATGGACCCACTCTTTAGGGAGCTTCTGACCTTCAAAATTAACAATAATTTTAAAATTGTCTGAACTTTTTTTATGCCAGTCTGGAAACTGCAGACAGCAACAGGAAACAAAACAAAACAAGCAGAAACCACCACCAAAACCCCAACACGTTTTGTAAAAGACTGTTTTTCTGCGTAACAGTGCAGATAGGCATCAGTTGCATACCCACTTCATCAATTATTGATCATGTACCACATCATTTCTTTCATGATTTTGCCTAAGATTTGTGACAAGCTAAACAAAGGTCACAGTTATCCAAGTTTATGGTTTATGGCTTCTAGCAATCCAAAAGCTCTTTTCTACATCTCTGAAACTTCATATTCTGAGATGCACCAAGGACAAATACCATCGACCTTCAGATATTCTTCTTGATTGTCTTTGAAACAAGTAATTCCATCAAAGTTTTATTTATTTAACACTATGAAGTGCCATTTTGAAAATCTATCTAGATGTTGCTGGAAGAGACACTTCTATATCCAGGTAAGAGAAGGACATCAACCAACCTGCCCTTTTCCTAATAGACTGCAGCAATATTTATTAATCATATTTTTATATATATATTTATACATATTTATTCCATATATATTCCATTGATTTTTCTTTCCTCCACATTTTTTCATCCTTACCTTATATTGGCTCTGTTGCTGCTTTGACTCCACTTCGATTCCAGGACACTGACAAAACTGAAGGTTTTTTCTTGTATTGTTGGCCCAGGACGCCTCACAGATAACTTGTAGATTTCCTTTATCAATGTCTGCATTTTCTAACTGTTAAGTTTTATTAATGACTATAATTTTCCCTATTTTATATAACCTATAAACATTTGTCACATAGACATACACATTTTGATTGCTTTCATGTTTTCTTTCAACTAGGACAAGTTTTGAATCAGAAAAGCCCTCCTATACAAGTGTGGTTAGTTTTTTCGGTGACCTAATAAAGCACTTGTAAGCAACTCCCATTTATCATTTCCCTTTCATCTTTAAGTTTTTCCTCTTGATCAGGACTACATCGGTTTTGGTTAACACCTAAGTCAAAAAACACCAGAGGTTGCCGAGCATCAGCCAATACACTCATCTTTTTGCCCATTAAAACTGATCATTGCAAAAAAACCAATCCCCAGTTCCAAGTTCTCTATCTGAGCAATGGAACACACAGCTCCTCTCCCCACACGTGCTCCAGACCTCCAGCACCACCCACAAACATCACCCACGTGGTGCTTTTACGGTGAAGGACATTACAAGTAGAGATTGTTCAAATACCTACTGTGAAGTGCTGATACTGCTGGATACTTTGCAAGAAAATTAATACTTGCTTGGTCTGCGAGAGAATCTTTGTAGAACCCCAGCAAGATCCCAGCTGGTCAGGACTGGTCCCAGTACTTCAATCACCACGGCACAGACTGGTGGCCTGAAATCTCCTGACAGCCAAACACTCAGGCTTCCAGCTCCACAGGCTACAGTAGTACCCCCTGCTGAAGCAAACTGATTGGCTTTGTATCAAATGCCAAAGCGAGGTAACATTTCTATGGCAAACCTAGACATTTTAAGAACAACTTACTCAGAAACAGAAGGTGAAGCACCATTACTTTGTATGGGCTAAGGAGCACAATGTGCCACCAGATCTAATCATGTGTCATCTTCTATGGAGAACCCATGCACAAAGAAGCAAAATTAAGATGTTGAGGTTCTCCTTTGTTGGAAAGAGGAGGATGGGTGTGGAGCACGGGGCCGCTCATGAGGAATGGCAGGAGGTAACAGAAGAGCTGGGCAGCATTGTCTGAGACCAGCAGCTCCCACACCATGCGTCTACTGGAGAAGCAGAGGTCACTTCTAACTCTGTGGTCTTCTCACATGACCGTTTCTTCTCTGTATTGCCTCCTTTCTCTTTTCACCTTCAGTTGTCTCTTCTCCCCGTTCCTTTCCCCCACAGCCAGGCACATCTCATATCACACCTCATTACGCAGGATCCCACACAACAGGGAAGGTTTGTGACTGCACCTGCAGCAATCTGGGAACAGTCAAAGCTGGATGCAGAGCTCTCAAGGTGATCACTCATGTTGCACGAAAAGAAAGAAGAAAACAAGTCTCGTGCTCAATTCCCCTTGCAGAAGGGGGAACAAATCTCCTGGTGTCTGACTGGAGAGCCCAGGTTTCATGTCTATTTGTAAGCCTACCTTGCAGGAGGCTGACAGGATCCCCATGGAGTGACAGCCACCTACATGAAAGGGTAGGACAAGCGCTGTCCCCATTTGGGTGTAGACAGAGCAAACATCTCCAAGTGGAGCACACCTGTGGAGGTGGTCCCAGCTTCACTCCCTGCCCCTCTCCCTTGCCCCCAGCACGCTTTGCCGTTACCCTGTGATGAATTTCCACTTGTGGCATAGCGAAACTGGAAAAAATAGGGATTTTTACAACCATAGTCTGGAGGCACAGATTTGTGTTGCCTCTTAGGATGGATTCCCAACTCCAACCTCGTGTGGAGAACTCAGACTAGCTCTCTTGTACCCGCTCACCCCTGCTATTTTATAAATGGGATTATTTTTCTCGTTACCCAAGAAAGCCTTACTTTCAATACACCACATACATGATATGCAAGCTTTGCTCTTGGTATCTTTACATTGAACCAGTAGTTAAAATTCATACACGACAGGAACAGACAGAATGCTCTCCAGTCAGCTCAAATCGTACGTCACTTCGACTTCAGTCAAATTCTTCTCATTTTTTCACTCCTTCTCTAGAAGGAAATGAAGTATCCTCAGACAACGTCCACCAGAGAGGTCAAGGTTAGTGACTTTTCTAGTTCTTCAACACTGGTAGGTTCCCAAGGATAAAACACAACCACTTTCTTCTTTTCAGTCATGAGGAAACCATTATCACTAAATCTGCCTTTTATACTCCCTACATCCAGAGAAACAAAAGGAGCAATCGCAGTGGTCTGAAGAACAAATATATAAACATCATCTTGTTGGGATACAGAGGCCTGGAAGAGAAATAAAATAAATAAATAAATGAATAAAATAAAATGTACGTGTTAAAGAAGAACCCAGTTACACTCCAACTGAATGAATAAAAGAAAATGTTAAAGAAGAACCCAGTTACACTCCAACTGGGAAAGACCTGCATGTCAATAAAGCAGACTGAACAACCACATTCGATCAAAATTACCATTCTCTTCTGGAACAAAAGGTTGAACCAACAGGATTCATATGTAAATATCATGCAAAATATAGCCTTCCTACAGAGGACTACAGATTGTGATAAAATGCCATGAAGTATTATCATTCTACCATCTTCTTATGAAAAATAACTGAATAAATGGTAATCTGACTTGTACATAGTACACTACATTTAGAAGGCAGCCACGCTGTGAAATATCAGAACAAGGTATAATGTTTTATATTAAGTTCTATCAGTAGATAATCTCAGAGACACTTAAAAGAACAACCAGGATGCATTTTCATGCAGCATTCACCATCATGAAATATTATGCCACATCATTTCCAAATACCAAATAACTATCAAAAGCAGACAGATTACGTTAAATGCAGAAATCATGTCCTGCTTAAAAGAAAAACACCACTATTCATTTTTAAGAAAACACGTACATCCTTTACAGTTTGTGCTTTCTGAAGAACACAAAAGTCTTCATGTATTTTAAAAGCAATGCCATGAAGAGCAGTGCTTTGATTAGCAATGTATTTGAAAGCCTAGTTAGTTTATTAGTAACTATGTGTGGAAGCACCAGCTTCTAACAAAACAGAGTAATTTTTTAAATCACAGCTGCATGCTTTCTTAAAATAACCACTTTGCATTTATCCTTGCTAGCTTCCTTATTAGTACTGCAGAGACAACACAGCCATGGGAAAAAGGAGTGAAATTTCCCAACGATGCTCCAGTTACAGAGCTTTTATTATTGATGATGTCATCCACAAAAAAACCCAGCATGACTCAGACTCCAGATTGTGCCACCGGCTGAAAAAAAAAATAAAATAAAACCAGGCTGATCTGTTTCCTTTGTATACTCAGGAGGGCAGGCCATGCTGCCGTGAAAGAGATAAGAGGGGAAAATCTGGCCCAGTTTTTTGTGTAAAGCAATTATGCTGGTCCAGATTCAAAGAGATTAAAGATCTCTATTCCCCCCTTGTTTAGTTTAGCTCCAAAGAGCAAAGCTGCAGTTTGGAAGCCAAATGTGAGAACGCAGGGGTCCCCATCCTGCCAATTTGCTGATTAAGAATTTTGCAATAAGATTTACATGTTAAGAAGCGAGGCTCAACAAAATGTGTGTGTACACACACAGACACACACACACACACAGGGCATGCTTGATCTCTATACACAGAGCACACTTGCCAGGAGCAGAAGAAATCTAGGGAAAAGCAGCAAATGGACTAAATGAGAATGTTATACAACACTGATGCTTTCTGTGCCTGTTCAGAAGACTGACACACTTGCCAGATATTAAGAAATAAACACTATTATTCAAATTAGAACCCGTAGCTGGAGGGCAGGGATTTGCAGGAGGAGGAAAGGAGCGTGCAATATTGCATGTTAGCAATGGTACACTGCTCTGGCAGCTTGAGCACTTCAAGAGGAAATTCTGCTGACAGTCACACACTCCACACTCAACTGAAGTACCATCACCTGAGTACTGACAGCCTCAACGCTTGCCATTTGCTATCTGGGGCCAAAAAGAATGAAAGGAGCAATGGTGATGCAGCCAGGTGAAAGACAGTCAAAACAAATGAAATGGAGACTTTGTTATTTACAACAAAACCCAAACAAAAAAAAATGCCACAAAAAAAGCCCCAAAACCAAACCACAAGTCTTACTCAAATATGCATATAGTGGCACCAAAAAAAAAAAAAAAAAAAAAAAATCTGATTTTGAACTCAGCATGGAAGCTAGAATTGCAACAGCTAAGGAGAAAGACCATTCAGTGGAATTAGACACCGGATAGCAGGCAAACAACTCAAACCAGTAAGATTAGCAAAACAAAATACAGTAATTTAGCATGACTGATGCTTACACTAAGCTGGGACTTCTGTAATCCCTCAGCATCCTTTAGTGATGAAAGGAAGTGATGGTTCGTAGGACTCTGGAGCCCACCTTCTCCCACAAGACAGAAAGTAATAACGCAGCTTTTCCTGGTGCAATTTCTGCATCTTTCCAGAAGGTCATTTATGGATTCCTTGTAGATTGGGACAGCGCTTTGTGCTTTAACGGTCACACCGTCCTTGGCAAGGGTGCACACTGGCTCCAAAGAACTCCAGGAGTGGACAACGACCTATTGAGCACGTTGAGAGAGCACAAAGCTTAGCAGAAAAGTTACATCTGTGAAATCAGCCCAGCATCCTGGGTTTCAGATTGCTCATTGCAAGAGATGTTCTCCTGACAGTACCAGCTGATTTCTACCTAGCAAGAAACTCCACAAAGACCTTAACAATCAATATGGCATAATAGTTAGATCATTATATAAACCTAAGAAGAAGTCTGTTTCAAACAGTCTGGATCTATTACTGTTCTTGATCTGCAAGGCTTTTTGTTTTCTCCAGGCTCCTTGAGAGAAGGGGGGGGGGCGTGTGTGTGTGTGCCAAATCCTGCCAAGGGAGTGCTGAGAAATGGAATTAGTAAGCGACTAATTTGTTGATTCTTTTTCCTCCCCTCCCTGATTAAAAATAGACAAACAAAGGATTTTCTTGAGATTACTCAGAGTTATCTGATGTAACCCAACTGGGTAATCTAGAGCTCCTGCACAATCACAGAAGCAAGATGCATCATTTTAAAAGGGATTATGGAAGTTATATTAATATAGTAAAAGACATTCCCAGAGATCACACATGTATTGCAAACACCCCCATATGTTAAAACAAAACAAAACACAACATAAAAACCCAAAAAACCCCAACAACAAAACACACAACCCCAAGGCATAATTTGGAGAACAGGCACTTAATGAGAATTACAGCATTCTTCATAAATTTTACGTTATTTTTGACCTTAACAGGGTTACCAGGGGACTGCAGTCAGGAACAAACCTTAACTCCTTTCAAAAGTTTTAAGTTCCAGATTTTCTAAAATTGTGAAATACAGTATTCATCAGAACTACCCTACTGCCAATGCTTCTCTGACGTTATCAGAAAATCTGAATTTAAGCCTATTACAATAATTCAGACCAGAAATAAACAATTTAATTAAGTGCAGTCCTACTCTAAGTACTGACTATCCAGAAACTGCAAACATTTTCTATACTACATATTATTATGTATAAGTAACCTTATAAATGTGAAAATTCATGGCAGCCCACCAGACAGCAGTGAACTAGGAACTGACTCATTCCAAGTCTCTAGGTCTATTTTTCCATCCTTCCCAGTTTTTTGACATGGGATGCCCTTTATGTCAGGAATTGCATGTCGTAGAGCAAAATGGCCCCCAAATTCATTTGGGATCTGGTTGCCATATGATTAACAGAAACAAAATGTAACAAAGAAAGACAAGACTGTGTTTTAGAGGACAACTCAGGAGCCCAAAGAGCACCGAAGAAATCCTATCAGTTTCTACAGCATTATCAGAAAACAGTGAAGGCATCAATTGTAAAACAGTGACATTGCACAGGTGACCTTATCATTAAAGTACACATAAATTTCTGTTGATATTTCAGAAAATAATCTGGTTCTTTTTCCCAAAGCAGGGTAGTTTGAGTACTGGTCAGCAATGGTACAATCCTAGGGCTACAAAGATGATGAGGGGCCTGGAGCATCTCTCTTACAAAATAAGGCTGAGGGACTTGGGTCTTTTTAGTCTGGAGAAGAGAAGGTTGAGGGGGGGATCTGATCAATGGTCATAAATACTTAAAGGGAGGGTGTCAAGAGGACAGGACCAGTCTTTTTTCAATGGTGCCCAGGGATAGGACAAGAGAAAATAGGCACAAACTTGAATATAAGAAGTTCCACCTAAACATGAGGAGGAACTTCTTCACTTTGAGGGTGGCAGAGCCCTGGAAGAGGCTGCCCAGGGAGGTGGCGGAGTCTCCTTCTCTGGAGATATTCCAAACCCCACCTGGACACGTTCCTGTGCAACCTGCTCTGGGTGGACCTGCTTTGGCAGGGGGGTTGGACCAGATAATCTCCAGAGCTCCCTTCCAACCCCATGTGATTCTGTGATCCTTTCCCCCCCAACATACTTAGTTAATCTAGTTCTAACACCCAGGGAATGGTTTTGTCAAGTAGCAAGGTACCATTTTTCACACTTCGTTCTATTTAACCATCAGTCCCTTTAAGATTTCAACAGAATAGTTAATTTCAGGCCTACACCCACAGGCAAGACAATTAATTCCTTCTTCTGTGAAACAGTACATACCACTATAATAAAGGACAGTGTTGCCCCTTAGAAGATTAAAGACAAAATTGCACCTCATTGTGTTGGAGCATGGACTCAGTGAAGCTTGTCTATATGAAGAAGTGCTCATTTCAGCTTCTCACATTTTTGTGGGAGGGATACAAAGTGGTGAGAGAGGTGTCACTTACCCTCAAAGTCAGCTTGTGGTCCACATGAAGATCTGAGACACCATAAATGTACAACACACCTTTGTCTTCGTAGGCCACGGGCAGCAGCGGTGCAAAGAAGTTCTGGGCAAAATAATGAAGCAGTTTCCACTTACCACCGTATTCTGAAAAAGGTCAAAAGGAAGGAAGATTCAGATTGAGTCCAGGATTGCCTTGACACATAACCCCTTGTTCTCTCTGGTCCTGCTACGGCACTACAATTTCTCCCTTCACCCTTTTTCATCTCTATCAAGTGCAGAGAATGACTGATGTTATTCTTGTTCTCTTCCAGACTGCTCTGGAAGCAATTTGACACTCTTTCAAGCTTTTCTTTGAGCTTATTTAAAAGGTCACATTTTTTAAGTGTTGGTCCTGTCATTGTTATGCTGTTATTCAGTTGAAGAAAGCCTTAAACACAAGTGACATTAAGAAAAATGACACAGTTAACTACACATTAAGCTAGCAGCTGGAGCATCTATGTTGTTGAGAATCCAGACAAACAGGCTGGCATTGGTGGCATTGCCACAAACTACCACCACTGTAAGGGGACAACAGTCTAACTTCTGGTGCTTATACAAAGTGCTCTCTTCACCTTTTCCAGTCCTGCTCTTTCAGTTCTTCCTTAGAGGAACATCAATAGCAATGAAGATAAAAAACCTCAAGTTCTCAAACCAAAGACAGCTCTGAGTTATGCAAAAAGAATTTGCCAAGATGTAGACAACACTTTATGGGAGTTAGTATACATGATGTAGATGTGCCAACCAGTTTGCTTTGCTTCTTTAATGGAAAGCTGTACCTCATTACATCTAATACTTTGAAAGTCTGCCATTAACAAACTGGAAAAGCCATCAAAGGTTGTGTCATAGAATAGTTTTGGTTGGAAGGAACCTTTGAAAGTCATTTAGCGGCCCTCCCTTGCCCCCTGCAACGAGCAGAGACATCTTCAACTAGATCAGGTTGCTCAAAGCCCCGTTCAACCTGACCTGGAATGTCTCCAGGGATGGAGCATCTACCCTGTCTCTGGGCAACCTGCCCCAGTGTTTCACCACCCTCATTGTAAAAAATTTCTTCATTATATCCAGTCTGAATCTGCCCTCTTTCAGTTTAAAACCGCTACCCCTTGTCCTATCTCTACAGGCCCTGCTAAGAAGTTTGTCCCCATCTTTCCTGTAGGCCCCTTCAGCTACTGAAAGGCCACAATAAGGTCTCTCCGGAGCCTTCTCTTCTCCAGCTGAACAACCTCAACTCTCTCAGCCTGTCCTCGTAGGAGAGGTGTTCCAGCCCCCTGAGATCACTTTTGTGACCTTCCTCTGGACACACTCCAGCAGATCCATGTCTTTCCTGTGCTGCGGACTCCAGAGCTGGTCACAGTACTTCAGGTGGGGTCTCAAGAGAGTGAAGCAGAAGGTTTCATTCCTGTTTCAGGCTCTTTGTTTTATACAACAGGTTTTTAAGCCTTGGATTATTTCCAGTGATATCTTTTTGTTGTAACTAATTACCTGTCTGTGTTTTGGTGCTTATACAAAGCTCTTAGCTCTTTCAAACATCTCATAATTAAGGACTTCATCCAGAGTGATGTAGTCTTTAAAGAGTGTTTTTGTGGCTTTCACAGGCAGACCTGAACATGCTCTGCCTGCACTCAACATAGACATGAATGAACTTTGTGGACAGCAAGATCACAACCAGCAAGCTTGGAGAACAGACAAGAAAAGCTAATATCTACTGGAAAACCCATACAAAATTCAACTGCGCCATAAGATCAGGTTGTTGCCAACAAAACACCACTGGCAATCAAGTTAATAGCACTGAAGCAAACTGGAGAGATGAAGTCTGAACAAAAAATTCAGAAGAGCCTGTGGAGTTTCTTCAAAGCAAACTGATGATAAACTGATGAAACACAGCATTTTGGCATTGTTCAGTGTATGAACGAAGCCATGTTCTTGCATTCCAAGGACAACTCCTGGCAGAAAACAGTGGTGTCTAAAGGACAAATCTGCCAAAACCAAGGAGTGCTAACAAATTACTTTTCAGGGTCTTGAAACTTGAGATTTGTATTGGGGACGGATTATCTGAAACAGAGGAAACTGTGGAGCAGCATCTGATCCAAAAAATAAAAGCAATGGGCCTTTTATGGGAAATGGGCCTGCACCTGACCTCAGGCTTTGGGAGGGGCTGAACTCTCTGAAGCCCTCAGGACTGCCACAAGACCCTCAGGAATTTCAATTGTCACTGCAGGCCTCAGACAGAGCCCACCACGAGCCCAGACAAGTTACCCAGCACGGGCTGAGCTTTCAGTGCCGGCTGACTTGGATTTTTTTCCTCAGCTTAATTTACAAGGTGAAAATGTAGGCTTCAACTGTCTTAAATATGCAAATTAATAACGCAATTGAAGTAGAGCTGGTTTTGTTATTGAGTGTAATATAAACTCCCATTTCTCTTCGAATGGGCCCTACCCTCAATTTCTGCTGTGCCTTGATTTCCAACTGGTTTATATAACCACACTGCGGTGGTCACCGGAGGGAAAGAGAGAGAGTTTGCCACCTAAGCAGCAGATACAGAGATCCTTAAGCAACCTGTACAGTGGAGAAAACAACTCAGACTAAGAGGGAAACACAAACAAACCAAAAACCCCAACCAACAAACAAAAGCAAACAAATCACAGGCTTAAAAGTGTGATTTCAAAACTCCTCCTAGGGCTCAACTTTGACAGCTCTTGTTCCAGAATGTTTGCAAACATCACTAGTCTGCTTACCTTGTATCAAAGATAACTTTTCCAGCAACAGGATCTTGATAATGCGATTGTCAAAGTAACTTCAGACAGCACAGAAAACTGAAGTTCAATGATAAAAAAAAAAGCCACATTCTTCAGCTCATCTGTTGTCTTGATTTCTTTAAGACTAGAGTCACGTTTCTTGATTTAAAAATAGCCGAGTTCATATAAAATACTCCCCCTATCCCAAAAATGGATGTAAGAAATCTGGAGATCAGGTAGCTATTGTGAGAAATCTCTGTGCTTAAACTTTCCTGTTACAGACATGCAAGCCCAAAGGCAACAGTCAGAAGTTATTTAAAACAGCCTTGGGGTGGTTCCCTCCTCCTCCCCCCACGTTTAAATGAACTCTTAAAGAAATGCAATTTTTAACTTTTTGATTCTTAAAGAATTTCCCATTTTTTTCTGTTAATAACATGGGGCCTGCATTCTCTGCAGTATAAAACTTCAGAATAGGAAGCTAAAATTGGGTTTGTAATGAGACCCCAATACCCTTTTTTCTGACTCTCCCCTGAAGCCTTCCACACTGCTAGCGGGAGCGAGAACAAACAGTTCTCCCTGGAACAGATTTTAAATTAATCACTTCACACCATTAAAGGCAACCTGAGAAACATGCTGCTAGTCTTTCCTCACCTCACTCTCTTGAATTTAGATCTATTATATCCCACAATAGCCTGTGGTTTCAGCTCACCAGGGGCTCTAAATACTGAACCTGCAATAAAAACCAGTTATCTGTTCGAGGGAATCTCATGACAACCGAGTTGGGTACCTCAAGGTGGCACTTGTGTGGGAGTGAGGTGAACAGCCGTGTGCATCACGGTGCTCTTCACCAAAACACACTGCAGAGATGCTGAAGCAGGCAGCATGGCACAACTGGCACTAACAGGCAAAACCCAGTTGTGGTAAAAGCTGTTTAGTTCTGAACTGAAGGCAGAGGTACTACCACAGGAGTGCTGTGCTGTTCTTTTCATTCAATCCCAAGCAAACATCTTAAAGGTAAATGAAATGAAGAAACATTTGCTACCTTTTTCCCTCCCCACTTCATGAGGAAACACTTCCACGTTGTACGGGAAATTACATAAGCCCCTCCATGGGTGTTTTAAATAACAGATTTAAATAAGAAGCACTCATTGGTGATACCACTGTGCCATCTAACAAGATGCAGAAACGTGTTTTTGAAGTGCAAATAAAACTAATTTCTCTGAAGTTTTGCATAATTTCAGCCATTAGCATTTCAAAAATCCCTCTACCACACTGCCTAATTAAATGAATATTAAACCTTTCCTCATTCCACTGAGGGAATAGAACAAAACAAAGGGACAGCTGTATCTTTGCTGAGCTTCTTTTCTGTAAACTAACTTCAACAACACATGAATAATTCAAGAATTTGATATATTTTCTACAATGACATCAGCTCTGTACTTAAAAAGGCATTTATGGTCTCCACGATCACTTCATCTATCAATACACCTGTCTTTACAAAGGCTCGTTTTTCCAAACATTTCTTTCTCTTGAGGCACTTAAAGCCTAAGCGCATCAGCCATTGCTAGAATCATAAAAATGAACATTGGGATATTCCATTTCCTAATGCAAGTCTAGAAAGTCCAGAAAGATGAGCATTATAGTTTAACCTCTGCCTTCACATTTAAATAAAATAGCCTGTTTCTTCTACTGGTTTGTTTCCCTTTGTTGGTTGCAGTTACTCTGCTTGGATAAATAAAGGAGAAAAAAAAACCAAAAAACAAAAAGAAAAAGGCAGAGGGACAAACATCTCTCAGAGAAAGAGGGGGAGGATAGGGTAGGCTAATTATTTTTTTATAAAGTAAGGCCAAAATGGCATTTTATTCTAAGAACAGATCAAGAATTTCCCAGTAACTCTTAGCTCTTTCTAGTTGACTCATATTTCTTCACACATGAAATTCTTAAAGAAATACTTTCAAAAACAGAATATGTGAAAAATAACTAAAATTGAAACAGAATCGACCCAAGTCCTACACAGCTGCCACAGAACAGCTTCTCCATTTCAAAGTGACTTCTGAAAAAAAAATAAAAATGTTCGCAACACAAAACGCAGCCACTTGGCTCATACCCACATATTCCTCCCCTATTTCTTACTGCCTAAGTGATGCAACACAAAGCGCGCCACTTGGCTCATACCCACACATTCCTCCCCTATTTCTTACTGCCTAAGTGACTTTTCTCTTTATATGTCCAATTACTGCATTTTTGTGATCTAGCAGGAAAAATTATATATAATATATAGAGAGGTCATGTGCATAAACAGCTTATTAGCAGGATATTTAGTCACAAGGAGTGATTCACCTCACCTGACACTGTTAAGACACCAAATCTCAAGTAGTCATCTTCTCCTATAAAGAGCTTCTCAGAAGCTCTGCTGGGTGAGAGGTGTCATGAAGTTCTACGAAAATCAAATTCAGCATGCAGGAGATAATTCAGCCCACTAATTAGACAGCTAAGGACACAATGAATCACACTCTGGAGATAACCATCTCTCCCCCAGCTGACTACAGAAGAACTCTAGATGGCCAGCCTTTACAGACTACATCTCATCCTCTTCAGAACAGTTTTGTAGGGCTCTTTTTGACAGTGCACTACTGCCTACTGAAGGGAGGGGTTTCAATCATTTTACCATGGTGGGGGGGACAGGGGGAATAAAATCAATCAAATTTGTTGGGATTATGGAAAGTAGAATTATACATGGCTGCTGCTTCTTCCCCTCCTCTCCTGCCAGCACCCTCTCTTGTCCATTCTCACTCAGGGTGGTACATACACACACCTGTACAGTTGAGCCAATAAATATAATCAGCAATTCCTAGGACAGGAACAGAATTTCTTAAAAGTTTCCAATTTTAGAAGAATTAATCTTTCTAATTTTAGAAGAATTAAGCTTGCAAACAATTCAATATTTCCCTGGAAATCCTGGATGATATATCACACAGTTTCTGGAAAGTCCAGCTTCACATAAGAAAAGCAAGGCTACTTGAAAGTTTACCCCACAAGGGTGTTGTGCCCTCAAATCTCAAGCATCGCTGCTTCCTAATATGCAACTTTGTCTGGATTCAATGATATTTTTTCATTGGGAGAAATGAGAATACTGCTTAAATGGAAAAAAAAATATTTTTAAGAAATGAGGAGTTACATATCATTTTAACTTCTCTAAACTAAACCTTGCTAAAATAAGGGTAAGAGGTGGTGGCTGCTAAATCTGAACTTAAGCAGCAAAACTTCCATAGGAAAGGAATTGCTTCGTTCTTTACCCCCTTCAACTTCCACAGACTATTAGGATGATCCTGAAAAACACTTTTTTGGAAAGCATTTCTAAAGGATGGAAGGAAACATGTTCAAAGTTGGCAAAGTTGTCCAAGCCAGAAAGCAGAACCCTACTTCTTATTTTGATACTTCCAGATGAGGAAAACAAAACAAGACTGACAGTTGGTGCTTTTTACCAGACTGTCACAAAACTTACCCAAGGAAGCCCATGAAGGTGCCTGCCAAATGTCATTGAGTTGCCAGTACAGAGCTCCCATTGTGTGTCCTTCTCCCTTGATTATTTCACTTTGACTAAAGCGATAGAATTCAGTCTCTGTCTTTATACACTGAGCCTGCATCACCTTGGTCAACAAACACACACATAAAAAAAAATATTGTTTGGTTTATTGCATTTTGTATTTCACTTTCCTTTCAAAGCACGTGTGTATATATTAACATAGGACACAGACTTCACAGCAACGGCACATAACTTCAAACTTGAATCTTCAAGATATACACCTGCAGTGCAGGAGGGCTCTGCTGGAATGAGATCTATTCCCTGCACCTCCCAACAGCTTTACAAGCAGCATCTTTAGAGAAATGCTGAGGGAGGACCACTTCCTGCCTCCCATCCAGTGAAGATCACTGGGCAACAGTGTCTTTGAAAGGCAAACGAAAGACAAGGGAAAGAAAAATCAATTTGAATTTCTTTTTTTAAATAATATAAATAAAACCCCCAAGAATTGCAAAATAACTTTATGCTGCACTACCTCCAGTATACATTTCTAGGATGTCCACATCCCTATACTCAGAACACGTAAGACACGTTCCCAGTATACAGTCAAAATTGTGCATTGAAAGAGCAACTTTTTTTCACCTGCACTCCTACTTCTTCTCTCCTTCCCCACTTTGTCTTCAAAAAACACTTTTCAGAAATTCTCATTGGCCAAGTTCTCAATAGAATCCAAACAGCCTGCTATTTTCTTCACAAAGTATATGTCTAGGCTAGGGAGATATTAAAAGAAAGTCTCAAAATAAAGGAAAAAGTCTTTAGGACAGCTCAAAAGGCAAAGATAGCACTTCTAGTTAACCACTAGAGCCAAGTTTACTCTCCTTATCCTTTTTGCTGTCCTTATTTTCGTATTCTTAAATTGTTTAAGCTGTTAATAAGGCCCTGACAGACTTAACCCTGAAGAAACTCTCACGGCTTTTTGATTCAGGTTTTTTTGCACAAGTTTTAGACCCGTTTTCCATTTCACAGCATCACCTATTCTTGTTCTCTTCTCATCAGTACCTAAAGTTCTCCAGCTGTTTTGTTTTTATATAAGACTGCTGACAGCAGCTCTCCAACATTAATAAGTTAGTGAATGTACATTCCCATCAAGAGTGTTCCAGAAATTCCTGGAACACGATAGAAAGTAACAGCACTTCAAACTTGCCTAGTAGCATTAAAAAGTCATTTAACATCATTTAGGAGTCACATAGAAATCAGAAAGAAAGAAAGAAGCATGAGGTAAACTACTACAGATGAAGAGCAAAGCACACCCCACTGATTTGAAAAAAAATTTATCTAAAATATCAGTATCAATAATACATAACAGGGACCAAGGTAACATGTGCAGCCAGACATTCTCCCAATTGAGCCAGTTTCTGGGAAATTCCCTGAGCAGTATTCCAACCCTTCTATGATGAAAATTGGAGTCTCTCTCCAATAAACAAGAGACAAGCTAGTTCCAAATTAAACTGGACTCTCCAATGCTTCAGTGCAGAAACTTTCAGTATGACTGAACACTATCTAACAGGATAGGCCCAGTTTTAACTGCTGGCAGTATCTAATGGAACAAGTATTAACAGCTGCTTTATATCTAAGACATGGCTATTACCTGAGTGAGGTAAATCGTATCTTTGAACTTCTTTATGGGGTCTGTGCTCTGAGGAAGCTTGAAATGATGTCCAATCTGTTGGAGCATCTCATCATTGCCATTTTCATGGTGTTGTCGATGGAGAGAAAAATTGCTGGTATAGGACCAGTCCTCAGTGGAGGAAACCTTTTAAAAACCACAAATGTAAGAGATCAGAATGAAAAGGCAAAATGTGCATTTAATAGCTGACAGGATATTCAGGAAAGGATATCCATTACAGCCTGCTGACATCATCCAGACCTTTAGAGTTGGTAGTATATTTCTATAGTGCCTCATGCAGTCAGGCAAGGATTTTGAATCAACAACAACCTTTCCTTATACTCCTTGTACAAATAAATGAAAATGGACGTTGCTGTTGAGCCCAGAAGAGCTCAGTGACATTTAACTTATTTGTCCTAAGGTTCAGTTTGGCCAAGGGACCTCAGAGGTTTGCTTGCATTCATAGCAAATCAGGAACACCCCAGATTAAGATGGAAAAATGTGCTATAGTCAAACACGTTTAGGGATAAGTTACAGAAGTTAGAATGGTTATAAGTTCAAATAATGTCTACATTTTCAAAATCTGCCTCTGAAAACAAATGATGAAAAAACAGGTTTTTTTTCAACCAAGGACAACAATGCAGCATAGCTCATGCAGTTATTATTGTTAAGCTTTCATTATAATTACAATCTCTACAAAATCTTTTTATTTAAATTTGTTCCTTTTTAGGCCAGATTGAATATTTTTCATTGTTATTAATATGGATGAATGTACTGATTATGTCTCAGATAACATACTTTGCCCAACAAATTGAAAGGAACATTCTGAACTCCTCTTAGTTGTATGCATGAGCATCAACATGATACTCATCTCTCTGAACAAATGGACAAACATGCTCTGTCTCTGCTTCAACTGGATAAATAAGATAGAATATACAATAGCTAAATTTAACAGCAGAAAAAACAAAATACTCTTAATGCAATACATAAAGAAATAGCACAATTTGGCATTTGTCATATTTCCTCTGTTTCTAAATGAATACATATCCTTAGACATAGCAAAAAGCAGATGTTAGGCAATCATTACTAAGCTATATATTAAATAGAATTAATATTCTAATTAATAGTCCCATAACAGTCTCTCATCTAAACGTGGTTCTTCTTGCAACATCAAGGTAAATATATTGAATGCTGAGGAGGGAAACAGTCCAGTTTCATCCCCTCCCTCCACACCAGCACACCCCCCTATCCCACTTCTGCCGTACCACACCTACCAGTGCATCATCCCAGCGACGGTTCAGGCGCTGGAGTCCATTGGGAAGAGACTCATTGCCCTCATTAAATCAGAGCAGAGGTGACAGCAACGTGTGGAAGCCCAGCCTTACCTCTTTAATTGTACTGAAGGAAGGCCAGGATTGAAATCCATATTCTGAAGCAAAACGAGTTTTAGGATACACCGCCCAGTTCCAGCAGTCATTGCTGTAGTCGTAAAAGTGAGTGTCACCATAATGGGTATCGTAAGGATTCTGGGAGACCCAACCTTCTTTAACTGACTCCAAGCCGTTGGTGGGACTGGATGCAACAAAAGGACGACTTTTATCTTCCTGGGATTTAATAAAAAAACAAAACAAATCACAACCTCCCCACAAACTGATTGGCTTTTATCATCTGAATACATAGACCACATTTTGAAAAGCAGGGGGAGGGCAGGGAGAACATGTTTTTTCCACATTTCTGAATCACCACCTACAAAACATTCCCCTTTGTGTCCTGACATTCATCATCTTTACTTGCTTAATTAGCTTCTTATTTATGTTTCTGGAGGACAGCTGGGCATGATATTGCTTGCTCTGCTGTTCTAAGGGATTCTCTCCTCACATCAAGAGATTTTCTATCTTTATATGCTTCTAAATTCTTAATGAAAGCTATTTAAAGTGTGCTTCGTGAAAAATAAACTCGAGGAACATTAATATTTGAGTACTGTGACTTCTTTATGGAAAATCATTACTTTTGCAGTGGTTGTGCAGGAATAAGGCCATGATTTTCCCCTTCCTTATTAAGTCGTCACCTAAATTTAGTCCTAACAAAGCCAAGGTGTTCTACTAATGCTTGCATGGTAGCGTTACACTTTATTGTCATTTTGGCTGGCTCTGCACGTTAAGATAGATGAAGCTGTAAGAATGATTACATTTCAAATTGTTCAGAGCTGCCTTTATTTATAGCCTCAGTAGATTTAGCATACTAAATCTTTTAGCAGTACCCTACAAAGTACTGAAGGAGTCCTTTTGCAGGTATAATTCATTTAGCACCCTACTTGAGTAAGATAGAGGCCCAAGTTAGTTCCCAGTCACAAGGTAGAGCAATTGGCTCCAATACAGCAAAGCACTTAGACATGAGCTTCATCTTAAGAAATGGTCCTGTACCCTTTTTTTTTTTTTTTGACATGAGTAATTAATAATTAACTGAAACAATTTACTACAGGATATCCTATATTCCCTGAAGTCTTTAGCTCAAGCTTAGAAGTCTTTTTAAGTTACACATTCCAGTACTGCTAGTCGTTACAGGTTTCCTCAGCTGCTTTGTATCACACAGGACCTGAAATTTATTTCACTGTACGGTTCCTTCTGGTGGTCAAAATAATTATTCTATGGGTTTAAAATAAAAGAGGGTCCATCCGGGACAGCAATGCTGCACAAGTGAGTTGTAACTAAAAAACAGTATCAAGCCAGAACACCTCACCTTTCTACACATTCTGGCAGTCCAACTCACATAGGTAATCACACAAACACCACAGCATACCTTTACAAACAACTCAAAACCTCACCGAAATACAGAAATCTAGAATCAAGATGTTAAGCAGGAATATAAGACCCCATTACCATTTAAATGCGTAACTCTAGAATCAAGATGTTAAGCAAGAATATAAGACCCCATTACCATTTAAATGCATAACTACCCTCAAGAGAAAACCCTTTTCAGCAGGTTCTTTCAAACCTGGCCTCATTTTTATTGTTTCCTCATATCTCAACTTCTCCAGCAGAGAGGTATTCTAAATTCTCAAAGTACAACTACTCTGACAGTGCCAGGAGCCTCCAATAACAGGCAATAGTATTGCTGTCAACTACACACTGAGTGCCTCTCCTAGCAGAGGGAAACTTCAGTTTATAAGCCTCATACTGTGAAATATATCTATCCTGAACAGGGCAGAGATAAAACTACAATTACCATACCCTGAAGTCAATAAGATAATGCTGTACAAGGGATAACTGGGTAGGAAAAGGGCACTAGCAATTTTAGGTTAACAAAAACTCATGCTCTTGTTGAAGTGGAAAGCTCTGACAGGACAAAATTGCAACATTTTGTCTGTTAGCGAACAGGGGAGTTGAGAATACTCACCTGTGGTTCCAGCATTGTTTGTTAATCCCTATACAGTTATGGAACATCAGTTTTAAATCAATTTCACTCTACATACATAAAAGTTAGTTAAAAGCAGATTCCATTAAATAATGAACTGCAATATCTCTAGCAGAAGAAAACTACAAAAGCTGCAAAAATGGGTAGTGCCAAATCACAGCAGAATTCAACCTGGGTTCTAGGTGCTTCTGGTCTACATGTGCACAGTTCAAGTCTTACCTCAAAATATTTTATTTTGCATTCATATACTGCAAAATACCTTTAGTCTGTTTTTCAAAAGACACAATATAATGACTAGACAGCATGAGGACAATGCTTAGTGTCGCTTTTGTTTAACCTCCTTAAGACAAAATACTGGAAGAGCACACTGAAGAAATAACACCTTTATGAATTTCTTCAACTGCTACTAAAAAGCCTGATATTTGTTAAATTCCTTTAAGAGTATCCTTCAACAAAATCAGGATAAAGGATATCTGATCATCCAGAGTAATTAATTAATAGCCAAGTTGATTTTTGCCCACTGGAAGTGAAGGCATTTGTGGAAATATTAAAAATAGAAAGGAAAAAAGAAACAAGATCCACTATGTTTTCAGGTCTTCTAAGGAAGACACATCACAAGGTGTTAAAGAGGTAAGTAATTTTTTGGTTTGTTTTACTTTGAGGGTAAGCCTTGAGTGTAGAGACTTATTTAAAAGAGCTTGGAAAGTGCCTTTCCTCAGATATGTGGTGTTTTTTCATTTCCCAAAAGGATTTTAAAACAAACAAACAAAAAACAAACCCCAGGTGGTTCAAACTGCAAACATTAAAACCTTTTGCCAAGCCATATCCCCCTAGAGTTTCTTGGGATCACTTACAGCAAGAACTATTTCTCGGATATTCTTCACATAAAGCATCACATAGTCTTTGATATAGACTCCTCTGTCAGCAGAAGGTATGGAAAACCAATTACTGGCAATTGCTGCTTCATTTTCATTGTTACCACTCCACAGGATAATCGACGGATGGGATTTTAAACGCCTTACCTGAAACACAAGTTGCAGAAGTCGAACAAAATTATTTCTCTTAAAGTAAAAAAAAAAATATATAATCACTTTATTACTGCTCGAATTACAAATCCACATGCATATTACCTATGCCAAGCCTACAATTCCTGGTTTTATCCACACTGTTTACTATTCCCTCAGCTCTCCACCAAGCTCAAACTTTGTAATATACGTCCACATAGGGGCAAACTTTTAATATGCTGACATATATCCACCATATGCACATGCGTACCTCCATCCCCATCTACTCAGCCACATATGAAGGGTAAATTCTGTGCTAATGGGTGTTGCAATCATTAGTTCTCACTCTCAGTGAATGCTCTTAAACATCCTTGAGAAGGGGGCAGTTTGGACACAAGGAAGGCCTGTATCTCTGCTTGACTGACTACTCCTGCAAGTGAGTTAAAGAGGATTCAGCAAGGTTACGTTTTGTGTCTGCTACATAAAGGTACGCTAACAAAAACTTCAAAATAAGAATTTTTGGAAAGCTAACTTATCCAGTCAGTAAATCAGAAGTAGGTAATGGGAAGTAGAGCTTCAACACACAGACAACATACCTGATGAGAAACTTCTGCTCTTACAGATTCTAAATAACTCTGGTCAGTTGGATATAGTGCACATGCGAACATAAAATCCTGCCAAATCTACAGGGAAAAGAAAATACAAAAAGAAAATCTGTCAGCAGATAACTTTTACATACTTGAGAAATATACGGTTATTGGGATGCGCAATCTTTTGCTAAGACAGAAGTTATTTGTCTCAAAAAGAATTAAACTGAAGTGTTCTATTTGTTATTCTTGGAAAGTACCATCAAAACAATCACTTCCTCCACAGGGTTCAGTATGTGCATAATCCACTGCAGTTTTCCTCAACATCAGAGTTACAAATATTTATCCTTAGGAATCAGATCCTGGCAGTCTTCACTGACGAATGGAATATTGCTCAGTAAATGGAATTTCAGTGGAATAATTAGAACCCATGCACTGCTCAAATGTGAACATGGGGCAATCTCCAGCCAAACAGAACAATTTTTTATTTATTACTTTGCAGGTGTAACACCAAATGCCCATTGTTAAAAAAGAGACAGTAATTCTTCTGACATGGTATCGAGCACACTTAACATGTTCAACTGTACTTGTTAGCAAAACACTTCCATACCAAAAGAGCAAACTGATCTTAAAAAGAGCAAATCCTACCCTGTAAGAGGGGCAGAAACAAACTAGATCTTCTAACACCACAGTGATCTTTGTCTTCAAAGAAAGATAAAATAGATACCGCTAGAGATCAGTGAGCCTTACAATTCAACAATGAACTCCATTTGTAACTTGAAGAAGAAGAATTACAGAAAAGAGGAAAGGAAGAAACCCAGTGACCTGGGCAAGATTTGTTGGTTTCCCTGTTGGTTTCTGCTTTGTTTTGTTTAAATTGTTGTAACTTAGAGACTCCTGATAGACTCTCAAATGTTAATAGAAAGATCTCTTAAAGCAGCACACTAACCCAAAGAGACTATACTTTTCTGAACACCATACTACATAAGCAATGGAGTGAGCAGAACAACGCCTCACACAATTGCATTTTCCTTGCAGTGAGAACATGCTTTTCCATTACTCTTTCCAGTGCAAATTCCCCAAGAAAGCTGAAGATAGGGAACAGGACAGTGGGAGGTAATGGAACCATTAATAATAGTTACACTCCTAGCACTGTACAAAAAAAAGCAAAGCTATTGCTGAAGAATCACTCAGAAACCTTCAGTGACTGTGTGGAGTCAAAACTCTGTACTGAAATAAACTTTTGCTATTTCCCTCAGTGGGCTATCACTGTTTTTCCTTAAGCACAGTTTGACTCTAATACTTTCAAGCTTTTGCAAGACCATCAGAAGAAACAAAACCAAAAGCCTCCAGCACCACTCCCTCCAGAATAAGGGTCTGATTTTCTGCATCTACTTGCTATTTTGGCTGCTAAATAAGATCTAAATCTTGCATTGAACACTATACAGGCACAGATCTAAGTGTCCTACTTAGGTGCCTCGTGTCAAAAATGAAAGAACTGTAAGTGCTCAGAAGCCCTGAAAATCAGGGCACTCATTCAGATGACTAAAATAGATGTAACTTTTTTTCAAGCACACACAGCAGAAGGCAGCAAGGTATCAATTCTGTTCCTGTGCTTTTTACTCTGTAGAATAAAACAAAACACACTTCTTGGGATTTTAATACCAGATGCACCTTGGCCTTCACTCTTCTAGTCACTATTTCATCAAAACTTATTAACATGTGCCTCCAAGCTCATATAATCAAATGTACTCATCTAGGATTATCAGTTTGCAGCAGGTGTTCCCCTTACAGCTCCATTTATACTCAATTATAGCTTGTTCAAAATGGCCCTTTGGATAAGGCCTTCCATGCCTGGCTTCAGGCCAAGTGAAATATTTTTGTTTAAAAAAGTTTGAACCAAAAAAAACCTCGACCTTTTCAGCTACCGCTATAAAGGAAAAAATACTTTTAAAGGAAACCAAATCCATTTCCACAGCAGAGAAAAGCATGACTGCCTTCTTTGGTGTTTTGATAACTCAAGAGTTGGCTGAAAGCAAATACAGCAGGCTTTAAAATCTCATTGAGGTCAGATTGCAAGGCCTTTGCTCTCAATTTGGGGCACAGACTCAACACTGAGATTCCTCAGCAGAGCTACACTCACATGAGTAAACCCTAAACACGGCTACAGGGTCCCACACTCTGGCTGCTACAGAAAAAAATACTTGATCTGGTGAATAACTCCCCTCCCATGCACTACTTGTTTCACAACTATTTTACTGAGTGTTGCAAGCCCCTGTTGATGCCTACAGTCCACAATTTCTTCTGACACGCTCATCATTACAGCGTAAACAGCTTCTTCCTGCACTAAGTAACATCACTAGTACCAATCCCTCAGCCATTCAATTCTTCTCTCATTCTTTCTCAAGAGAATAGGAAATGTAGAACTGGGAGAGAGGTAGGGGATATAAAGATGAGAGTTTTGGTCTGAAACGAGACAGAAGACAGGAAGTTAAAGCCACAGTCCTGTTGCTCTGATTTTGGGAAACGTAAAGGAGAGGGACAGAAAAAAGACAGTGGGGAGAAAAGGAAGGGGAAATAAAAGATGGGCTGGGAAGGGAGATGGGGATGAGTGAGCAACAGACATTTAGCCTTAGTTGTAAGAGAAAACACAAGCTAGGGTTCTAATATAAGGTGTCCAAAATATCACTTCCATTTTCAACAGACAGCCTAAGTAATGAGGGACCAATTGAATTTAATAAATCAATCAATCAATCAGGTTGATCTGACTTCTCAGGCTGGTACTCTACCATGTCCTTTGGAAAGATAACTAGAACTTACATATTATTTCTCTTATTTCGTTCATTTAGAGAGGATTTTTATTTACAAGTTTTTGTCAGTTTTTAAATAAGCGTTCTGTTTATTGTTTTTACCATTATTCCTAGTTCATCGCAAATATTGTAAAATTCATCTTGTTCATACACTCCTCCTCCCCAAACCCGAAGTGCATTCATGTTAGCATCTGCTGCAGACTTCAAGAGTAGCCATAATCTGTCAAATACAAAATGAAGATTTATACAAGTTTTGTGAAACTGTATCACTTAGGAGTTTTTAAGTCTATTAAAAAAAAAAGAAAAAAAGACAACAAAAAACCCCCACCCAAACCCCAAACCCAAACATTCATCATTAGCAGGCAATCTAAGACTTACAACTCTGATAGAAACCAGACTATTTTGATACCTTCTAAGCCTGCATGTCTGGACAGAGTTCTCAAAAAGCAATTTTTTGTGCAGGAAAAGTTACTCGGTCCTGTTAACACTTACAAAATAAATGAAGTGGCACATGTACCTAAGTGCTTTTACAGAACTATTGGCAGGACCAGCTTTAGAAATGCTACATTTTATTCATCAGGTTGCTCTTTTCTCCTTATATGTTACTTGCTTTAAATATCAATCACTTGAATTCAAATTGTCTTTTAAACACATTCATAAATCTATATTCTCTTCCCGAGTTCCACAATGCATACTGAGAAGTGAGGGAGTAAGAGGCAGAGGAGAAAGACTGAGACTCTCATTTTAAGGGAATCAGGGACCATTAAATTTTCTTTAATTATGCTGGAAGCCTCTAAAATGCACATGAATGCACACTGCAGCATGCCCTGTTGTCCTTGGTTCCCCAACTAACCAGAGCCGAGCTTAGTCAAATGTGGGGTGGCCCTCATCCCACCTGCATCTCTGGGATGCTATGGCATTGAAATCTAGGAATCTTGGACCAAAGGGGGAAAAAAGGAGAGAGGCTGGTTATGTACTTATGTCTCTCTGCACAAGATGGGTCAGGACATGGCTGAAGTGCACTTCCTCTGAGTACCACTGAACGTGACCCAGGCAACAGGATCAAACAGCCTGAGGACCATCCCTAAAACACCTGAAAGACCAGTAACTTGTGGACAGCAACCAACCACCTTCCCATCACTTATTGCACTTACATGCCTTGAACTTCACTCAAATCTATTGAGGCTAATGAAGCCCTAATTCTGAGGCCTCTGACCCACAACAATTAGTGCCCAACCTTGAGAGGAGTCCCACCCCCTAATGCCACCCTTTGATAGAAGGAGGATAAAGAATCAGAAGGAGGAAAACATGATCTTTTCTCCTTAGAGAACATCAAATGTGGCTTACGTGTCATAGGTCACTCTGTCCTGGAAAGAATCTGCTGGAATCCAGTTCGAGCCCTTCATGAAAATGGGTCGCCCATTGATTCTGAAGTAGAAACTCAGACCTACTGAGCCAGGAATAGGCTCCTGAACAAGTTCTACTGTTCGAAAATAGGCCTGTGAAGACAGGAAACGTAGGTTTAAAGCAGACAAAAATAAATTAAAACAAAATAAATAAAGAAAACCATTACAAAATGGATTCAACTGAACACAGCTTAGAATTTGTCAAGAAGTCAAAAAACACGGGCTCACCTCTAAATTCCTGCTTGATTAAAACACATTGTAACAGGGCTAAAACAAATTCTTTTGATAAACTTGTTCACTTTTGAAAGTTACTAGCATAGTAAGAGAGAGAGAAAGCATGCACAAACACACATGTGTGCACAAGTGTCTATATGTATGTAAGAGACAGATGCATGTTTGTTTGCCGCAGAATTCAGTCAGAAGTTCAGTTGGGGAGCAGTGAGAAGAATGCAGTGGTTGCATTACATCAGACACACCATTTAATCTGCAATTTTTTCTCCACAGAAGGAGACTGCAGGAGTTCAACTGTAAGTCCTGTCCCTGAATGCCTAGCTTCAGGTTCCTTCAATAAAAGCAAAATCTTCTTTTGCTGCCCTTAAATGATACCTTTCTAATAGGCATAGCAATTATAGAGACAAAGATATACATGCAAACACAAATGCTGGTTTGGAAGCAAAGAGCCATCACAGCTGTGTTTGAACAGCATGATCAGCAATAAGGTTTCAGAGAGACCAGTTTAGCTAAATAACCACTAACTCTGTGTAAGTTATTAAAGGTCATTCCAGACAAAAGCACATCTCAAACAGAAGCCAAACTTTTACAGCTACCCTTTCAGTCTAATATCTTGTATTGTGTATTGCAGACACTGAAAAAAGAAAACAATCCTTCTTCCTGCTGCAGCTGAAAGAAGAGTTCTCACGAAATCATTATGGACATTTTTTAGGACTTTATTTCAGTAAAAGCAACAATGCTGCTCTGAGGGGTATCCTGATTACACTGTCTTAAACACAGGCAATTCCACAGTCATGAGAGAGTCTTAAGTTGACTGCAAGAATTCCTTGCACTGCCTTCTTATTTGTAGAGGTGTCCTCCCCACCTGCCATGGGGCAGATGTGGAGCAGCTGCCACGTTAGGCTCCTGCACAGCTGCAAAGTGTTACAGAAAATAGAGCTTTCAGGGAGGCTTTAAACTTTTTTTTCTCCTGCATCCTTATTCCCATTCAACCTATCTAGGCAGAAAGAAAAAGATTTTTCTTTCTGATACCTGTTGCTCATTGTCAAAGGAAGATAATTGGGAAATTAAATACAGTGAAGAAAAGCTAATAGCAAATTTCAGCCAACTCACACCAAGCAACAACTTTGGGTCAGGAGGGCAGGAACCGTGTTTTTTTCTAGGCTACCCCCAAGATAGCAACCACTCCTCCCTCAGATGACTATTTGCTATACCTTTTCAAAAGGTCAGCTTGTAGAGTACAGCCTGTTCTCTCTCTGCCACAAGCTGCAGTTGAGACGAGGATCTGTCAGTAAATCAGGCTAAAATTAACCCAGTTAAGTACCAATGATATACCTCTATAAAATAAAAAGTAATTCTTTATTTCATGTACCAGGTGAGGCTGATGTTCTAACTAATCCCACTGTGGGACTGTGTTTTTTAAATTTTCAGCTTATCAGATATCATACAGATAGACAGAAAATTATTTCTACTGGTAGAGAAGACAATCACTGTTTTATTTGCTTTCTCTTTGGTGCTTCTTAGTTAACTGGACAATCACTAATTAACACTTGGACAGAGACAATGCACATGAGTGGAGGCCACACATCACTCATCTCAAACTAAACCCCTCTGCATCACAGCAACAACCAAAACATAGAAAACGAATGACTCAAAAAAAATGGGACTTGCCCCAAGTCCTGTAGTGTTTTACAGTTTTGCTTCAGGGGCAACAGTGGCAAGTGGGGCTCAGCATCATACCACTAAAGAAATTCCCAGATAGAGAAAAACTACAAAGTCAGACCTCTGAGAGGGCACTTTGGACTCCCTGTGCAATGCCTCTGTGCACATACATGTGCTAAGGAAAGTGGACCCTGCCTTTTTTCTACTGTGATCCCGTTGTGCACTGCGTGGGTTGAATACAGACCAGCACAATGAATTTAGCTTTACAACAAGACTCTTACACCCATTCCTAGAATTCTGCAGATTTATTTTAATATGAGAAGTTGAATTAAAAAATCACCAATATTTCATACAACTACTACTTACCCTAACTACTGAAGGCTACAAAACAAAAACTACATTATGAGTACTACACTAACAAAAAAGCTCTGACCTTCCTACAGTGAATCCAATTACTTAGAAAAAAAAAACTCCTCAGTCTCCAGTATAGCTCTTTTTTGTGGGACAAAATGTAATGGGATTTATAGTTGGGGCTCCCAAAGTATTTGGGAGGTCCTCTTAATGGATGTCATCAGGCAGGTTGGGACTGTCTCAAATGCATTTGTAATGGAGTATTTATATTACTAACAGAAGTAACGTGATACTGCTTTATTCACATTCAAGTGGAACTCATGCAACTGGCCAAATCTGAGACAATCCAAGAGCCTGAAACATCCAGCCAGGACCACCCATACAGCAGGAGCAAGAGGAAAAGCTCCTCAGCCCCATCTCACATTCCCAGGCCTCCAGGGTTCAGTGCCTTTGTGTTCCTGCTCCATTGCTCCCCAGGGGCCCACGCAGTAACACAGCACCTCTTCCTGTTCCTACAGCAGCTTATTTCTGCCTTCTGGGGTAAAAGAAGGGCAGGGGGAGACAATTAGCATCTGGCACGCTTGGTTGCATGCCTTCCTGGCTACTGAGACCTTGACCTTGAAATTTGTCTGGTAGACCTTGCTGCCTGAGGACTGAACATTTCTCACAGTCTTGGAACACGCAGAAGAGGCTCTCTAGCCACCACACACCAATCAACTGGTTCTGTGCACAATTTAAGAAACAGATACCTGTCTTTTTGAGTCACATACAAAGGTTGTGTACCCAGTTAAGCGACCTGTGGATCACATTTGGCATTCCCAGATTTAGCAGTAGGAAGAGTAATGGGGATGAAGATGCCCAGAGCTGAAATAAGATCACAGAACGCCCCAGTGACCTAATAAATTAACACGCAGCATGAAAGTGGTGTGAAAACTACAAAGCCAAAAGGAAGGACTTCTGGAAGTCATGCTAAAAGACCTGGGGGGAAAAGAGCGTGTAGAGGGAAGGAGGGAAAGACAGCTAGAGGTTAAGATCTTCCAAGTACTAAAACAGCCTCATGAAATAAAAAATTCTAATTATAGTGCTGAAGAAATAAGCATACAGAAAGATGGGGAAATAGAATCAAAAAGGAAACAAACGCCTCATGAGACAATGAAAGAGGTAATAAATTCCTTGATGTAGGCATGGCAAGAAGAAAAGCAACTTATCAATAACAAACAATTTCATTCTGAGAACTTCTGGCTATGACTTTGTGTCGCATTATCCTAAGAAACAAACTGGAAACCAAAGTATTCAAATAGAAAACCAAACCAAAACCAAAACCAAACCTATTCTCTTTTGGTTTTCCGCTACTCTCAACAGGAGTGAGTAGGTACTTCCCTCAGCCAAAGAGGTTCCCAGCACAGCTGGCTAGAGCTCTATAGAGCTCCCACAAATACATACTGGGAGGCTACCCAGGAATTTTCCCAAAGGATTAGTCAGTGTTTTGGAGACTACTCTAGCATGTCAGAAACCAGAGAGTTGTTAAAGCTAAGGGTAGCTGAGTCTGACATGACTAAGCTGTGTTTTCTCACGTACACAGTTCTTGCTCTTCAGTTTTTACCTGGCCAGAGTTATGTAGATGCACATATGGAAACAAACCACTTGTGAAATGTCTCACCTCTATTTTTTTTTGCTTTTTTAAAAAGAGAGGTGGGGAACAAAAATGTATTCCACCCAAATACAGTACTAGGTGGACAACAGAACAGCTTTCAGGAACTTTTATCCCTGATGGCATCTCCGGAACTACTCAGAGTTCTTACTAAGTCATATGAATGTTGCTAATCAGTCCTCCTGTCATGAGAGCAAATTGTGCTAGAACTGCATACAGAGCCTTTTTCCACTCTCAGAGCTCGGGGCAGGGTGTGGTGGTGTGTGTCTCTCTCAGAATCGAAGACAGAACTTCACAGAACACATGAAGGAAGACTAGACTTTACACTATGAATCTGTAAAGGCTTCATATGCTGGTTAATTTATAATGCCCACTATGTGGTGCATTTATTTCCCCCCTCTTTCCCCTTAAGGAGAAAAAGAAGAAGAGGCTTCTGAAGATCTTTTGTAGACCATGAAGTCCCTCTGATCATATGCCACAGGGCTCTATGAAACATCCTAATGCAACTACCCAAGTGGAATCAATTAGGTTTCCTATCATTCTGCAGTTTTCATACAGTAACAACAGGCTTTATAGCAATATTTCCTATAACCAGTTTTTCCAAGCATAATATGTGGTGTTAATTTGGTGTGGTTTTTTAATTGTTTCAAAATTAAATCACTAATAGTAGTGAAGAATTACTATTATGACTTCATAATCAAAGTGAGAGCTAGCCCTATAGAGACTAGGGCTGCAGAAGCTACTGCTTTTCATAAGATCTTTCACATGAACAAATGTTACAGCAAATAATAGCAGTTTTAGATGCCAGGTGACCAGATTAGTTTCCAGTGAAGCAATACACATAAGAACAACCTAATAAATGTGTAAATTTACTTGATTGTTTCCACATGTTGATGGCATAAGGAGCCCAGTCTAATTTGTATGATTATTTTTTTAAATAGAAAATTGAAAATTATCTCTTCTAGGGTTCTTAGTAAAAACAAACATAATTATACAGCCAGTGTTGCAGGAATATTTATGCAAATAACCCTGAAAATTACTTTCATGGTCATATTTAAGATGTTACCTCTTCTTAAAGATGAAGCACATCTACTGCATTCTACTAAATGAATATACGTTAGCTTTTTAGGAATGTGTCTACCCTACAAATTTCTTAAAAAAAGTGAATCAACAAGAAAAATGTCAGTAATAAACTTTCACATAATCTATAGCAGTCTGAAAGGGTTTTTCAGTGCATAATACCAAAAAAAAAAATCAGCATAATATACCAAGTTTAAAAGTGGGTTTTTTTTTTCATAAGATAGAAAACTTAAGAAGTAAACATCTTTTGCTGAGGTTTCCAACTAACTATAAGCCATCTTCCAGTCTGAATGCAAGTAAAGGCGTCCACACAAGCTAAGGCTATCAGAAAAGAAGTAAACATACATTGTGAAATTAAAAAATGACTTGTTTCTCTTTAGCATTTTCACATGCATATTACAATTCAGCAAAATATTTAAGAGCTGTAGATACCTGCTATGCAGAGCAGATGTCCTAAAATTAGCAGTGCAATGCCAGCTGTAATCAAGCTAAAGGGCTCACCTTTGAAAGTTTCTCAATCTGGTATCCTGTCTCCATGATGAAAGTTGTTGTCATGTTGTATCCAGTTTGCTTTCCATGTCCATTTGGCCACCAAGCCTCCACTGTAGAACTCTTGAACATACAAGAGAGAAAGTAAGAACAATGTCTGTAAAATGCAGCACAACATGCACCTAGGGGCTCAGATGCCTTGGAGTGAAGTCTAATGAGTTTATGTGCCTCAGCTGAGCCATGGTAACTGGGACCTCTCCAGGTGCAGCTCTGAGGTGAAAAGCATTTAGAGAGAGAAGTATGACTTCTTCCACTGATGTGCAAGCTGTCACTTCATCTTGTGTCCACAATAGGCCATGAACACACCTATACATGCGTGTCTAGCTGCTACCTCTCAACTGACAGAATATTCCCCCAGAACTCAACCATCTGTGTCAGAAGCAGACATGGTTCACTAGCCTCTGTGTCATACACCTCCTCTCATTGACTTTTACCTACCACATACAACCTTCAATATTCAGAGGTGACACTTTTCAGTTGTGACTTTGGTAATACATGCCCATACTGGCTGCTTCAGTTATGTCAAACTTTTAAGTCAAATCTTAAGTTTCATTCTTTCTTTCCAGTGTTTTCCGCTTTTTCTCTATGCCTTCTCATCACTTCATTAGTACTCCATATTTTTTTCAAATTAAAAAAAATAAAAATCTAGGATGACAGAAAAATTTAATTTTCTCATTTTTCTCATCACAGAGTAATATTTATATCTTCACTCCAGCAGCCTACTTCTGCTGCTCAATCCTATTGCCAACATTTGCCAGTTGAGCGCACAACACAACAATCGTGGAAAGCAAGCAATAATGCATGCAATCAAACAATGGAGGGATCAGCACTGAATAGACTCATGTAAGGAGTGTCTCAGTCTTTTCAAATAAAAAGAGGCCAGAGAGCAGCCCAAGAATATGTTTTGCTCTAACCATACTTAGACACAATCATGAACGTGTCTACTACCATCTCGGCTTCCCCCATACAGAATTATCATCACTGCTTGTGCAGAAGTGCACAGATACAAATGGAAGCACAAAATCAGCCTGTGCCCCAACAACAAGGGAGTGTTCGGAGCCGCCTGGAGTGTCTCATTGGCCACTAATGATGTCATCCCCGTGCTCACCATTAGCTGATAAGCAAAATGCTGTCATGTTAGCAACACAGCACTTTGTGTGGCGATCGCAGGAAGACTGCTACACATCTCGGGTGACACGCACCACTCAAACACCTACTGACTTCGCAACATGATCTGCAATAAGCTCTCAACTAGAAATAAATTTCTGGTAAGGTCTCACTATTTAACATGCACCACACAAGTCTGTGGAACGGAGTAAGGGCTCCGTCAGGCTCGTGGATACATTAGGACACATTGCAGGGCTTCTCGTAAAATCAGCTGATGTGAATTCATGCAGCAAAGCCTTTTGTGTACAAAGGATAATAAAACACTGTTGCCTTTGCTCTCTGAAGAAAGTGCTTCTTTACAAACTTGCAGTCATACTCCGCTAACAGATTTCTTCTGAGCTTGGGGTGGGGCAGTTAAATAAATCAAAATAATTTTTGAAGTTTCACACTGTAGTGCCTGCTTAATGTAATCCCTGAAAAGGTTAAGCAGAGGCTAATGATTGTTTTAAACGAAACTGGGTATTTGTAATTGCTCGTGCATCTTGCATGTCAGATGACAACAGTAACAAAAATCATCTGTTTGTATGCTTTTATGCTTTCATGTTAAAATTAAACAAAGCACATAAGTATGCAAGTCACTCAGTGTGCATACTAGAACATAAATACCCTGCTTGCCTTTAACAGATGCTTTTACTCCACTCAAATAACTGACAAGAGAACTTGAGAATACATGCATAATGCATTCAAACTGGGGAAACACTGCAGAGTTACACAGCAATACAGAAAATCAGCACAGCCAGTAAAATATACGAAGGTTTGAAGGCAGCCCTTCAAACGTTATTAACTGCCAGAATTGTCAGAAGCCCCAAAATCCTGCTCACGGGACGTGGCTCACCCACAAATCTAACTTGTGCCTTGTGAAGCAGATGGCAGCTCCTGTTAGGCTGTTGGCTTTAGAGGAGAACAGCATCAGCTGGAGCTACCACTGCGCCTGCCAGGGCTCCCACCCTGCCCGCTAGCCTGGGCCTGTCGCTGGCAGGTTCAGTTCTGCACAGTCAGCTCCACCAGGGCCCTGCTCTCTGAGCAAGAAGTCAAGGCAAAGTTCATGCCTCTGTTCACCACACTGCCTCATTCCAGACACCTACCTGGACTGATTTTCTTCATCTCTCAAGCCTATATAGGCTCGCTGCCTCATTCCAGACACCTACCTGTTTGTCAGCTAGAACAGACACACTGATTTTCTTCATCTCTCAAGCCTATATATCTTATTTACACCTGTGTAATAAAACTCGAGTTTCTAAAAAAAAAACCAAACAACAAACCACAAACAAAGCAAATTCTATAGAAGTCAAATAACGACAGTGAATTCAGTCTGCCACCAGATAGTTTCCCAACACCCTCTGAAGGTGAACAGACAGATTCTTTCCTCTTTCATCACTGGAGCGTATACCAAATTCACCATTTTTCATTTGAGTTCCATCCTCATTAGAGCATCCTTTACCTTTCTAAAATTCCTCCTGAGTTTTGTCTACTCAAGGGACTAGAAGCCAGCATAAGAAAGTATTAATCCACAAAATTTCCACCAACCTTACTGCCAGTCAAATTCTTTATAGGGCTTTTTTGCTTTTATTTACTTAAAAGAGTATCTAGTGAGAGGTTTTAGGAATGTTTCCTCTCTTTCCTGGGAGAGCCATGCATATTGTAGCACATTCTAGTCCCGATCAGACCAGTTAACAATGGCAGAGGAGACAAGATACCTACTGCCAGTTAAGTGAAGTCACACAGGGTATCCCAAAGGTTACCTACCTAAGCAGCTCATTTAACAGTGGCTGCTGATAGGATCATAGAATGGTTAGAGTTGGAAGGGACCTTAAAGATCATCGTGTTCCAGCCCCTTGCTGTGGGCAGGGACACCTCCCACCAGCCCAGGTTGCTCAAAGCCCCATCCGATCTGGCTTTGAACACCTCCAGGGATGGGGCATCCACAACTTCCCTGGGCAACCTGTTCCAGTGCCTCACCACCCTCACAGGAAAGAATTGCTTCCTAATATCTAATTTAAATCTTCCCTCTTTCAGTTTAAAACTGTTACCACTCGCCCTATCACTCCACTCCCTGATAAAGAGTGCCTCCCCATCTCCCTGTAGGCCCTCTTTAGGTACTGGAAGGCTGCTATAAGGTCTCCCTGGAGCCTTCTCCAGGCGGAACAACCCCAACTCTTTCAGCTTGTCCACATAGATGATGTGATCTTTTTGTCTTGCAGTCAGGGAAAGGCCTCATTATCTTTTTGACAATGAGCTATGTAGCACCACAGACATAAGTTTTTAGAGAGGAAAAGAACTGTTCTCCTACCCTGTAAGGGGTACAGGACTGTTGTGAGAGTCAGGAACGCAGTAAGGAAGGGAAACGAAGACTAAAATCGACACAGAGGCAGAAAGACACATTGGAAACCAGGAGAAACATTTTGCAGTTGGCCAGGGTTCCACACACACCTCCTTACCTTGTTTATGTTTACAAGCAGCACAATGCTGCCTTCTCCAGGTTGAAGCATCACATTGAATGTTTGCTGTGTTTGCAATTTGGGAATGTTCACTGTCACAAGACCTGCAATTGGCTTGGAGCTGACTACATCAAAAATAGACTCGATTTCAAGACTCCACTGCTGAGCACTCTTTACTAAGTAAAGGGGGAGAAAAAAATGGGAATTTAGGAATTGTGTTTATATACCTATTAGTTACCATGATCTCTCATCAAAGAAACAATTAAAACATTCCACATTAAATTTAACATTTTTCAGGCTGTTTTCAAACCATACCCACAAAGGTTAATCTTGTTTAGCGCATTTGATATCTGTGTTTACATTTGCTGACTCAGAAGACAACTACACAATATAATTTGTTTTATAACTCTCTCTTTTTTTCATTCGAAAGCCATCCAGGGTTTTTTCAAAGTCCTGTACAAAAGTCAGAGACCATGACACCAGCCACTTCATTAGGAAGGATTTTTTTTTCCCACCAACTCCCATAGACATTATATTTGCTTCTAGTCAGCACTCGTATGAACGTGGTACTCTTTGGGAAAGATCGTAATCACAAGGCATTACAATCACTTTTGTCGATGAAACAAAAACAGTATTAACAGAAAACGAGCTGAATTCATCCCAGAGTCACTAGACAAAATGAATGGAGTTATGCTGGGGATGAATTGGGCCCACTGTGTCTAGACTTGATGGACTGTAACTTTATGTCTCTTCTACCATCAAAGTGTGGTGGAGGAAACAACTTAATGACTTCCCTGAGATCTCTCTCAGATGGTCCTCTCCTTTACAGACCTTACTGAATAAGGCAAGCCACAGTCAAGGGTACTCCAGATTAATGTGTAAATTTCCCATTAACTTCAGCAATTAATTTTCCTATCTACAAACATAACCTGGCTAACCCTATCGTTCAAATATTACATCTAAGCAAAACACATAAAACAGAAAACAAGGAAAACTAGAACTAAGACACATTTTGTATTGATAAAATACTAATCACTTACTTTCTCTTTTCATGTATATATTCTAGCTCTCCTTCCTCCTGGAGAGAAATTGCTCCCTCCAAAAGCAAAAAATTACATTCAGCCTTAGTGTTATTTGCATTGTCTTCTGTAGAATGAAGAGCAATGAATGTGTTCCTGAGTTTACATCACACTCAGCATTACCCAGGGGAAACAAATTTTCAGAAATGTTGAATGGGTCAAAAAAAACGCCCACTCCACCCCACCCCACAAGGGTCAGCCATGACAGTGCATTTTCCCTCCCTTCCAAGGGTCACTTTTAACTGCATGAACTGTGGTCTCTATGAACAGAAATCAAGAACAAAAGAACAATGAATCTTTTACAGACTCAGTGGTCAAAAGGTTATGACACCAAATCTGATAAGCAATATAACTGCATAGGCAGCTTAAATTCAAATTGTTATTTTACTCTTTACTTTTCAATTGTTATTATGTTTGAATAAACTATGCCTCTAGTTCCAAACCAATCTCTGCTGAATGAAGGAGCTTTGCTCTCTCCAGAGCAAATCCAGAGAGCAAGACTTTACCTACCAGAAGGTGGAGTTGTGGGAATGTGGGAGGGACCAGGAAAGATTTTTACTGTAACTCAATTTTAGAGAGCACATAGAGTCTGTACTGGGGCTTTCCATGGAAATTCCAGTCACGTTAATTCTAGCTAAGACCTGCAGCTATTTCAGGAAGCTTTAAAAGCAGCCAGGGAGTGACGTCTTCCTCTTTTATTCATACACAACAACTCTATTCCCAAGGGCTGAAATTCAACCCAGTGCAGAGGGCTCATGTGCTAGCCTTTACTCCACTGAAGGCGGCTCAACAGGCAGTTAAAACAAATGGGTAGTCCACAGTGGGGCATATTATTGTTCACAGAAATCTTCAACAGAAAATTAACTACTTTTGCTCAGCTGCAATGATCTTCAGGACAAAGGAGAGGAAAATCGAAGATCATGTCAAGGGAGGAAACCTGTTGGGTAAGTTAGGTAGCAGGAATGCAGGAGGCTATCATCTCAAATTGCAGGCTTAACAAATTATCCTTGCATAGACTGCTTTTCACTCTCAGAATTCATGTTGTGTCCTGAAAACTCAGTGCTCTTTAAACTCTACTCACTGTTTATTTGTCTTCCCAACACAAAACTAAATTCCCATAGCAGCTTTGCCTTTGTTTTCAATGGAGGTGAAACAAAAGTGAGACACATTTATTGTGAGTCTTGGTGAAAACACATGCCAATAAAAAAGAAATTTTTCAAAACAGGAGAACAGGGGCTAACCCCAGCTATACTACATACATTTCTGCAGTTATTCGGGGATCTTCAAGCAAAAAAAAATTCTGAATTCTAACATTTTTTATCACTATTGTTTGTACTGAAATACTGCTTCAAGACTGCACACAGTCATAATAAAACAATAGAACTTTTCCTAAACTGGCACTTAATTGAGCTTAACAGTAAAATGGTTTGTATTCCTAAGGTGAAGTAACAATAAAAAGTAGTAACACAACTTACCAAAGAAAGGAGTCAAAGAAAAGTAAATCAGGTGGTAATGGTTATAGGCCTCAATCCTAACATCTTTCCAGATTCCTTGAGTGGGAAAAGAAGGGCCCCAGTCCCAACTAAATGAACACTGCGCCTGGAATACAGAATGGTTCTGTTACAATTGCCTATTTTTCACACAGATGTTGATGCTGTGCCAGAAATAAAAATTATTTGCTATCTAGAAATAAAATATTGCCATGCACTGAAAGAATTTTTCCCATTTCCATAAGCCCAGAAGCGCCTAAAGTATTTTTTCTCTTATTTCTTGACCAGAACTCTGCTGCTACTAGTATACTATATTAAAAATACAATTATGTATTAAACATCCGTGTATAACAAAATTTTATATTAGCGAGAGAGCAGAACACCATCTAGCCCACCACTTTAAAAAAAAATACAAAAAGATGAAAAAAACAAGCCACCATGTTACTCTCAATTCAGCTCTGAATTATCTCAGTTTGTAATGTCAGTATTTAATTGTATACCTAAAAGACAAAGCAAGCAGGAAACTGATTGTTACAAATGTTAAAGAATTCTAACAGAACAATATCAAATTAAAAATCATGGGTATATCTGAAATACTTTATCCCCTGTTTTTTGTTATAACACTACAGACTAGGACAAGGAAAGAGACGCATACGTCTGGTGCATTTGTGTAGTTCAGTCATGTTCACTGTTTCTCCCCTTTTTATGGTTCTCTTATACAAAAACAATGGGAACAAAAACACAGTTGAGAAACAGCTTGGTTCTGGTTCTAACATCAGAATGACTGTCAGAATTATAAAATGCTGGTCGGGCAGAGAAATACCTACACTGCTTTCTATTTAGCTGTTTTCAAACCTGGTCAGACCTCTAGTTAACAAACCCCTTGAAGACACCTATTCAGCTGCCCTCCAAGCTTCACGCAGCGCCAGCCCCCAAAGCAAATACAATAGATCTCCTTAAAGTCTTGTACAGTGACCTACAGTTCTAAATTTAGAGACTAAGAACTTACAGCCGAGGCATACTAATTTTGGCAAACCACATTGCACAAGTCTGGCCTATCCCTTGCATTGCTGGAGTCAGCCTGCCTGCCTATCAAATTGCAAAAGAACCTTCCAGGAAGCAAGCACTGTACTATTTCAAGTGTAAAAATGGGGACAACACATTCTTAGAAAACAAGTCAGATTGAAAGTAATTATCCCTTTCTAAAAAATAAACAAATGAATCACTGGCAGATTGTCAGGTTTCACTAATAATATTGCAGAGGCCGCTATCAGAAATAGTATCACTTGTACCACTGGAGTACATTGCCAGTGAAAGGCTTGCCTTCTGCACAAATTCATATTAAGATTTAGATATGTTTACTGCACTTAATAGTGAACCTCAAACGTGTGAACTGCTCTCCATGACTTTAAGATGCTAAGCAGCCAGCTTACTTCAGCAATGTCCCAGTATGTTTACTTTTAAATGTGACATCGCTGCTGTTGTTGCCATATACTTGGAACGAAAAATATTTCTGGAAATGTCTGGAGCAGCTTCCAAGTACAGTTAAACAACTCCTTTGAGGAAAAGCACTAAGGCACTTTCTTACAAATTTAAAGGTGTAGTTCAGTAAAGCATAAAATCATTCCTGGACATTTTTGCTCTATAAATAGGTTTACAGCTGTTAAAGTGCCTTCTTCCTTTCAAGCTCCTCCCTGCACTGATTTCTAAGAAACACAGTGGACCCAGAAGAAATAATTAACTTTCTAAAATGGATTGAAAATAAAAGTAGCAGCAAGTAGTAATAAAGACAACATCTTAATCCTGAAGGATCTACCCAGGACAAACTGGAGTCCATCTTTCCATTAACAAATTTTAAAGGAAATCACATCCAGGTTTAGATTAACAAGATTCCAGTCACTTTTTCTGAGAGAGGCTCTAAAAAGACTTTATTGAAAAGATTAAAAAATATTAACAAGAAAGGCATTTAAGTGGAGACAAACATAGAAAAACACCCAAAGAGAGAAATTCCAAAATAAGATCACCTAGCCATTGTCTCTAGCTGCTCCAAAGCTACCAGAAATATATGAGATGCTACTCCAATGATAGTTTGCCTTGAGTAAGTTTTAATAGTGATGAAACCATGTCTTAAATCAGAGTTTCTGAGCTTCATACATTGTACATTACATTGTTATTTTCACTGAATATGTATTTATAAGTCACACTTCATAACACTGTAATAAGACGAGAACAGGTCCTCTGTTAGATAACACTTCTCGGGACATGCCAGAGCTGCCCAGTATAAATAGCACAGCACATGAGCAGCAGCAAACACTCACAAAGCTGCTTGGCTGAGATTTTTACAGCCTTGGCGATATACATTGGTATTTGCAACAGTGAACTCTATTGTCAGCACACATTGCTAAACCCACCCAGTGGATCAAAACATAATGATTACACATTTCCCAATGCTATCCTGCTCTCTTAGCAGCAAGTCTTCTTCCTGACTCCTTAATGAAAACAGCATTTTAAACATTCTTATCACCTAGATATGAAGTCTGGCATTCTTATGCCTCTTGTATTATCGACACGTTTAGATTACAGGTTTCCGGGGGAGGGGGGGGAGCAGGAGAAGGAAGCTGCAATGAAAAATATGCCCTACTTATAAAATGACATTGCAGGTTTCAGAATACATCTGTAAGGACAGCACATGGTGCGTTTCCTCTTTCCAAGCCTGAAGCCAGAGACAGACAATCCTGTCCTTACCTTTCTGATGAAATTAGCATGGCACTCTCCTTTCTGCACAGGTGGAGGGCATGCCGGGGGGATGCTGTATGCTTTGTGACATCTGCTCTGCTCTGCAGCATATGAAATGGCTGATACGAAACGGACTTCAACAAAGTTGACCTCCTTGATCACACTGGTAATATCAAAGCTCTAGGTCAAGAAAACAGAACAAAATCATTACAGCGCTGACATTTATTTATGAGATTTACAATCAGTGTTACATTGGGATTTTAATACCATACATATATTATGGATGGCATTTGAACTACAGTCTCAACAGGCTCTTGAAGAAAACAGTCTCAACAGGTTTTGAAGAAAACAAAAAGCTACTTCTTAAGCTGCAAAAACTAAATACACAGTAACATTCCAGATACAAGGAGATGTTTCTGGGCAAACCACTGTCCCCATACTGAGCTCCCATCACAGGCTGCAGCACTCTGCCCGCGCACAGAAATGTCTGAAGGATAAGGATGGCAAGAGAATATTTACCCTCCTTCCTCACTCCGAGCTCATCTGCATCTTTAGAAAGACACCTTGTTCCAACTCAGAAAGCTGATCTATACAGGAGTCCTTCCAACTCACACTGTGCTCCCAGCTTATCTACCGCAAAACACTGAGTTACCTTTTCCGTGAATGCTGCAAAGCTGCATTTCATGTCACCTGCGCTCTCATCCCCAAAACGTAGATACACATTCTATGCCAGCACCAAATAAAGCCTTTGGGGGCTTCCTCACTGGCTCACAGAACCCCCTTCAGTGTGGCTGGATAGAAGGATAAATGTTCAGTTTCAGAATTATCCTGTGCTATCAAGATAATATGCTTCTGATGGCTAATATCCATTTCTTCTTCACAGCACTCATTTGTGACAAGCCAAGTCTTGGCAATTTTTTCTAACTTGTAAGCAGCCCAGCTAACATCACGTACATCTGCAGCTTACAGCAGAAAATTACAAAGTAAATAGTGTCCCTCATACAGAGCCTTCACAGAGTCCTTCCTGCAGACAGAGATGTCACATGGAACAGGTGAACAAAGCAGAAGTCTGGGTCACAGTAATCCTAGACTCAATCTAATACAGTTCACTCTGGTTTTACAGTGAAGGACATTTCATGAACTGAGATAAAATAAAGTTGCAGAAAAAGGGCAAAATAATATCACTTCCCAAATCTACAGAGTCTACTACTGGCAATCATCTAGGTACTCTCCAGACAGTACATGATAACAATTTCATAAAAGGTCTGTCAAATTTCTTACTTTACAGATGGTAAAACTAAGTCACAGAGAAACTAAGTGTTTTGTCCCAGGTCACACAGACCTAGGTGGCAGAATCTAGCCCTCATGTCTCAAGCCAGTACCTCTGCAATAAAACCTGCCAGAATGGTAGACGCTGAGAGATGAAGACACCAGATTTCCTTTGTAATTCAGTTATTCCACTAACATTCTTCCTATAACTTTTCCTTTTTTGATTCTTTTAAGATAAAAAGTAAGGATTATCACTTACGCTAGTACACAGAATAATTTTCTATTTTAAAGCTATAAAATTAGTTTGAACACTTTGCCACCCAACTTTATTCCATGATGAGTACTCTCATGCTGACGCAGGCTAAGCCTAACAACACAAGACAATGTTATCAAAAGCCCAATATTAAAAATCAAAAGCCCTAGATAAAAAAAGTGGAAACACAAAGGCTTTGCAACATGCGAATTTTCATTTCAGTATTCACATGTAAACCATTCTAATACCAATTAGTAAGCAGATTTACAGCTAATATAACAGATTTAAGCTTACGTTTTCTTGGAGCTCTGACAGATCCCAAGAAGCAGGACTTATATCATTAGCTGAATTGATCCTCTTGCATGGGTCCACTCATTTAGAACCAGACACACTCACCTCTAGATCTGACCCTGCTGCTACTGAAAAGGTAAGTACACTTCTCTTTTTAACAGTTATCTGATTACACAGGCAGTCCTCAGGTCAACACTTTCTGCGTCCAAGGACCTATTTTTATGTGTACTTGAATGCACTGGAAGTGTTCAGCACAAAAGGACTTCGAAGAAAAACCAGAAGCACCTTCAGAAATAAACACATTACTTACATATCTGTTGAACATGTTGTCTGTTCTCCCAAGAGTGATATTGTTGATCAGGATCTGTGCTACTGTATCTACTCCCTCGAAAACCAAATTCACTTTCTGCCACTTCCTACAGAAGAAAACATATGCAAAAAAAACCCTGTTAAAATAGAGTTAACAACATAGGGCTGACAGACAATATAAAAACCTATGTCACCATTATCTTTAGCAGCAGTTGTCTCAACTACCTTAAAAAATGTTTCACTTAGTGTGGCTACATAGTATCTTTAAATAGTCAAATTAAGATGATACTTGAAGTGGCTCAAGTCTGCAACAGAGCATGTTCTCAAACCCACTGGATATCAGATGGACTAGGTTCCCATTAGCCTAAGTATTATCCTTCCTTAGTTGGCAATTCATAAGTAATTTTATATAAATAAATAAAAAAATAATAATGGAAAAAGCAACTACTGAAGCGTTCTTTACCAACAGCTTCATAGCTGCACATTATTGCATAATTGGTTTTATTAGATACAAAAGTATCAAGCAGATTTTAAGGTAATGCATTAACTAGCAATTCTGCATGAAAGATGGCATAGAACTATTTTACACATATCTTTACTGCATACCTGACATCAAAAGGAGTTTCGAATGTCCTGCTGTAAGTCCAGTTATCCAGTGATATCCATCTGTACATCACATCATTAAATCTATAGTATGGATCCTAATAAAAGACCAACAAAAAGAAAATTACAAGACTTATTTAGTAAAACGGCTACTACATGAAATGCATCATAATATCCATTAGGTGAGCACTTCTTATTTCAGACAGTCTGCAAATGCAAAATCCACCTTACTTAGTTCATCCTGATAGTCCTTTTCACCTTTGAAATAATTTGTGAAAACAAAGCTTAGCAATATTTGACTTCACTTGTGTAGGTCAAAACCTGTTTGCTATAATCATTCATACTCAAACTAGAAGGAGCAGGATTTGTTTTTACAGAAGAAGCGACGGGGCTGGAAATTAAAAAAAAAAATCAAGACAGTGTGTGACTTAATGAGAGAAACAGAAACATGATAACCCTCATAATGACAGAGAAAGTAAGACTAATAGGATTTTAAGAGGCAAAGAAATAGCATTTTAGGCCTCTAGGGACAACAGTGAACAAATCTCTACTGTTTAAAATAGTCGCAAATACTCCAGTTGTTTCTTGTCAATAGTCTTGATGTGGAAAGGCTAAATGAATTTGTTATATTTGGAGGGAGGAAGAAGGAAAAGAATGGGAAGCAACACAATTTGGTTTGTTCTATAAAATTAAATGACCACTTTTGAGAATAATGTTGCATTTACACTGAACGTGTTCTTTTCCCTTTAGTCACAGTACTCAGGAACAATAAAGGCACAGCTGGTCTCAGAGATGTCCTCGACCTTTTCAGCTTCGTGCTGTATTTATTACCTTATGGTGGGTCACAATGTTCCTCACCTGGGCTGAGGGAATCAGTTATGCAGACCTGACAACCCACGGTGTTGCACCTCATACAAAGGCAGCAGAAAGGTATGGTGTTCCATCCCCACGTCAGACAGTTCAGAGTGCAGGTACCCAGGTCAGTGACTCAATTCAATCCTCTTCAGCAGCTGCACAGCTGAGCTGCTTTCCTAAAACACAGACCAATCTCCTCTGGACTACATGACTGAAACCCAGCTAAGAGAGAGTGTAGCTGCATTAAGGTTCTCTTTGATATGAGTCTTGCACAGCTAACTATCTGCCCTGAATATCCAGATTCACACTGAAGAAAATCTGCCAGTCATTTTTTTTAATTCTTGCTGAAGCTCAATTTTTCTCCCCATTTCAGGAGTCAGTATATATACTAATGACACTTCCGGATTTGAAATCTTCTAGAAAACATTGTTTCATATCTCATATTTGTTTTACAACTAATAGCATCAGGCTCTGAAGTATAAACACAAAGCTATTTACATAGCAGAGCAAAATCATAACATCTAAGTGACTGTCCTCAGCAGCATAGTCTCTTTTGGAGTCCCACAGTGATATAAACATCATTTCTTGAGCCCACATAGAGGAAACGGTGTCACCTTGCCTCTACATGCTGTGCTTGATCAATCAAATTTATTACTACAAGGGAGTAGAGTCAAGAAGGAAAAGTCTTGTTACTTCAGTAAAACTGTGAGCTCTGTACTGGTACTGCAGTGTATTCTCTAGAAGTTAAGTTTGTCGTGAGTTTACTAGAAAAATTGCTGAATTTTAAGATACCCATACCTCACTTTCATATGAAAATGCTTGGGGGAGACATCTCAGACTTTTATTATGATGCAAAGTTTAGGGCTAATAAATTCATATTAAAATGCAAAATTTAGGCTCATAAAAGAAACTCCATTAAGACTACTGTATTGAGACAATAAAAGGCAAATGTCAGAGACCACAAAAGCCCACAATATGCCCTTAAAAAGGACTTTCTATCAACTGTCTCGTTTTAACATTATTTACTATTTTATTTTAGGATATGCTTTGGAAAAGGTGTATGTTAAATTTCTATCATTGCCACTTGTATGTGCGAAGTACTTAACAAAAGGTCTAAGATGCAAGTTGTAAATGCACTAGCAAGAGCAGACTGTAAAGTCAAACCCAATTTGTTTAGCGGTCAAACTCCACATCAGTTCCTCATCAAAGACCGAGACCCTGCATAAAAGGAACCTGCACTGTTTTAGGGATACTGAGATGTTAATGACCTGACATCTGGAGAACACAAAACTGGTTGTCTAGCAGCAGAGAGAAATGTAAGAATGTTTCATCAGATGCAAAAATTACATCATCAGATGGGCTCTTACAGGTTGATAAACAGAGCTGCTTGTTTAAATCTCCTCAGAGCATACTGCTCATCCTCTTTTCCTGGAGGGGCTTTCTTCTTCTGTATTAGTCTAAAGCCTTCAAGCTTCATGATATGCATTGACTGCTAAAATATGTGTCTTTAGAAGGTGCTAATTAGCCCCTTCTGGCACGAACACATACTGTGTCTTCCTCACAGCCATCCACCTTTTCAGTTCACAAGCTCCTAGTTCTGTGTACCTTTATGTAAAGCTTAGTAGCTTACTGATATCATTGCTACTGAACTAGTAAACCAGCTCATATATCACTGCTAAATGCTGCTAAATGCTAATATTGCATGTAGTTATTTTAAGCATGACAAATACTGCTTGTTGTAAAATCAGTCATGTGGCAACGTTAAAGCAAAGCTTTTAAAGCAGTTCTCAAGGTTCAGGAAAACTCATGACCACAACAAGTCCTGTAAGAAAGGAAAATGACTTCTCCAATACACTGGCAAGATTATTGACTTTTTCATTACTAACTGCAACTGTTTTGAGTGCCTATAGAAGTAAGATTATTTGGATTTATCTGAAACAGAATTTCATCCCGTATTAAATCAGCTCACATTAAAATTGCAGGTTTATTTCAGATAACTGGATGAAAAAAAATGAATTTAACACTCTTAAGGGCACTGGGAGAATTTGAAAGATGGTAGGAAATAGACTGCACATGTATTAAATATACTTCACATTCATTAGCTCAACGTGTTCCTGGAAGCAAGTCATAAAGCGGTAGAATCAACTACAGCTATTTTTAGATCCCACCAAACATGACAGCTTTGCATTTTCCGGCTCCCTGCAATTTGGGGGAAAATTCTGAACCGCTCAAGCTCCCTGCCTGTTTGTTCTCTGCTCCCAATTTCAGTGTTGTAAGCAAGCGGCAAATCACCTGCTAAAATGAGGTAAAAAGCCCTGCTACAGGGTATCAAAAGCAAGCAATTTCCAGTTCAGATCACAGGACATCAGCAGGACTTCAAAAGCCCTGGCAGCACTAAACTGAAGGCCCTGCCAAGTGGCTAGATGGAAACTCCTCCTTGTAATGATTTTAAGGGAATACTGAAAAGCTACATTTGTATAAGCTAAGTGCTTCTCCTGTTAAGCAGGAGACAGATGAGACATGAAGGCATCAGAAGAGAAGCTCAAAGCCCAAGTGAGCACGTTGTGCCAGGTACGGGCAACCAGGACTCCAGGGGAGCGTGGCACAAACACCTGAATGACACTCGACAGGGTCAGCTGGATCCAGGAGGAAGACCAGTGTGTATGAAAATGAAATGTAACAAAGGGAACAAAACCCAGACTCCTTTGCCTTATCCTACTTTTGTTACGATCTAATTTGAAACTGCCTTGCATGCTCTTCTCTCATAAATCAACTCTGCTGATATTTTATAATGTACAGCATAAGAAAATCCTGCTGATGTAACAGATTACCAGAATAAAACTTACAAGTGATGTTTCATGATTTACAGATTAATGATTTTGCTGTTGCTAACTTCAGACTGGAAGATAAATAGTTAAGATACGTACCTATATCCACACACTTCTTGCTATCTCAAGTGATAGAAGTCAGGACATTTATATAATTTTCAGGAAGCCCAGTTTCACGTATTTACAGCTTGAAGTCAAGCTGGACAGCAAAGAGTAGTGATGAATGGATCATATTCTTGGAACACCACTTTTGGAAGTTCATCCTAATGTAATTCATTGCCAGTAGTTACTCTAACAAAGCAGTAAACTGAATGTCAACTTATGCTCAAGATGTGTTACAGCTGAACACTGAGTCAAATACCACTACAGAGTTAATTAACAAGATATTAATACCCACTGCTTAATATTCTTTGAATACTCTGCTCTATTTAACAGGCTACTACAACTTTTATCTACTTGAACTTCATAAGCTTTCCAAAGATAAACTTGAGTGCACTTTAATGTTTATCCTAAGTTTCAAAAAGGCTTTTGAATGCTTTCACATATGTTCACACAACTCAGCAGAGCACGCATGTTTTAATTGAAAATAATATATTTATATTAATCAACAATTTGATCAATGAATGCCATTTAGCCTGTTAGAATCATACAATACCAAATGCCCTGAAATCCAATACCTGGCTTGCCCTGAAAAATCTAAGTTAGGATGAAGTGTCAGAAAATAGACAACAGCATATTTTATACAAATGCAGAACAAGCTACAAAAAATATACACTACAGAACTGTAGAAATCTCACTCGAAATACGTAAGCTTCTGTCTCTTCTAGTATATTTTAATATCCAAGTATGTCCAATCCCACTGTAAACTTCTGTGTTAAGTGCATGCCCTTGTTGTATAACGGGGAAGAAACTGCAATGTTATCCAGCCCCCTATATTAACATCACAGTTGCAGACTCCCCATAATAGTTCTTTACAAATCAAAGTGACAGCTAATAAGACAAAACAGCCTTTCTGTGTGAACGCAAACGGCTGGCAGATGAGAAAATCCAGCTACAATAGTCATATTCATCAGAACCGAAATTGTATAGGAGTCACCTGCCAACAGAAATGGCACCACGCAGTACTTGGACAGTACGTGCTAGAGGACGATTGTTTCTAGCACAAAGATTTAAGGCACAAGTTACCTGCTGATATATATTGCTTATCAGAACGGGGACTGAAAGAAAATACTATGCTGACAGTAGTTAAGAACTGAATCTTCAGACAAAATGGTTTCTGCAAATCTTTTTCTAGAGATGTAGGGTTAGCAATAGATTTGCTGCAAGTTTGTAAAATGTTTGTGCTTATATCCAAGCTTTGCACTAACTTTATTCAAGTCACTATTTCTCATGTCTTTTTTAAATTTTACATGTAAAGAGTAGTAAGAACTACGGAGTCCTAATGAAATGTTATTAAAACAACCCAACTGAACACATATTCTGATGCTACCTCTGGCCCTTAGAGCTTTTATCATAGTTAATCCAGCATTTGAACTATGTTCATTGAACACAGAAGAAAATAATACTTCAATAGGAAACTCAAAATTATCTTCCCCAAGAGCATTTTCTAAGATCTGTGCATTTGGTGCGTTCAGAAAGATGCGTTCATCCAATGTATATTTTATAAGCCAAAGAGTAAAGACATCTCTAGAACGAATGCAAAGAGGATCCAGAGAGATGAGTAACAAACCCTCAGTGTCAGAAAGGTATCTTTCACTTCAAACGTACAGCCCACAGAGCAGATTAAAGAAAGGCTACAGACATGCAATCAGCCAGAGCATTCATGAGCAAATACAGTTTGTGCATCAGCCTAAATTTGAAATGAACCACACATTGATAAATAAGTTGCTTGCAGCCTGCTTTTGCAATCTAAGCCACATTTTGCAGGCTTAATATCCGGCAGCTTATTCTTGCTGCCCTCCTTCCCCTCATTTGTGAGATGCCCACTAAGCTACACCGTTGGAGTAGGCCATCCCAAATTTTGTTTTAAATTTCTGTATCGGGTGCTAACCCATGAAAAATTCCCAAGAATACAGAAGTAAAGGATGCAGTGCTATTTGTCGTTTGCAAATCACATAGAAAAACAGCACATAGAACTCACTAGGTTGCTGAACATACAGGTCTTGCTACCCAGAATAATTTAGTTCCCACTAGCTTTGTTCCCCAATTTCCTGGTACAGCTTTTCAGACCAATCTTTGCTTTTGATTACATGTAATAAGCTTTTGGATTACTGGTCTAGTGACATTTTCAGTAGTATGAACAAAAATCCTACACTCCATGGACAGGAGCAAAAGGGGCAAATGAAAAAATTACTCAGGATCAACACTTCTGTATTTAGGCAACAATTACAAAACTCCTAATTCTACACTTGAAACAACCTCAAAAAGGGCTGATTTCCAGAGATAACGAACACTGAAGAAATGGAGCAAGCAGTGCTCTATGCCCCTTAAATTCAAGCTGTATGCATACTTTTGTATAAATAGGAATATAAGAATACAATTTTAAGCAGCTGCATTTGAAAACATAAGCATTTTCACCACAACGAAGAAACCTCAGGAGCCATACTTTGCAGCATGAAGCCCTTCATTGCAATAAAGAATTGGTCATAAGCATTTTCACCACAACGAAGAAACCTCAGGAGCCATACTTTGCAGCATGAAGCCCTTCATTGCAATAAAGAATTATGTCACTGACTCACTCCAAATAACCCAGGTTTGCTGCTTTGCAGGATGCTGCAACTATGATGGCAATGATTGCTTACATTTAACACTATCTCTGACAGATATGAAAGCTGCTAAGGCTGCTTCTTTTAAACAAGAAATGTGATTTTAAAACAATTTAGCTATCCTGGTGCAAATATTTGTGTGAACACTTCTTTCTGTAAACTGGGCTTTGCTAAAGTGAGTAAGAACGGGTTTAAATTGACCTTAAGTTACCTGTACACACCTATACATAGAAACAAGTTAGCTCATCGTGAGCTTGGAACTAGCCAGACACTGGGTGGGTCCAGTCCAGAGGACAAGCAAACACACTAGTGAAGTATTTTCAGTTAACTCAGCTCCTCTCAGACCGTGCTAATTCTAACACCACCAACTTAGCAACAGTTTCCAGGCCACAGCAGGTTCATACCCGGCCATATCAGCACGTGTTTGGAGCAAGTTCATACTTGTATTCACACAAACATGTTCTAAGTGTCCACAACCAACCATCATAGATTTAATTAGCCAAGCACCCATCTACCTATTAGCAAGCCCCATGCTGCTGGCCAGCAGGCTGACTAAGCTTCCATGCCTATGTGCAGGCTTGGGATTCTGCCCAGGCACATGAGAGTTCATGATCGCAGCCTCATTTCCAAATATCATACTGCTGCTTAGGATGACTAAAATTGCAAGTCAGTTTACAGCAATGCAGCTAAATTAGCAATCACATTTTCTCACTTTGTAAGAGCACTTAATGTGAGTAGTTAAATGTGAGTCTCTCACTACGTCATTATCTTGTGTGAGTCAGTGCATTGGTCACAGTTTCTCCTGAATGATTATTCACACTTCTTATAGCAACATCTCCAGCACAGCTGAGCAGCTGAGATGTTCAGTTTCTTATGTGCTTTTCCATGACAGAAACTGGCACAGCTCTCTTCACAGATCCTCCATATATAGTCCACCTGCCCACTGCACCCTTAAAAACTCTAGAATAGCCATTTAAAAACCTTAATTGTGTATGTTCAAAAATGTTATGTGACTTAGCACACAGATGTTGAAACAACAGACCCTCATGGCCCAGCTTATCCCTTCTTAGTGTATTTACTTTTCCAATGTTGACTATTGCTTTTATCTGCCAATGACACTCTTGGGAATCTATTATTAGTACTGGGATTCCCAACCTATGCCCACACAGAAAAATGCTAAAATTATCCTGCCTGAAGTGGCGTCACTTTCTCTTTATACCTAACTTTAGTCAGAGCAGAGCAGCACAATAATCTCAAGAATAAAAACTAAAGAACAGAAAGTACAAAATGCATGCATCCAGAATGTGTTTTTTAAATAAATGCTATTCAAATGCAACATTGGGCCCACAAAAAATATGATATATATTTGTCTGATATATTCAGGCGTTATGTGTCAGTACTTCACATTTTCTAGTACAGACACGTAGTTATCAGTTTTAGAGATGATTTTGTTAACTTCTCTGTTTTCTTTTCCTTGTTCCAAGTACACATTTAACTTTTCACATATTTCCTTTTAAAAAGGCATCTTATTTCAACAATGACCCAGTTAGTGCCACGTTTCTTGTCAGGTCTGAGTGACCAGCAGTTTAGGCTGGTATCAAGGTACTTTGTTGTCACCAATCTACCGCTACAGTTTTGATCACTTGTCCCAGAAAGGGGTCACTATATTTTCATAAATCTAAAAACTAAAAGAGGCAAACAGAAGCAGCAAAGCTTCTTAACAGTGCTAAGGCAGGAACCAGCCTTTTAAATGAAAGTCTTATACTCATGTTTCAGAATATACTTCCCTTTGGCAGCTTTAGACAATCTCAAAACTGTTCCGACGTGCTCTTCAAGTGTTAAAAGGGATTTTTAATGGGCTGAAATGCCTGAAATCTCTAGACTTCTTGCATCAACAAGTCAAACTTCAACGGAGCGGGTTTAGCTTTTCATTCTTTTGAACTAATATTGTAGGTAAACACCACTTACGTGCTGCGATGATATTGTAGGTATCTGGTGTCAGCACGTTGGTTCCACATCAAAAACCACAGAATCTCACACATGGGCAGGTGTATCCCTGCCCCTATTCGGGACTGCTTTGCCGTGAGGATACTGCATCCACCAAACCTTTTGCCACTTGAGGGGTTAAGGAAACCAAGTCTGGCTGCTGCTGCTGCAGCAAATAACTAGGGAAACCTCCAGCGGTTGAAGCAGCTCCAGTGTTTTGGGAGCGAGAGAAGGGGCTCCCTCTAACCATATTTCTGGAGATCTCACACCGGGGGGGGGGGGGGTGTTTTCTTTCCCCTTTGTGGCCGGCTGCCCACTCCTCAGCGGCACAGGGGGTGCGGGGCTTCTCCTCAGGTGCCACCGGACACGGCCCCACAGGCGGGGCGCCGCCGAGGGCGAGGAGGGGGAGGCCGGGTGAGGCGTGAGGCGCGGCTGCCTACCGTACCTGGATGAGGCCCCGGCGGTGCAGGGCGGTGTGGACGCAGCCCGGCACCTCCCCTGGGAGCACCACCGAGCCGTTCCCGTTGCCCAGCCGCCAGCTCCCCCGTAGGCTGTGCACCTCCGGGCCGCCCGCGGCTGAGGCGTCGGCCGGGCCCGCCGCCGCCACGACCAGCAGCAACAACAACAGCGCGGCGGCCCGGTCCGTGGCGGCGCCCGCCCACCCCTCAGAGAGCCGGCATGGCCGCCGGTAGGAGCGAGGGAGCAGCCCGGCTGGAGAGGCGGCTCCGTTCGCCGCCATGGCCCGCGGAGACGCTGCTGCGGGAGGACGGACGAGATGGTGGGGGCAGGAACCGGTCCCTGCCGCCGTCCGGACACGTCCTCGGAGGGTCGGGGCGGCGCTTTGGGCCGTTAGAGGCCGTTGTGGGGAGCGGGGGGGGCGGGTATGGGGGGCGCGCGCCTCCTCCCGCCAACCGTTAACCGCGCCTCAGGGCCGCCTCGCTGTGGGAGG